AGATGCAGAACACAGGATTGTCAAGGTGAGACTCTGGTCGTAGAGCTGGAGGGATGGCCTTCTTTTTGTGATAGTGATGGTGATGATGAAGCAGTGCCTTGCAGGTGTAATGTGAGATTTGATTCAACATAGACTAGTTGCTGCAAGAGAAGTTACAAAAGCATCCTTTGTCTGGAGGCAGTTTTTTCTTGGTGTCTGATTCCCTGGGTCAATAAAGTCAATGCTGGCCAGATTACTCTGTTACGAGAGTTTGTTTGAGCCTATTTAGAGATGTAGCCTAAAGGCCTGAGCTGGTAACGTGGAGAAGAGCTGACAGATAAAGCGCGATAACTAAAGAGATGATTAAGAGCAGACTACAAAAGGAAATGCTATCCAAATACAGGTGGAAGAAGCAGCGGAGATTGCGTGTATAGAGGACCTGGGGCACAGATAAGCACTGGATTACACATGGTTGAAACAAACATGGGGATTAATGTTATTCTTAAAGTTAATTTGGCTTTAATGGTAACAACACATTAGCAATCTGTCAAAGAGGTGAGTAGAGTTAGGATTTGTGTTCTGCACAGGCTTAACAAATGGATGAATGTCACGAGCTTGGCTTGATTGGTACCACTGGTGGAAGAGACTGAACGCCTTGAGTCGACAAACATAGAAAGAAGGGATAAAAAGACAGACGGGGACAAACAAGTGCACGCACGGAAGTGGGGAGATGCAGGATAAGAGGTAAAGTTCAGAAGTACTTTGTTGGACTGACGAATCTTAAGTTACAGAGATCCCTGCTGGTCTAAAAGCATACTTCACAAATGCTCATGTATTGGACAGAGCTAGGAAAGTAGACATGAAAAAGACTTTGAGCACAGTTTGAAAACCACATTTGAACATATTATTCATAGAAAGTAAAACCAGGGTTCTCCTTTAAAAACTAATGAAGATGCAGCTGACATGTGACCCAAATGCAGGACTACAAAAGATTATACACAACAGACACCCGGGTTACCTGTCTAAGGTTAAATGAGGTCTTTGGAGGCCACAGAAGTGTCAACAAACACGATAGAGAAGAAAAAAAACCCAAAACATAAAACTGGAAGTGACAGTGCTGCTTTGACTACAAACATGCTCACACATGCACATTTGTTTCTCTGTATTTGTGAGGACATACTCTGGGTCTTCATGTTTCACTTAAGCAGCCTCGAATTAAAAATGTTTGCCTTTCATGTCAGTTTTAAAGGGGGGTGATAATGCTATAGAAAATCACACAAAAGCTGCTTCTCCTCTCAGCTTTATCGACCTTTTTTTGGAGTTTCAGGTCATTGTTTATCAGTTTATCTCAGACTGCTCCCATCGCTCCAGTCTCCAACAAATACCTCAGGTGACAGATTGTGTTCTGAAAGCACACCAACAAGTAATACTTTCCCAGATAAAATGCAAAAAAAAAGGTCTTAAATTGGGGAGACTTTTAGATTTCTTTTAATCAGGTGGACATTTTATGTGTTTGATAAAATTAATCTAACACATAATAGCTGCATATATGAATGAGCAAATCATAGCACACTTGGCACAGCAGTGTTTCAGTGTCTACACTTTGTTCTGGCTGGCTTGTAGATGTTTAGTCATGTACAAAGAAAAAAAGATCTTCCTAGTCTTTACCCTTTCCAGCTTAATCTACTTAGGACCTGCTGTGATATCTTTGAAACAGAACAATCCTCTCCGTGCAGCTTTACTGAATACATGCGACATGCATTCTTCCATGCATCTGTAAACCCACTTGATATCAGCATTTTAACAACATATTAACAACGCGTTGCGATTCACTATCAAGCTCACTCAGGAAAAAGCAAAGTAGTTGGTGATTTTATTTATTACACCAGACTTTTTAGTTTAAAAGTATTGACCAAAGCACTTTAGTAAAGGAGTGAGTAAATGACAGTGTGTGGTGTATTAAATGAGAGTAAAACTAATTATTTACATGAGTTTTATAAGAATATTTTGGGGAAAATTTAAACAATTTTTTACAGCTGTAGTAAATTTGTGTTTGACAAATCTGACATTTCACTAACATTTAAACTACAGCTCAAAGTCCCTACAACATTCAGCCATGTTTATGTTTTATTGCTGTAATTCAATCGACCATAGATTCTTGTTTCATTCATTTATATTAAAATTCAACCTCAAAATGGTCGGGTGGTGTTTCATCATACAGAATATGTTCATAAAACATTTGAATGGTGTGTTTAGATATTTGGCCAAAAGAGGGCACCCTCATCTACTGTACAGTTTTGACCTAACTGTATTTTAAGACCTTAGATTTATAGACTGCAGTGGAAATGCCAGTTTGTACTTACTAATCGAATCCAAAAATGAAACTGTCAACCAAAGTGTTACCATTACAAGAAACTTATCCATTGAATTTGAGATTAAAATTTCAGCTGGACAGTTTGGCTGCAGGTCTAGAGGTCAAAGAAAGACAAAGTATCCACCTTTAAAGCCGTTTTGTCAATCATTGTCAGGTCATATTCAATTCAAGATTTAGGGGTCAGTGACTGCAGTGAGTACATACACAGGAATCAAAAAAGGGATTTCTCTCCAACCCACAGTGCAAAAATGTACATAGAATGTTTTTCAAATATACAAAAAAGTACAATAGAGAAGAGTTTAACATATTAGGAGAGTGGTATATACATCCACATCTACCCTTGTGCCTACTTTGTCCATGCATGTACACACGCCTATACACACACACACACCATGTGCATACACATGCAAACCTAACGACCAGACAAAATGATTGTGTTGTACATATTTACACATGACCTAAAGTGCAGGTGATGGATGCAATCTGCAGTAAACAGCATGTAAACAGTAAACATTAAACAAATTAAGCATCTACATGACAATTTCATCCAGTGATTGCTCGCATTTCAGCATTAATGGACCGGATCAGAGGGTTTAATTCCATGGCTTACAATTTTGATTATTTCTCATGACAAAGAGCTTTGATATTTTGTCCATATAACAGGAATGTAATACAACCATGGCTGCCACAGATGGGAAAGAAAACAAAACTCCCTCTGGGTTTAAGTTCCCAAACATTCCTGGTGTGAACCAAGAAGGACGTTACTGATGGGAATCAGGGTAAGTTGAAATTCCAGCGTGCCCCCCTTTTTTCTTCTTGTATATTTTCAGCAGCCAGCTTTGCCTCTGTTTGCTTTTGTGTCTGTTAAGTTCTCCCGTATTCTGCTCTTTGCCGTTTGCCTCAGAATTATAGAGTAACTTTCTGGACTAGACTACATTTCACATGTAAATTTAAACATAATAAAGTGCTTGAGCCATAAACATGTTTCTTTAATATATTAAATTATTCAACTAGTGTGAAGCCTCTTTTAGGGGTTAGTTTTTATAGCTATCAAACTGTAGCTTACAAGTTGGTGTTCCATGTACAGTTTTTCTAATCAGTTTTGAGAATATATATTTCTTCATTCCCACTTATGTTCTTACATATTTTGTTTTCATTTCTCAGATGTTGTTTAATGTGTCTTTAAAATGACTCTAATATATGAAATCCATGTAGTTATACTTACATGGACAATAATGGTTTGTGGTGGAGCCTTAGTGTGATGGGTTACACTGATGTCGAACAGGTCCTGGATTCAAATCCTCGCATTGACATACTCATTTAAATCTAGCATGACCTGACTGCTCCCACAGGAGTCTGGACGGTGCTTTTGAATCAACACAATGTAGTGGAAAGGACCTGAACAAATGAATGTAAAGCAGCACCTTAGAGTGATGGGTTAGGTTCTGAAATAAAATCTTAGCAATGACGGGCTTTCTTTGTATAGCAAGAAAGTTCTGGTTTCCTACAATGGCAGTCTAGACTGTGCTCTTGTATCAACACAGTATAATAGAAAATAGATTTAATTACACAAGGAAGCCCTGAAAAACATTACCTAAGAGTGTGGCAGAACATGCTTTTCTCACATGAAGTTTAGGCTTTTGAACAATGAAACAGTGAAATTAAAACAACTGAGAAGAAAACTCAGCAAGGCTCACCTGTGGTGTGGAAGGCCACTGCTTCTCAATGACAGGACCCTGGATTCAAGACCTGAAAGAAGCATTCCTTGTGTGTCTAGAAAGGGACCAAGAACTCACATCTATGCTAACCAGTGGTTTTGAACTTAAACTTAAATTCAAACAAAATGAAAGTGAAAACACCTACAAAAGCAAGCTTTGCCAGGCAAACCTTTAGTGTTGTGTCTATGCTGCCTCTCCATGAAAGGGTTCTGGGTTCAAGTCCAGGACAATGCCACTGCATATGAGCAAAGAGTTTTTAAAAAAAAGCAGTTTTCACATCTTTGTTAAGCTGTTTATGTTCAGCTAATGTGCTCACATATGAAATGATGTTTATGCTCACATATGAAATGATGTTTATGCTCACATATGAAATGTGTAACAGTAAATAAATATATCAAACAAATGCTTATTACATGGCATCATGGTAACTCAATCAGGATTTGAGCCAAATGAATTACTGATACATTTTGTATTAACCCTAAAAAAAAAAAAAATCACAGGACATTAGTTAGACCTTGTTTTCACTGAAATTTGATGTTATTTTTGCGGGGTCCAAGTTTTTGGTCCCCACTAAAAGTTTTGGTTCCCACACTGACAGTGGGCTGTTCTGGTCCCCTCAATGTAATAAAGACAGACGCACACAGACACACACTGACTGACAGCCCAAAAAAATGAAAAACATCCCAAGCTGTTGTAAGTGCTGAGGCAGCAATCCCCCATTAAAGTTGTTTGTGTGACAGCATTCATGTGGGAAATATACATTGAAGCCGCTCAAACCTCAGGACAGCCGACCAACAGCTGGAAATCTACCTGATCATTTTATTGCTTTTGTTTGTTCTGACGATTTTCCATGCAACTTTACTTGAAACAGCTTATCTGTCTGAATTTCACCCTGATTCTGAGATAAGTGAGGAAGTATCAAGAGCAGAGAGGTTTGCATAGATTTTTATCTGTAACATGTTACGTCATTCATAGTATCAGAGTGGAACTATAAATGTGAAACTACAATCAAGGAAATATTTAACATCTGTAAATCAAATCTGACACCATAAATCACCTTTCAAATGTGGCAAAGTTGTCTTGTTACCATTGCGATAGTATTTATGAGCTTCTATCTAAGATTGTAGTGTTGACGTGCTAGATATGAAAGTGAAACAAAGGTGAAATCCCATGACAGTGCATAACCTCGCCAGAGGTCATCAAATCTTACATAGATGTCACAAAACCTGGATTCTATCAGCAAAGAGATTTTAAAAGGTCATGAAATTATAAAAACAAGGTGTTGTGAACATGTGATCAACATTTGTGCTTTGCTTTCACACAAGTGAAAAATATATCAGACAAATAAAGGCAAACAAACATTCTGCAATGATAACAACAATACTTAAATGAAACAAAACAAGCAGTAGTTCCCGTCACTTCACATTAAATAAAGTAGTCAAAGCTGCTCAATGACAGTCATTTTCAGCAAGTAAATCACCAAGTTCAGACTTAGTCCACAGGTTGCTTTGGGCATCAACGTGATTCCAGCAGTGTTGATATTTTCACAGGCTTAACATTTTGTGCTACAACATTAGCTTGTGTATATAAGCGGCTTGCACAAAAGGTGTAATGTCTCTGTAATACAAGCAGTCACCCTACACAGATCCCAAACTATCCCAGAAGTAGAGTTGTGTCATTTATGAACATTTCATTCAAAAGTACGGAACTGCTGAGTGAATGAATGACGTGAACTGAATCACTCCAAGACCCGATTGGTTCATTTCTCAGTTCAGTTGAGTTCAGCTGCGAGCCTGGCATGCCGGTTGGGAGTGGAACTGCCGCCTTTGACTCTTTGGCGAATGACACACAGCCAGCCAGTGATCGAGCAGGTGGGCGGAGTCTCCTGATTCACTCACAGCGAATGAACGATATGTATCATTATGTGACCAAAATTGTAAGTGAACGACATGTTTCAGTATGTGAACGGAAATGATTCAGTCAGTCAGTCAGTGAACGACAGGTGAATGAAACGAACAACTTCCAAATGACTTGATCCAGGCAGAGGAGGGAGGGGGTGTAGTGTCATTCACTTACTGCTGAACACCAGTTTATTCACTGAGGCTAAGATAAAACAGTGCATTATAGTGCTTTTACATTAATACACCTGTATAAACTTTCCTACAAGAAGGATTTAATTTCAGCTGATTTAAAGCAATATGCAATTTGATATCTTAAACGTAGTAGAATCGCCGCTACAGCTGCAATGTTTATTTATTGTTAATCTCTCCACTTTTCTGGGACATAAAAGGATTTAAAAAAAAAGGGATATAAGGGATATAAAAAAAACTACAAAAGAGGAAACATTGGTGATGAGTCATCTTTGGAGAGTACACTTGCTTTAGGATGCAAATGCTGACCTGCAAACATCTATCACCATCAAAGCTGGTTATCTAGTCTAGAAAAACTGCTAAACTCAAACACAAGATTTCAGCTCAAACCTGAAAACAGTCCGCTTACAGCAAATGAATGGCAGATTTCTCTTTCAAATTGAGATTCAAAAGGTGACTACAAAATCTGAAGAAATTAAAGTAGAGCTGGGCAGATGTAGCTGTGATGATGTTTGAAGCTCTAACGTGGCATTCCCAAAACTTTGACATCATTATATTCAAGTAAAACAAGCTTTGGAGCTTTAAAACTATCTGCCCATCCCTTATAAAAGAGTTTATTAGTTTTAGTTTTCATCATGTCATATATGAATAAACAGGTGAATGTTATTGTACTGCTCTATATTTGACTGTAACACTGCAATATGAACCCCTGATTCTTGTCAGTGAGGAGTTTAGTGCAATCTTTGAGCCTTTTGTTTTTTCCATCCCAATGGAGAGGCGAAAAGTCTCCTAATCAAGTCAGTGTTCATGATCACAGTCTTTGTGAATTATGTTCATAGTTCTAATAATAAAAGAATGGGAGAAAAAAACATTTTCAGGTGTGTGGATGGTTGAATCAGTATTTTTTTCCTTACACAGAGAGATCATCTGCTCTTGTGCGACTGCTTGTCCCGCTGGTTTTGCTAAATCTCCTCTTGTCTTTCTGACACAGCCCTACATTTGGGCAAAGTAACAGCCCATCTGGGCCTCCATTTTGGATTTGTGGGCAACCAATTTCCCTGCTCCCAGGGCTGAAGCGGTTGGTGTCTGTCCTCATGTACCCGCCGTCTTGGATCTGAGCATTGCTGGTATCTTGCCATCCAGGGGAGTAGCAGCTGATCTGAAGGAGGTTGATGTCTTCCACAGCAGAGGCTATTTTGTGCTTCTCTGTGGCCATGTTCTCAGAGTTTTGTTGGTTGGCCAGACGGTGGTTGGGGAACAGGAAGTGTGAGGAGCCAATAACGCACTGGTTGAAGTCAGGTGGTGGGGTTGATGGTGGTGGAGGTGATATAGAGAGCTGCCTAGCCAGAGAGGGATTAGTAGAAGTGACATCCTTTCCTGAGAGGAAGAATCGCCTGTAATGAGAGTTTATACCCATGAACAGTCATGAAACAAGATAGGAACACAAGATTTGTAACTGCACCTTGAGCGAGACATTTTAGTGACAGAATTGGGTTACCATGAACTCTACCCAGACTCTTGAAAACAGCTATTATTTCTCTGATTTGCCTCTGGTTTCCTGCTCATACCTCTTCCTTTCTTCATCTAGGGCCCTCCCAACCACAAACCACATAATAGCTTTCTCATGATACGTGCAATTAAGGAGCGACACAAAGACGTCTCCGACCTTCAGGGTTTATTTATTTCCCACACAGTTGACCCTTTTCATTTAATTCCAATCAATGCAAGCTGAATAAATTAAGGCTTTATGGGGGTCATCCAAACTTCACAATTGAAATATATTGTACATTCACTCCAAATCAAAAAATTTTGGAGCCAAAGTACAGTAGCCAGTGAGGGGAGGTCATCTGTAAAGACACAAACAACCTTTATGTGGAGAACCAGGAAACCAAGAGTAAAAATGAACAGTCTTTTCAAATCCACCAAACAAATCTGTGAATCTTCCTCAGAGTTCAGGTTATCAAAGACAAAGGAAGTGGTCATTCATTTAAGAACTCATGCTTTTAAAAATCAAGCTCTTGAGTGTGATGAAAGCTACAAAAATCTGGGGACAGTGATAGATTACAGACTGACCTTTGCCGGTTTGTAGGAGGCTCATCGATGTGTTTTAACTGAGAAGACTGTTTCATTTTCAACGTGACAACCTTGTTATTTTATCTCATTGAGCTTTTATTGCATCTTTTTCCTTATCCTATCATTAATAACTAGTCTCTCAGAAACAAAGATGCTTTTTACTAAATCATCAAGTGGGTGTGAAAGCTAACAAGGGAGTCTCAGCCAATCTATCAGATCTCTGATCTTTACAGATACAGCGTAAGGCAAGCTTTGTTTTCCATTAATGTCCTCCTCCTTTAAATAGTGAGATTATTCACTCTGGATTTTGGTTTGTTGCTCCTCATGGGAGCAAAATGCTGCAGTAACACTTAATGCCTGCAGCTGTAGCACAACTGAGCAAATGCTATCAAAAGATTATGCACTTGAACTAAGTAAGGATAACTTTTAAGTGAGTGTCTATCTCAGCACTCTTTGCTGGTTTAAATGTATTTTGTCTGGATGTCCTTTAAACTTTGAATTTGTATTACTGAAAAATGTTTTATTTTTCCTTCTTAGGTACTGATATAGAAACCTTGACCTTGACTTTTGAGAAATGGGCTGTATAGGCCACTTAGGGTCCATGCAGGATTTGATGTGACTTTTTTTTTAGTTGACTAGGCCATTGAGATGCTTAGTACGACAACTAATTGCACCAACCCTTCCCCATACCCTTTCAGACAATAATTGATTACTTTTTAGAGGAGAAACAATACTTAAGTTGGTAAAAAGTTCTAGAATTTGATTTAACTTATGTCTTTTCAAGGCAGAAAATGGTTTTTTGATTTGTATTCTGAGCCAAATTTGGCTTCAGATTTTTATCAAAATGTTATATCATTGCTTCTTTAGTCTATAAGAAGATCTTCATTATTTTTTTAAGAAACCTCCTAAACCCAAAGCAGATCACAGAAAAGCCTGGCAGCCACACTCAGAAAAAAATCAGGATTTTATGGTCTTATTTTCAAAAGATGCCCCTTTCAGCCACTAGCATATAACATGCTGGAACATTTCATAACTTGTGGATAATGGTCCTACTGCTTTGATAATTTAGTATCTCCAATGTGCATGAAGACTTCAAAAACTGTTGGTAGTAGCGCACTAGAAAATCTTAAAACTTTGTTTAATCATACAACGTCTTTGTTATTAGACCTACCACTGTATTTTATTTTGTTCGTGAAACTACTGTCAGTCTGTAAACTTCTAAGAACTTAAAAAACACAAGTTTAAATCTTAAAGTCTACATCCAAGGCCCTCTGCAGTATTTAATGGCACAGGGGTGCTCTTAACTCTAACTTCCTCCACAAATGTTTGGAAAAATCACACACACAAAGACTTGACAACCTGCAGCAGTGCCTCCATGCCAGGTGATGCAGTTCAAGGACACTGAGGGCCAGGGAAACGGCTGACACGGCCAACATGAACACAATGAAGACGTTCTTCTCTGTCGGTCTGGACACATAGCAGTTGACTGTATGGGGACACGGCCAGGCCTGAGAGGGAAGAGGAGAATATGGTTGATAAGAACACAATATCATATTTTATTGTCACAATGTTTAAGAGTGATTTAAATGTCTGATTTTACCTTGCAGACATACAGAGGATTAAGGAAGATCCCATACAGAAAGTACTGGAGACACAGAAACACCACCTGTATGGAGAGCCAATCACAGTCAGTTTTATATGGTGGTTGAAGAATTACTCACATAGTTATTAATAATTGTCAGTTATGTGTTAAAGTAATCTAAATTACTAAAATGTCAAAGAGTCAAAAAAGTACAATAGCATGAACAACCAAATAAATGTAATACACTAATATCAAAAGCAACAATAGCGTAGAATATCTTCTTTCTATTAGTAAATTAATTATAAGATAACAAAAATGGGGCTAATTTAAGGTCAGTACTGAGCACTTAATGCTGATTGGTAGCTGGTGATTCCCCCAGGGATCATTAAAGGGATATTCAGGCGTAAAAATAAGTTGGGGTCTAACACATCTTAACACCAGCCAAAGCTAAAAAGATGTTTGATGGCTAGTAGTACTATGGCTGGGACCTATTGCCTGGTTTCTGTAGCAAAGAGACCAAACACAACTCACCCACTCTCCTCCAGCAGCCGCTTGTTTGTGGGGGAGCTTGGACAAGTTGATCACAGAGTGCTGCAGAGTTTTACAGCTCAAGGAAGAACATGTATGATCATTACTTCATGGAAATGCAATCAGACCAAGATGCTAAAGCAGAAGAACTACCATGTCTGTGGTGCAAAATGATTCATATGATGATTATTACTTCAAGGAAATGATCTGTTGCACTCAGTGATCGACTTGTCAAGGCTCCCCCACAAACAAGCAACTGCTGGAGGAGAGTAGGTGAATTGTATTTGGTCTCTTTGCTAAAGAAATTAGCCAAAGTTAAAAATATGCTTGATGTCTAATACGGTGGCTTGGACTCTATATGTACTGTTGATGAAGTTAGGTGCTGTTCTGAGCATCATTTGTGGCTATAGAGTGGCGTTTTGGTTGAGGTTTGCGTGTGGAGACGTAGACTGCTGTGTATTGCTATTGTGCGGTCATTACTAAAGTTGGTATAACTAGAGAAGCAAGCAGTCAGCAACATTCATCTCTCCAGGGGGTGTCTAACTCAGTGTAAAAGTGTGTTTTACCCTGACTTAATTTTATACTGGAATATCCCTTTAATCCCTTTACACCTTGACTTGTACCATAATGTACCATAATCAGGCAGGCATCTCTGGAGTTGAAAGATGAAGCCAATGGGAAATAGCAAAAAGCAGCGGTTTGAGAGACAGGCGAAAACCAAGATCTCCATGATATAATATACATGGTTATTTGCCAAATGAAAAAAAGTTCATTTTATTATACATATTGAATGGAGGCGAATTTTTTTAAGCTCATATGTTTGGATGAAGTCTGTGAGTTATGCATAAATTTGCCATGAAAGGCTGACTGACAGGTGAATGTTGTACCTTGCCAGAGGGCGTAAATTCCCCTACAGCCCTAACTCTTCTCCTGTGGTTGGATTTAAAGCTGAGCTAGCACTTTCAGTATGCTAAAAATATCTACAATAATCAAAACGATAAAGCAGTATACCAAATACATATTACAGCAGGAGTGCCTTAATCCTGCATTATTATCATTCATTGTCAGCAGGGGAGCAACTCCATTGTTTGCAAAAAGAGCCACATCAATGCAACACAAGTATATATATATATATAAAAACACCCTTTTCTTTGGTTTAAGACTCTGTCAATTAATGTATTTTCTAAACCACTAGTTTCAAATGTCCTGAAATACAACACAATGTTAGTTTGTAAATTTTGTTTGCAAGGATTGATGGTAAAGCAGTGCAGACCCCTTCAGGGTCAGCGTCATGATGATGCGACAGTATTGGCTGGAGGCAAAAAGAAGTAAATGTGACAGAAAACACAAATTGTCACCACAGGGTACAAGGCAACATAGAAGTCCTAAAATGTCATCTTTTAGTGTTATTGGTCTAAATGAGCCTCCATGGTGATATCCCAATTAGACATGGCAGTAGTGTGTGTCTCCCTTGTCATCTTTGATACCATAAAGCATAGTAATGACTGCGCCAAACTTGATGCTTTGAAATGCTGGTACACACACCCCACACTTAGGTCAGAGTCCCTTTTTGTATATCATCTAAGGGCAAAAGAAAAAAAGAAAAAAAAAAGGAAAAACGTTTGCCCATGGCTTGAGGAATTTAAATACAAAGCTGTACCAAATAGAGACACTCTTGTACAATTAACAAAAAACTGCACTTAAAAACACTAACTGAGCAATTAAACAACATGGAAATACCCAATGACAACCCAGGTTCTCTTTTTCCTCCTTTACTACGTCTTCCTCTAGCTCCGTCTTGCACCAGCCAGCTATAGAATTACCAAGAGGGTACAATAATGAGCCACACTAAAATCATCAGCCTATATCAGGAGCTTATCTATCACAAGACCAGCAAGAATCAGCAGAGACAGACAGAGCATAAATACTGACCCCTTCGACCCCAAATGCAAACTTTTTGAAACACTGCCTACAGCAAGTGGCTGCGGTGCATTAAGAGCAGAGCCTCAGTGTTTTGTTCTAGGCTGCAGCTGTCCACATCAACCAGACCCGGGGCACCCACTAACACTGACTCTGAGTCCACCACATACAGTCTGCTTGTTGAATAACCTTAAGGCTTATTCAGTAATGTTGGGATGAGTAGCAGCTCTACTACTACACTGTCTGTTTTCTTTCCCCCCCCCCACTTTTAATCAAGTCTTGTTACAATATACAATATTGGCACAATGTATTACATTAGACTGTGTCAACAGTATCTCAAAAGCATACATCCCTTTTATTAAGTGAAATTCGATTATGTAATTCCTAAAGAGAGGTCAATGACTGGCTCAAAAGGAAGTAACACAAAAACTAAATACATTAAATGTGGCCCAGATGCAAACTTATAAGCATTCATCAAAAAGCGGATTATTCATTTATCCAGTAAACATAAAGACACAATATCACTCATTCAAAGTCATGAATCTAGCACTCTGGTTGACCTAAATCCAATTTCCATCCTACTTTAAAGCTCTGTTTTGGTTTCCAGAAACTCCAGGGGGAAACATCTGGCTTTGTACTAAAATGAGACTGTATAATTTACCAAATGCTAGCAGCTTATCACATCCTCTTGTGGGGAAATTGTTTATTCACAGTTAATATGACAGAGCTAAAACTGGAGTCATACGGTGTTTAGTGTTAAGAGCAAAGTTGGCATTATAAGGAGGTAAGGGTGGATTAATGTAGGGTGACCATATGTCCTCTTTTACCCGGACATTTCCTCTTTTTGGGGGGCTGTCCATTTTGTCCGACTTTGTCTGGGGGGTTTTAAGTTTGTGTCATGTTGACTTACTGAGTTAGAGGCACATAAAAAAACACTCAACCTAACCCAAAAACCTATTAAAATTAACTATGCGCGACTCTGTGACTCCACCCCCGTATAGTCTTGTCCTCAGAAAATGGTCACCCTAATTAATGGGTACAAACAACTTGAGACACACTGTTAATGTCCCATGTCGAAACAAAAAATGCAGTCACTTACTTTAGATAACACATTTACGTAATGACATTTTGTGCTTTTTATGAGCCCAAATATGAACTTGCTTGCACTCTTCATTGGTGAAAACATGCTGTTTTGGACACCAGTCACATTTTTTCGGGGGATATGGTTGAGAGCAGCTTTCTGGTCAAGTTCTTAGATGATACAGCTCTGCTGTCTCTTCTCCAAGGCTTGGAGTCAGGCTATGGGGATGCTTTATCAATGTTTGTTGAACGGTGTGATGACGGCTTCCTTGATCTCAATGTCCAAAAGACAAAGGAAACAATCATCACCTTTGGACGGACTGACCGGGGGCCTTCACTTGAGGCTAGCATCATCCATGGTGAAGAAGTACAGACTGTTGATTCTTACAAGTATCTTGGAACGATGTTTGACTCTGGCCTAAAGTTCGTTCAGAGCACAGAGGCAATAGTTAAACGAGGTCAACAAAGGATTCCCTTGTTGCGGAAACTGAGATCTTCTAGTGTTTCTGAGGGCATCCTATCTTGTTTTCATCATTCTTTAATTGAAAGTCTTTTAACATTCTCTTTTATCTGATGGTTTCATGGATTATCAGTAAAGGACAGAGATAGCCTGAACCAGATAGTAATTAAGTCAAAATTACTGGAGTACAGCTGATGGACCTGAGCTCTCTCTGTGAGAAACAAGTGGTCCAGAAAGCCAGGGGAATTATGGACCAGCCCAGACACATTGGCCCTCATTTATCAAGCTTGTGTACGGCAGAAAACTTGCGTACACCTTGCGTACGACAATTTTGACGTGAGGATCGTCATTTATCAATCTAAACGTGACCGTAAACTATGACCAAATCTCATGACAGGTCTGACATCATGAACACAAGTTTGAGTCAGTGTGGATCTGCAGTGCAGCAAATGTCTGTCTCAAAATCATTGATATACAAACCTCAAACCTGTCATTAAGCACAATCAGCCAGATTTCATTAAAGATTAAGACGTAAATAAAATAAATTTGTTATGTCCTTAGTGAATAGGCCTATTTGATAACTCTGCCCAGAAACACTGCCACAGAGCAGGAGCGCCATTTCAACATTACGCACACACGTACACGCGCTACTGTGGAGCGCTGCATTTGGCTTCTACAAGGCAGGTGTCTTTGTCTTGGTCCAGCAGTGGGGACGTTGTTGAACACTCCTGAAAGAGTGTGGGACATCATTTGAGCCAGTTCAGTTTTACACAATGTTGCTCTGGCGAATATAGTGCCGTTGGTTGTGCCGGTGCAACGAGAGGACCTGATGGATTCTGATATGTAAAATATAAGTTTAGAAAGTGCTCTTGCTATTTAATCAGTGATAAAAAATCCAATAGAAATCCATAAAAATGTGCCTCAGAGGCAGCAACACACCGTTTGGTGACGTTAATAATTATTTTTGTTCAGCCTCTGTCAGACTCTTCAGTCTGCTCTACATTACAAAGAAGCAACAAATTAAAACTAAAGACTTTCAATAATAGGAGCAACGTACCCCATATCATGGCAATAAAAAATATGAGGCATGTATGAGATATTATCATCACGAGCAACTTATTGACTAATGATTTATTCAAACTTCAGCCACTGTCTGGACTGCTTTTATTCCAGTTTTGATGCTTCCAAAGAGAAAATCCCTGTTAGTTTCCACCACAGATGTGAGGATATCCACTTTCAGCTCGGAAAAGTTTCGCATCTTTCTAATATTTCTCCTCTTTCATGTTTGGCCTTAGTGGGCGAGGCTTCTGAACCCAGATATTTAAGGGCGTAAACATGTTAATGACGATCGATTTCAGCCGCTGCATTTATCAAGACCCAATCAAACGTGCGCTAGGGTTGGTCAGATACGAACCCTGTCATAAATCTCACGTGTGTCCTATCGTAGGATGAATCCTGCGCTCAGATCTGCACAAGATTGATAAATGAGGGCCATTCTCTTCCTCGACTTTTCTCTTATGCCCTCTGGGCGGCGCTTCTATGCTCCCCCAAGGAAAACAAATAGGTACTCCAACTCATTTATCCCCTCAGCAATGCTGGGAAGTAGCTGATTGGTGGCCTGTGTTGAAATTGGGGTCTCAGGATGATTTAAGTTCTTATTTTACTTCTTTTATGGCATTATTTCTTATGGCATTTTAGTCATTTCACTGTTGAACGTTTCGCACATGTATTTATTATCAATATATTTAATTATTGCTGACAGGGTAATGTTTGGGCCATACTGTGAATGTCTGGCATTTGTCTGTTCTTTGACCGGGGATTAATAACGTTGTCTGAATCTGAATCTGTTTGTTGCTGTTCAGGAATCCAGATTTGTTGCCAGATGTACCATTATTTTCCATAAGCTACAGACCTTTATCAGGTGGTGGTCTTTTGAAGGCTTACATGTTTAAAACATCTGTTTGCTGCTCATGGAAAAGTGCACCTCAGCTGAATCAAACCATGCAAAACCAAAAACATGGAGTTAAGAGAAGCTTAAAAGCTCCCAGCTAAAGGTACATGTACCTCCATGATGCTTCGTATCAGTATGCTCAGTATGTAGGTCTGTAGAAGCGCGCCCCTCAGACGGATACGACCTGCAGATGGACCTTCTCTTTTTTCCTTTTCATCATCCCTCTCTCCTTTCCTCCCCTGTTTCTCTTCTCCTCCTCCTCCTTCTCCTCCGCCAGGGTCTGCCTCTCTCCCGCCCCCTTCGCCTGACTCTTCCTCTCTGCTCCTCCTCTTCTCCTCTCTGCGGACAGTGTGCATGGCATGGCCCATGTAGATCAGACTGGGAGTGGACACAAACACAATCTGGAGCACCTGGGAGGACACAGGGAAAGTTTGTAATTAAGTTCTATATCCTAACCTCATCAAGACTAAATCAAACAACCAATCAGGATTAGCATACATGTAAAAGCACGCGCATCACTAGCCAATCAATCTAGCATCATCTAGTTTCTTAGTCACTTTTGTCAGCAAAAAAAAAGAAGAGGGTCAAGTCAGAGTAAAGTTTTTAACTGGCGACACCTGCAGAAGTTTTTGGGACTACAGAGCTGTGTGCAGCTTGTCCTATGACTACAGGACAGGAAACAGCAAATGTAAGCGCTAGGCTTTAATGTAGAAGACCATCCACGTGATAACTCTAGCACTTTTTTATACAAACTTTCTTAGCAAGAAAGTTTTGAATTAAATACCATCTTTATATCCATGAGTTAGAAGGCTTCTAAAGCATTTATAACTTTGTTGCCCTGTATGACACTTAGCCATGCAAACTGATACCCCATAATAGGGCTACTGCTTAGCTAGCTATGTCAACCTGGATACTATTGTTATGCTTTTGTAGCAGTTATAATCTTGACTCCAAAGTAAAATCTCAGCAAAATGCTTGTGCACACTATAGTTGTATTGATAGGAGGGGCTTTGCAGAGTGATACTTGGTAGCAGAGGGAAAGGCAGAAAGATTTAATTTAATTCAAGGATAAAATTTCTTCCTGCTGCTTTCAAGCCTCCATAAAATGTACTTGACTGAGGCCTGGACTACACGTATATAGATATTTATTTATCAGGATATTTTTGTACTCCCGTCTAAATACATGTATCTGTCCACACGTGTTAGTTCTCAAAAATATCTGCGTCTACACATAGCCTTCAAACTCAATCCTATCTGGTGCCGCTTAAAAAAAATTCAGGAACAAAGCTACCTGATTGGCCGATGAATCGTAATAGCGTGATGTGTCATGCATTGTTTACGGAAGCTACGCTAGTGCGTCGGGTCCCCATGTGACAGTGTGGCGGCTATAACAAAGCAGACACGTCTGTGAGCTGGCTGACTGGTGGATGTAATTGTATAAAACAAGGTTCACTTGCGAGGCTGAAATTAGCCCCAAAAGGGCAAAACAAACGTAAAGAATACCCTGTATGTCCGCCATCGTTGTTGTTTTTCTTTTTAATTCGCATGCGCCAGCTGTGGTTTGACGTCATCGATCCGTAAAAGTTCAACCACACTAATCCACTTATACGGATATATTTTTATTTCTCCACTTGTTTTTTTGGATTCAGATTTATCGGGTTTGAGTGTTCCAAACTCTCGTTTTGGTGTGGTAGGGAGGCCTAATCGGACATAAATAGGGGCCTGAGTGCTGTTGACATTTTCCACTGGCTGACTCAGATGTAACTGCACATGACTGATCAAATCTTGTAATTGTTTGACTCTTTGAAATTTTCTTTAAATTTCAAATCTTTTTAAGGGTCATTTGTAATGCATTTTTGATGACCCTGATGAAGGCCACAAGCTGGAACGAGTCGGTCTAATAAAGTTGTTTCCTGAACTAAAAGGGTTCTTTTGATCTTTTGATCTCTTCAAGACCTTTTTTCTCCAAGCACATTGGATGTTGGTGAAGTTGTGCCAGAACTCCTGAACTCTGACATTTTCTTTTCAACCGTCCAGTCTTTTAACAATGCCAAAACTCATACCGTTTTCTGTGTTGTGTTTGTTTCAGCCCTATTCAAGTTAGTTGACATCTTTTCATCACAAGTTCTGATTGTGTTTCTATCTCGTCCTCCCTGTTTCTGTGCTACTTTTCCCTTTATTTTCCTTACTTTCAGCCAGTATCATAATAATTTGAGTTTTTCACTTTCAATGTAAGTTATAGGTAATATCAAAACTAATTTGGTTACTCTATTGCTGCAATGTCAACATGCCAAGGTGAAAAATACCAGAATTATTTTACAGGGAAACGTTTGATTTGACATGTGGGATCAGGTTTTGCTACCCAAAATTAAGTATTCACAACAGCCAGGTAGTAGACACTCAGAACAACCAGTAGGACCTCCGTAATCAGTTAGAATAACAAGCAAATTAAGGTTTCTCAGGATTACCCCACAGCTATTACCCCACATGACATCAGGTTGATCACATTACCCAGTATCGTATGTGCGCTATAGGAAAGGCTCGGTCATAACAGACGTTCTCACAGCCTGGTTGTTCAGTGTCACAGTCGAAATCTTCCTGTTCATCTCCCCATGACGACTCAGCAGCAGTCCCCAGCACCAGGATACGGAAGATAAACAGGATGGTCAACCACACCTGTGGAGCAGAAAATAAGGAACAAACGAGACAGACATGAAACCACAGAAACAATAACATGTAAAGATTTACTTTGTTCAAGGTTTTTTGAGGTCTGCACAGCTGTATAATCTTCTCCTTTTAAAAATAAATATGGTTATAAATGCTTGCCTATAAAACCAGAGAGCAGATATTATTTTAGGTTATTAAATGTACGTCATGTGTAAAATTAATCAAAACAATTTCATATTTTTAACAAGAGAAAACTTCATACAGTGACCTGACCTGAATTTTTCACATTGCATGGGTTTTTCTATCAGGGATATTGTACGTTTGAAATGGAAAAAAAAAACATTTCCTAAGATCTCACGCTACCTCATGGCATCAAAGGACTCTTGTTATTTATTGACTGGGAGACTCAGAAATTGCAAACTGTGCCTTTAAAGTCTTGTAGATTACATCATTATATTTTCGTTAAATATAAACAACTTATTCTGACATAAACTTTCTGTCTTCTCATTACAAGACAGACACTAGAAAACTATATAAACAGGAGATTAGGAAATAACTAAGTATTTTATTTTGGGTGCATATGAAATGTCTGTTTATCTCTTTTTCCAGCATGGATAGGAAGTCAGACTGGTGCCCTGCTGGCTGGCATACAGTGTGTGTGTGTGTGTGTGTGTGTGTGTGTGTGTGTGTGTGTGTGTGTGTGTGTGTGTGTGTGTGTGTGTGTGCAGTTGTCTATGAGTGTGTTTGTCTGTGTGAGTTTGTGAAACACTACCTTGCCGACCGAGGTAGAGTGCTCTTGCACTTCCTCCAGGAAGTTTCCCAGTAAGCTCCAGTCTGCCATGACTGATCACACGCTCAGCACTGATGTTCAGCTCACCCAAAATCTGTCTCTAGGCAATGGACCAGCAGGTAAAAGATTCACCTAAAAATAGAGAGGAGACCAGAGACCAGGTTCATTTAAACCAACAAAAGATCTGTGCAGAAGTGGCACATAAGAGGGGTTTCTTTTTGTTTCAAGCCTAAACTCAGTGCAGTGGAAATCAACTGAGGAGTTTAAGCTTGTGCTTTTGGTGCATCTATTTTTTGACCAATATCTTCCTGCCTTGGGTTATGTCCCACAGTTCCCAGAATGCTTTTCATCAACAATAAAATCAAATCAATAATCAATGGTCAATGAAATACTGTGAAAACCTCTTCATTGCCAACCAGCGCCTGTGAGGGTGTTACAGAACTAAACTAAACATTTGTTGGACTGAATATCAGCAGAGGTGTATTTTACATCTTCTTAACCAATATTCATGTTCAGCTGCACGTATTGAAGATGTACAGAACATGACGTGAAAGAAAAATGAAGTAGTGACTAAAATGTTTGGTGCTACAAGGCTTCAAGGTTCTTGTGCTTCTCGACGGGATTTATAAACACCATGATACCACTGATCTTTGTCCCAAACAAAAAAAGAACCCAATATTATGCTGTATGTTTTTTCCACATTGTGACTACTGAGTATATCTGCAAAGTAACTTTAATGTGCACTTTTCAGCACAAAACAACCAAGATCAAAAACTTCTAACCTGTGTGCAACAAGAGAGGTAGCAGAGAGCGTTAGGGGAAAATACTGATTCGTAGTTTGAAACCGGGTCAAGTTCTGCATGGGCAAAAAAAAAAAGAAGGGATTTTCTAAGAATAAACATGTTGTTTTATCTCATCTATTGAGGTTCCTGTCACATGTGTTTTGGCTAAAGTCAGAAACTTTGTGGTTCCTCTCAGCCTCGGGTTTGATTCTGCCTCCAGCTGCATGCCTTCCCTGCCTCACTTCAGCTGTACCATCATAAAAAGGCAAACATGTCCCTGATAATAACTTTAAAAAAAAAAGGTCCACCAACAGTGTGTTTTCCAAAGAATCAATTCACAAAAGATTCTTTGAAGAGATATTATTTTTGGTTTTGCCAGTTTACCAGAAATTGGTTTGAAGTTTTGGATTAATCAGTGGAAACTTGCTGAAGACCACAGCTGAACTGGATTTTCCTAAAGCAGCTTGGTTCCTGTGATGGTAGATGGCAAGTGTGTTTGTGTGTTTGTGTTTGTGTGTGTGTTCTTGTATTATCTTGACTCTGTGACCTCCTCTCCACCCGACATGACCCCATTAATAAAAATGTCTATATGCCCATGCCTTAGTTTAGCCTCTCTCTCGGTTCCCACAGTCAGTTCTGTCCGTCTCTGGGGAAGGAAACTTAGTAGACAACTGTAAACACACACACACACACACACACACACACACACACACACACACACACACACAGTTAGTCTCACTATTGGTATGTCCTATATGCCACAGGCAATTCTGATTTAAAATTATAATTAAAGTAAAATAGTACAAAGACTATTTTTGCAGCTTTACATTCCCAGAAACATGACTGGTGTTAGATAAGAGTCTGTTCTGAGAAAAAGTTAGTACTAATGAGTCGGTACATCGCAGCTGGCAACTTCCTAGGAGATCAGGACAGACTAACAAATTAACCAATTAACTAACTAACAAATTCAATCTCACATGATAATTTCTGTTTGTGTTGAAAGAGGACATTTTTCAACAAATGCTGCTAACTTTTTGTTTTACTCTTACATTTTGGTTGTTCTTGTGTGGATATCAAATGTAAACAGATGTTTTTTAAAGCTGCCTGAAGTAGATGATTTAAACTTCAGCTCAGTATCTCTTTAACTGTTAGAAATGCGTTTCATACACTTATAAAGGTGCAACCTGCAGCAATTTTCAGCTGCAGGAGTTAGCTTTTTAGAGTAAAAAATGTTCAGTTGTCACTGGTGTTGGCTGTGTCTCTGGAGTGGAGGTTGTTATGGCTGTAGGGTGAGTTACCTCCTTTTCCAAAAGCATCATTTGATGTGTTTTGTGAGGAACTACAGGCTGTTCTAGCAAAGATTTTTACTTTTTTATAAACTGTCATTAATTATGCTGCAAAAATTACATTAAAAAAAAGTAATGAATGAATGGATAAATGGTGAGAGCTACGGCAAATTACTGCACTGATTTCACTTATTTCTTATCATGTGTAATTCCCATAGTCACCTGACAAATATGTCTAAGTAATATAGTGTCTATACAAGCCACAAGGTTTCACATCTGTCCCTCTTCATATGTTAATATGGTTTAGATGACACATAAATTGTTTTAAGTTTCAACAAGACCTTGGTTGTTGTTGTTGTTTTTTAATCTTAAATGATTTTAATCTTGACGTTAGTTGCTAAATAGAAAGGGCCCAAAACTGAGACAACCCATCACTCTTTTCATGGCATTCAGTATTGATAATTGGTGAGGATTTCAAGCTTCTCTTTTGGCAGGGCTGAGGTCATTTGTTCTGTTTTTATTTCCTCTATGTAATAACGTGCATATTTAAAGCATTTTATGTTTACATGATTAGATCTTTGTCATCAGTGTTAGCTTTAGTGGCTAATCATGTGACACATACAGGACACATTTCACTCCATTTCTTTTTCTCTCAGGGATCATTTAAGACTGCAGCTTCATTGGCAGGCGAATGCATGAAACCAAGACCACCTGCTCTGGTTTAACAATGACAAAGAATCCTTAAAATCCCAAAAGACCCAAAAGTCCTAATTTTGGTGTGATATTATGAGTTGATTTAATGTTAAGATATTATGTGCTGCCAAAATACTTTATTCATCTGCAAAAAATCATAAATTTTGTAATATTTGATTCATATTAAATGTAGCCATCCTAACCAAACAGCACAAGAAGTGTTGATTTTTCATATTTTTCACTCTAACTTTTTAATGATTCTGTTTTCATGTAACCTAATATAAAAAATACTCTGAGATCAAAAGAAGTCTCTTTTCCGTTTTTTTACAATAGCTCTCAGTGTTGAAAGGCTGATATTGGTGATTCGTTCTTCAAAGCTTCAGATTCTGGACCAAAAAGATAAAATCTGCCTTTAGGAAAAAAGAGATCATAAAACCACATTTTGAGTGAATAAAACAGTTTCAGATAAATACAAGTCTCTCTGATCTTTCATCAGTTACTTTTTCTTGCTAAGACGTTCCTCCCTTCCTGTTTTTACAAAACTCAGCTGCTTTAAAAAGTCTCTGTGTGTGTATGTGTGTGTGTATTTATGTCTTTCACAAGTGCTCCCATCATTAATAACAATATTACTTCCTTGTATAGACTCATGCCTGACCTTTACGTGGATGTGTGTGTCTTTGTGTGTGTGTGTGTGAGAGAGCATTATCAAGCTTTCAGTATTGTTCTCCATCCTGCCGTGATTACAGGCACCCAAATACACACACACAGCACACACACCTACTCTCTCTCTCTCTCTCTCTCTCTCTCTCTCTCTCTCGCTCTCTCTCCTCCCAGAGATGGTTAACATAAATAAGTGTGAACTTAGATTTGATAATAACTGCATTATGGGTAACAGTGTCAATAAACTGAAAATGGAGAAAATCAGAAGAACAACATCATAGAAATTTTGGACAGAAATTGACAAACTTTAATATTAAGTTAGTTTTGTAGAAAGCTAATATTATTCACTGACTCTAATCTCTTCAATGTCAACAATACAGAAAACACTTGTTGATTGGTTGTTATTTTTCCTACAAATAAAGACTCCATGCTCCCTGACATAAGTTGAGACAAGTATAACCTGTTTTTCAAACTTTCAAAAATCTGTTTAAATCTGTTACTTAAGTTAACAACCCACAGTGCAAACAGCTTGTAGACAATAGAGAGAGAAAAGAAAGAGAAGGAGAATGAGAGAGAAAGAGTTGCAGTCATCCCACTAGTGCTGGTATACTTTATTCCAGTGGTGATATTTTTAAGCAGTTGAACCATAAACAGATGGTGCCTTTTGAAGATAGAAAATTGATTTGACTCCATCAACACATGAAGTCACAATAAAGGCACTCCTATAGCAGCACAATATCTTCTTGGTGCCACTTTTTGGCACATCTTTGTGTTCTTAGTTATGGTACCGTGTTTTTCTGCAATGGCCTTTGGCATATGAGATAGCAACTGTGAAAGTCTTAACAAAGTACAGTATGTTGATTCTAAGTTAAATCAACAGTACTGAGAGGTGATGGAGCATTATTCATATGGTTTACAGATCTTGTGCTCTTTATTACTGCTTCTGGAATATCTCTCATTATATTACTCAGTCGTGTGTGACTGCTGTATCCCTGTGCATCTTGTTTGATGACACACAGATGACACACCAGGAGAAATGACTTGTGCAGATGATGTTGTGGTGGATAGATGAGCCAAACAGAGGGTGTGCATTCATGCCGCATGGGGCCCCTCAATCAAAACTAAGAGACACTACATCCTTCAACATGGCTACATTTAAAGGGTATACCACCAGAACAGGGTAAAACAGACACATTTCTGCTAGATTGAAGGTATTGTGACTGAACAGAAATCTAAGACCTGTGGACAAGGCCTTGTAGACCAAAAGTAGGTTTCCTAACATGTTCCTGATTTATAAGCTGGGAATGACGCCGTGTAAAGTCTGCAGGAAATATATTTTTCCTCAAATAAGAATGCGTTGGTTTTACCTCTGATAAACTCTAGGCACCTTCAGTTTATCATGTGACACAGCAATAACTGATCTCTTCTTGCCTGTGAATGATACCCACAGGCTGATATCTTTGGCTTTCACTGCAAAACTTGTCTTGAAATGACTTGATAAGAAACCAGGAATCTAATCTCAACATAACCCAGTGTCATAATCATAAGTTTATTGTACAGATGACCTGCTAAAGCAGTGTGTCCTAACTGCACAGCTTTGTTCAGTCAGTGGCTCTGTAGTGCAACAGGTAGCAGTGTCTGATTAATTTAAAATACATTCTAGCTGGGACTTGGAACATAATCTGGCCTGACTAGGTTAGCTTTGGCATGGTGATCTGGGATCTGGTGATCATATGATGTTTAATGATTTTCCAGCAGAGTAACGTTTCTCAGATTCACTTTGTGTCAAAATAGATAAGTTCTTATCAGTCAAACTCAATCAACATTCAATCCACCTTACTTGAAGGAAAGCCTGTTGGCTGGTTGGCACCCTGTCGCTAAGCTAGCCCACTGTTGCACAGTCTTTTCTGAAACCCAGTCCTATTTTACAGGAGCTGAAATATTATCGAGAGGAGGACTTTCCCAGACACATATATATTATCAAGATTTCGTTGACTCACCAACGCACAAATAGGGCACTCACCAGTTTGTATCCCTTATGTAAACTTAATGTCAGTGTAGTTTCTTGAACCCTATGACTTTGCTATTTTAAACTGATCCATGGAAACTCTTATACAAACCCAAGAGTGCCAATAACAAACGTAACTTTTCTGGGAACTGCTCGGTTAGTATAACCCAAAGAGGAAACACAGAGTGCTGTTTTCAGTTTAAGATGTTGTGCCGTTCCCGGCATCTAAGAACTGCCTGTAGTGCTCTAAAACAGCCAGGCTTTATCACCAAAATGTATTTCCATTTACTGTTGTTACTTTATCAGTTCTTTTATTTTATTTTATTTTATTTTATTTTATTACAAAGTACTCTGGAGTGTCCCGAGTCAAAAATGGGACCATTTTTCTTAAAGAGCCAAGAGTGAACAATAGTTAACTCCTGACTTTATTGGGCTAAAACCTAATAACTAAGAGACAATTCATAAGATTAAACTTTTATTTTACCTCAGTCTGATCTTTCTGCTTTGCAATAGCCGTAAGATAACGGTGATCTATTATGAGTAACTATCTGCTTGTAGTGTTACTGTCCTATAAGAGGGAAATGTCCCGGACAAAGCACTTTTTATGAGGCCAAAAAAACAGCTCTATTTTTAACTTTAAAAAGGCATAATTCCAGCTTGTACACAATGGGTTGAAATGTTGATTTTTGGAGAAAGAATAAGCAATTCTTTACTAATAAAAGATTACTGGAGTCTAAATTTAACAAACTAAAACAAAGATTTGCTCTTCACTACATTGCCTGAATGAACATACTTAAACTACTCTAAATTCACCACTTTTACATTAACATTATTTTTGTTTATATCATATTTAACGCAGTATATTGCACAGAGCAGCCGTGCATTGTTAATAATAATGATACTAAACACAGCAAAGATAGAAAATCCCTCGGGCAAATAAACAGTCATCTAGGGACTTACTGATTAGAGTGCAAATAGTTTAAAACCAAAGTTTTATATTCAGTATCTATTTTACATGCACAAGCACAAACCTGATCAAAAAGTAGAGCTGCAGCAGACTGAAGAAAACCTTAAAGTTGGTGAAGTGCTGCTGTCCTCTTCTTTAACAGCTGTCGTTGAGGTGCCGCTGAGCAAGACAGCTCTCACAGATTCAGCGATTCTCAGCAGCCAGCAGCAGGGTGTTCTCACGCAGTAGGTGATCACTCGGGTACAGATGACTTCCAGAAGAGTGATACGTTTGAGTGTTCTTCTTAAGTCAAACTTTTGCGTATTTCTGTTCGGTTTCAAGTCGAGACAGCTTTCAAGGTCAAACGCCTCGAAAACAAAGTAAATAAAATCTGAAAGAGACGAGCTAACCAATAAGAACAGACGCCTGAAGAAGTGTTGAGTTCCTTCAGAAGATTTTGAGAGTTTATGGTCGGCCCGCAGAGAGGGAGAGAGAGAGAGCAGTGTGTGTGTCCAGAGGTCTGATCTGAAATATAAGTGACACTTAAGTCTGTACCAGCCTCTTTCTTCACTCTCTCTCTCTCCCTCTCGCTCTCTCCATTGCCTACATCTACAGCAGAGGAAGTGGGCCTGGTGCCTCCCTGCCTGCTATTCAACTCTTATGTATGTGCTTGTGTGTGTTTGTGGTGTCTGGCATCTAAAGGAAGTCTGATATTGTATTAGGACACAATGGCTGCAGGTCCCCGTCCTGCATTCCCCCGTGTCACTCAGCTCGGCTCTGTATGTCCCACTTAGTCCCTTTGTTTTTTGCTCATTGGTGTAGCCAAAAGTTTGAGCAGATCTTTCAATTATTCATTGAGAGCATGAAGTGAAACATGGAGTCTGTATTTATCTGTGCTCAGTTTCTGGATTGGCATAATTCCACTGAGGACTTTCGATGAGGATGTTCAATATGTCTTAAATGGGAGAGACTACACTTTTGTGGCGCTCTACGAATCTTTTGCCAATCCCTGACCCATAGAGGGTTAGATTCATATCCCCTTACCCTAACATCTTAACGAACTTGAAGGTCTAGCCCCCTTTTCGATAAAATTTGAAACCACCATGGATTAAATATCTGATCCTAACAGACTTTCAAAGGGTCACCACACTGTTACTTGGTAACTTTCAACATACCGTAGGTTAGGGTGACCATACGTCCCCTTTTTGGAGGGCTGTCCGGGCTTGTCCGACTTTGTGTGGGGGAGATTATAAAATCTTTCAAATGTCGGGGGTTTTGTACAGAAGTTTTGAGTTTATGTCATGTGGACTAACAGAGTTAGAGGTGTGTAAAAAAACACCTGATCCAACCCGAAAAACTTTCAAAATTATCTACATGCGACTCCATGACTCTGCCCCCGCGTAGTCCTGTCCTCTTTTTTGGGACTCAGAATGTGGTCACCATACCATAGGTGATTGCATCTTGTATCTGAGAACTGTGTTTCTCAAATGTTTGAACACTCTTCTTACCATCTATTTGTTTTATTTTGTTCCTCTTCTTTTTGTTTTTTAGTATGATTTCCCTAAATACCCTTTGTGACTTTTGCCCGTGAAGACCGCATTTTAAATAAACCTGACTTTCTTACTTTACTTTTCCCCTACCCCTGCTTTTCCCTTCTAAAAATAACTAAAACATCAAGTGTGGTGAATTCTGTCACACACAGGGCCTAAGGTGTGCTCCAGTGCCTCCAATCTTTCAGTGTTTTCCAATCTTTTCTTTTCCAGGAAGTGGTGAGACCTCTTGGGCGCCACATGTTAGAGGGACCCATTGTCCCACTCAATCAGGACTTTTCCTCAAGTCCCACCTTTAAACTTGTATAGCCATCCTTTCTCTTCAACATTTTTACATCCCTAGGGTTCCTTCAAATAAACATGGATGCTTACGTCATGTGAATTTCAAATCACTGCCAGGGCTATATTCAGAGTGGTGAGCTTGATGGCCAAGGTCCCCCATCAAATCTGATTGACTACCTCAGGTGTCAACTCAAAATCAAAAACTTTGATTGACTATTTGCTTTGTCAGTGATAGGACTTTGACTAGAAATAGACTATTTTAACTGTGCTGCAACTGTCCTCTGGTAGTTTCTTTTTCATTTAGCTTACTTTCTCCTGCTGGTACCCTGAAGTGCAGAAAACACTGTCAAACTGTCAAATATGTTAAATGTCTCAACTCAACTTTGTTTATAAAGCACTTTTCATATGTACCAGAATTCGGTCCAAAGTGCTTCACAACAGATAAGAAAATAGCAGTAAGATAAATGAAGACATAAAAAATTTAAAACAAGTTAAAGTTAGATAAAACAACATTAACCAACAAAACAATAATCCTTTTGTAAAATCCATGAAATCCATTTAAAAAAACAAACAAACATTGATCACTTTGAATTAAAAGTCAGATTTAAAAGATAGGTCATGAGTTCCTTTTAAAGACCCATTCATGTTTTTCTTGTTGTCTACATGTTCATATGGCATTTTTCTGATGCTACAGGACATATCATAAGAAAACTAAGTGCAAAATTGCATTTCTGAGTATTTCTGCATTCAAATTGCTGTGAACCTCTTGCAGACCCAAACGGCAGGTTCAAACACAATGGGATTTTCTGCCCCCGGCGTCCCATTATGCAGCCCGATTGGTAGAGAGGGCGATCATAGAACAAGTGTGTGCATTCGCAGATTGCAGTACTTGTAAGAAAGCTAATTCTGATATAACTTTTTATCGTGTCCCTAAAGACATTAGTGTCTGAGAGCTGAATAGTTCTTATGTTACCTGCCACTTCAGCCACATCTGCGATGTTAGGCTACAAGCTAGTATGAAGAGGAGTGTGCAGACAAGCGCTGTCTCCGCCCACAACTAAGGGGCGAATTGCTAATGATCTAATGGAGCTCTGCAGAAGAAAAGTCCTTGATGATAACACAGGTAACGTGATTTTGGCAAAAAAAAAAAAAGAAAAAAAAAGTCATAATTACAATTTAAAGACCACTGATAACACTTGGATCCTTTATGTGTGTGTGCACTCATACGTAAATCCAGGGCAACCCCAGCCAAAAGAGTCGGACACACCCGTCTTATTAGTGAAGGGACATTTTCTTTCCATATGGAAAATGTAACTCAGTGAAAAGAAAGTCTCTTTACTCAGACCACAAGGGTGGCAGTGCAGCCAACATTTCCATGACTGCCGTATGACAGAGGGACTAATCTTCGTGACAAAATTTTAGGCTCCTTGAATCAGCGTGGACGATTTTTTTTTTTCCAGAGAACTTGTGATTGTGTCAAATGCAGTCTTCTCTCCTCCAGGCCATGATCAGTGTTTGAGCGTGTTGTAGTGTTGACCAGAAATCCCCTTCGATTCATCTAAAACAGTAGTTGTCACATGTGACCCTTGTGGTTAAAAACAATACAAAACCAGAAGCACTTTGGCATTTGGAAAAGTTTTATGGTCTTGTAAAGTTAAAGTCTGTTTAAGATTCGACTAAAGAGTGAGACTTTACACAAGGAAAGTTACATCAAAAAATGTCTTGATGTTTATTTTCAGCAAACCATGACGATATATGAAGACCCCAATTATCACAAAAAGCAAATACACTAAGACTGAATTAATTTAGCGGCCCTTTTCAGGGTCTTACAGGGTAATAAATCATAGAGGAGCTGCAGAAGTGAAATCACTTCTCATTTTCTCTGAAGTGTTAAATGCATTTATGATTTTTTCGTCATGCATTCATTGACTCTCATCAAAGCTAAACATTAAACAATTCATGCAATTCATACACTGGTTTAATGACCCTACAGCATTCATTCACACAAATTTATCTTCCTCCAGACATTACAAGGTGCTAAGAGCTTGTACCAACAAAAGACTCATAGAAAACTTGCTGCTCCAGACTTTCCTCTAATTTGTCATGCACGTAAGTGAATGAACAAGCAGATTCACCAATAACTGTCTTATTAAATCATAAATACTTGATGACCATGTATAATTGAACAGACAATGATCGATAATAAATTTTAATTATTTTTTTCTTACTTAAAACATTTGACCAAGATTAAATCCCAGACCTGTATTAACTGGCTGTTCTAAACATTTTAGGCAATTTGACTTGATGGATTGGCTTCAGGACACTTTTAACATTTCTTTTTTGATATCAACAATCGCTGAAGCAAATTACCCATCAAATTTAAAGTGAAGTTTTTTTGCTTGTAGTTTTGAAAAATCTTTTAAGCAGCTTTTTGCATGTGTGTATGTGTGTGTAAAATCATACTTGTTTAAATGGAAACAAAGGACTAAAAATGGATTATCAGTTCTGGACAACTTAATGATATGGGGACACACCGAGCATGAGCAGACCTGAAGTTCATGTCAACATCTTGGCTTGTGTTTTCACACCTTGCATAAGTGTGTGTTTGTGTGTGTGTGGATTCACGTGTCAAAGTGTATTTGCATTCATCACACCTCTGTTATCATCGTACATTAGGCCCACCAGAAGAATGATAGCATACCTTGCCTTGCCTGAAAAGAGCACGCACACACACACACACACACACACTCACACACACACACACACACACACACACACACACACACACACACACACAAATTGCTCTAATTTTAGGCAGTACTCCACAGTGTCAAGGATAGATGTGAGGATTATTAGTGTTGCAGCACACACCAGGACGGAGGACTTGTTGAAAACTCAGCACGTCCTCTGCCTCACAGCTGACGGTCACGCCATAGAGCCCAAGGCAGAGGGGGAGGACTTTCAAGCAGAACTTGACCAAACTAAACTTATCTTTATTACTGAGATCCTCCAACCGGCCTTCAAGTGCTATGTTATTTTGCAGTCCCTGTAAGAACATTTCACTGTTAAAGCAAGCATGATAAGTGTCTTTTTGTAAAAAAAAAACAAAAAAACAAAAAAAACAAAACCACACTGAAAGCCAAAGCAGTGATATCTGCACACCTTTGCAGGTAAAAGTCTTCATTTACTCCATGCATGAAAGGTAAGAATTTCTCAAAGGATTTTGAGATTCTTGTCATTTCAGAAACACAAGGGCAGAATTTATCAATCAATCAATCAATCTTGATTTGTAAAGCGCCAATTCACACAAAGTGTTTCCTCAAGACGCCATACAAAAAAATCTTTTTTTCTAATTTACTTTTATAAAATAAATCCAAGCAATGCAGCCTATAATAGTCTGAAAACAGACCTGTCCCTGTAAGCTGGGTCTTTCTTTGAATGTGACTTCATATTGTGAATGATGAAGAAAGATGTATTTAATGAATGTGTGATAGCATAGAGTAGGGTTAACCTAGCCCTCGAGTCATGCTGATTTTTCCACATCTGAATGCTTAATGTCATTGACATGCTGACTCTGTCCTCTACTGGTGATTGTATGGTATTGCAGCATTTTTTGACTGTTGTGTTGCATGTTCTGTAGAGATGTTATTTTTAACATAACTTTTGAGTCACTCAGTTGAGTGTCAGTAAGTATACTAAATAATATACAATGTTGACATACACATTTGCAGTATATGGACATCACCGAGGTCTAATAACAATGTAGAAAATATGCAGAGGTTTGGAGGAGTAGGTAACACTGTCTGAACATGTCAGCCAGTCGTGTGCCTTTAACTTATCACTGAGGATGACAGCTTGTGTGTGTGTGTGTGTGTGTGTGTGTGTGTGTGTGTGTGTGTGTGTGTGTGTGTGTGTGTGTGTGTGTGTGTGTCTAAAACAGTGGGGGTGGGGGATGTGGGCTTGGACAGCTGGTCTCCTTTCTCTCCTAGCATCTCTCCTCTGCCTCCTCCTCCTTCTGCCTGTGGCCTCCTCTCTCTCCTCAGATGTTGTTTCTCAGCTGTGCAGAGAGGACCAGCTGGATATAAACTTCTGGACTGGATGGATCCTTCATGATTTTTTTTAACTATTATTTTGGATTTTCGTTCACCTCCTGGCTGACTCACTTTTTAAGTTCATTGTGCCGACAGAGTGCTGATCATAGCGGCAGGGTCCATTAACAGGTTGTTAGAGGCTGTTTAATGCCGTCTGGTAGATAACAAAGTTGGATGTTCTGGACAGACTGTGCAAAGACTGGCGTGGTATGGCTACTTTGATATCCTTGTCTTTTTATTACTAGCTGTAGATATATTTACCAATGTTACAGCAGCAGCAGTAACATCCGTACAGAGGAGTGTTTTTATTATCATCACTACGAAGATATCATATTTTTCTGTTATGAAAATAATCTAATCATTGTTTATCCACTTCTTTTTCTTCCCTCCTGTCCTCCCATGTCTCCTCTGCTCTCACTCTCTTTATTCCACCCTTTCCTTCTCTCTTCTTTATCCATTGTTTTTTTTACTCTCCTTCTTCCTCATCATCTGATTGTTCCCTTCCTCCTCTCCTCTTCAGATGTTGACCATCTCTCTGCTCCTGCTGCAGTTGCTCTTCTCCACCACTCCAGTCTCCTCCTCTCCTCTAAACCAGGTAAACTGTTGTTAAGAACTAAACATCTGCTCTTTTGGAATCCAAATGTCCAAACTGCCACCAGAAACTTTATCCAGTGTGAGATACTGGGAGAAAATGACATTGATGAATGTGTGGTTTCTTTTGGTCAAACTTCTATTTGATCATCCTCTCTTCATTAGCTGAAGCTGTGGATCTTTTCACCTGAGGGTTAAAGAATATTTACAGTCATGACATTTTTAGTTTTCTTCATCACCTGACTGCTGTAAATCCTTCACAAGCTGTGACTCAGAAAAGACTGATGTTGACCTCTGACTCCAGAAAGAGAGCCAAACATGAAAAATATGGAAAAATTCCTTGAAGTCTTTGCAAGTACGACCAGAGGGTTAATGGGAAACATATTTCAGGACGGTGTTAGCATGTGGGAAAGAATTTTGAAACATACATGATTCTGAATGCTGTCAGATTTGTTCTAGGTGTTTTCAACTGGAATCTGCACACACACACACACACAAACACACACACGCAGGTACAGACAGTGAGCAGGTCCTCAGGTATGTGTGTGATTATGGCTGTCGGCAGCTCATCTCTAATCTCAGCTCTGACAGCTGTGCTGCTGTTGGTTTCCTCTGCAGCTGTTTTATAACCAGACAGTAAACTGCAATTAAAGAGGAAGCTAAAACACTGCTTACACCTGGCATCATCATCAGATTTGGGTCAACAATGCCAGCTGAGATCTGATCACTTAGTCCTCATGGAGGTAGTCTCGGCATTTGTCCACATTGTTCTGATAGTATGTAAATGTAAATGTATGTGCTGGGCCGCATTACTCACTCTTCCAGTATCTAAAATAACTATCCATTGGAGCCTGCAGACAGACAGACAGACAGACAGACAGACATCTGGTTACTTGTGTCCCGTTCACTAAAAGATATAATAATACAAGGTCTGAAAACCCCATTCTAAAGTGCCCATTAAACTTTCTTTGTGTACATTTTGTCTGAAGTCTTAACTAGAACAATACAAACAAGAGAAGATGAACGTTTCAAAAGCCAAGGAGAAAACAAAACTGTAATACCTCTGCTGACTTGATATAGTCCTCGTGCTTCAGCTTCAGAAAATTTCCTTTAAATAACCTTGTTCAACCCAATTTCGTGCCTTTTCAAAGGCTTCATCAGGGCCTGTGTCCATTTACACCTTCTCTTCACTTGCAGCACACAACCGTGATTTCAGGGCCTGTGTCACTGACACTTACTGTTGCTAGGTTACAAAAGTTTTCCTTCTGCTTCCCTTCAAGACTGATTAGAGAGCTAAAAAATGCTTTGTATGATTCAGATATTAATTCAAAGGAAATTTATGAACAAAATGTAAAAACAATTGATAGAAATTGTGCAAAAGCTAAGGATTTTTGTGCATATGATGGGGAGCAGTAAAAAAAGAATCTGCATTTGATTTGTGACAAAAATAAATGAAGTAAACCAATAAGTGAAGTGGAAACAGGCCCTAACGGTTGATTTTCTGCCCTACCTTACAATAAATCTGCTGTTGTTACATTTTCAAATAAGTGAAAAAGAAACAGATATAGGAAGAATGATTCAACACTCAAACCTACAGCTTGTTATGTTCTTTTCTTTTACCTATGTTGTTTTTTGAGGGTTTTTTTCAGCGTTTGGTGCATGTTAAATGGGACAGCTAGTAGAAACATAAGACAGAGACAGAAAAGTGAGGAAGGAGAGGGGTGAGTATAAGCATTGCAACAAGGACCGTCACCCCAGTACATGAGTTGAGCGAAACCAATATCCTGTAATCCATTTTATATTAATTAACAGTAGATCTGAAGACTCACACATTCATATCAGGCAAACGCAGAAAGAAATAAAAGTTAGTCAAAAGTAGAAATAAAAATTAACAACTTCAACCATGTTTCTGAGCACTGGAAATAAAAGTGTGTGCTCAATTTTTACTGAATCAACCAAGAATAAAAATACAAACAGAGAGGAATTCAGAAATGAAAAAAGAAACGTAGAAAGACATAAAGAAGTGACCAAGTGGAATAGAGTGTAGGATGAAGAACAGAGACTACAGACTGGGGACAGAAAAGGTGAAAGAAAAGTGAAAGTGAAGAAGAAGGGGGGTAGAAGATGGACAAGCACTGGAGGGAAAAAGATCTGAAACATGGATGACTAAGTGATTTACGACCACAACATGGTCAGACACGCACTCGTACTTACTAATCGACACTGCTGTGTCTGCATGCATGTGTATGGGTCAGCTGGTTGCTAACAGCAGGTTTGCGGTGCAGCAGATGTCAGCTGGAGGAGCAGATGTATCTATTGTGTGTGTTTCTTTTGCTGAAGTGTTAGCACAAAGAAATGTGTGGAATTTCAATCCTACCCTCTCTAGAGACCTAATTTTGTATCTATTAGCTTTTTCTCTTTCTTTTTTCTCTTCTCTGTCTGCCTCATTCTCTTTTGCCTCTTTCTCAGTCCCTGCCTCAACCTCTCACTGTCCATGCACTGGATCTTTAACATAGCATTTTCACATAGATTTGAACCATGTGCTACCTCATCCAAAATGGACATGACACATGTCTGGCAGCCTTGACCACCACACCACAGGTGTGTCTGTCTGGTTTATTTTATCAAAATTTTCCTCATTTCACTACTTCTGACATTTGATTTCTGAAAAGTTTAGAGTGATGGAAAGTTTGTTTGGCTCACATTATTCAGGATCACCCAAATTCTCTTCATTTTCAGGCTGCAGTTTTCTCCATTGCTCCATTACAACCTGGAGATACTTGCTTTATTTGTTCTTTTCATATCAATTTTCATTATGGTAGTTTAAAAGCACAGCTTAAACAACAGTATGAAGAAATTATGATTTTTTTACAAGCTACCATACTTGCTTTATGTGAGGTGGTCAATCCCCATGACAAAGGTGCCATATACAAGATTTACTCGTCCAGGCTTATCTGCTTTCTGCAAGATTACAGTGATTTGAATGCTTGCTTAGTACCCCAGTAGTACACAGCAAGTTCTTTCAAGCTCAACACAGGAGAGTCTCTGCAAGTATAAAATTTACAGCTGTTTTTGTAATCTAGTCACATTTTGTTGTTGAGGTTCAATTTCCCTTCGAAATAGCTTTTTGAATAAAGACAACTCACTGAAAATTATGTGCAGTCAACTGCTGTCCAGCTGCCTCAATAATAATTGTGTGTGTGCGTGCGTGTGTGTGTTAAGAGTGCCATTGTTATTCAAAGTGGCATCTCCCAGTGGGAGGTCAAAGGTCACCATCTGGAGTCTGGAACGCACATACTCGCACACACTTCTTATTCCCAGCCTCACAAAAACAGACATTGCATGAAAATGAGATTCTTCTGTCTTTGTGTGTGTGTGTGTGTGTGTGTGTGTGTGTGTGTGTGTGTGTGTGTGTGTGTGTGTGTGTGTGTGTGTGTGCTCAGGATGAATCAGTGTGTGCCAGGACATCCTGTGGTGCAGGTCGAGAGTGCGTGTCAACAGAGAGAGGAGAACCAGTCTGTCGCTGTTTACAGGTGAAGTTGAACAGCACCTATGAAGTCACGCTTGTTTGCTAAATTGAGCAGTTTTATATTTGGAAATGATGTTTTTTGGCCTTTGATATCAATTAGTTGTAAAAGTACCACATCTGTTTCCATCACCAAATCTGCATCATAACTAGTCCTTCTAAAAAAATATTAAATAAAAAAAAAAATAGTGAGAGAGACTGAAATGTAAGTGTACAAGGCAACAACAACACGATAAATACTTACTTTGACATATAAATTAGTTACATCTACACACATCTATCCTCACTCACTGCTGATCCCTGTCTTCTTCTGCAGAGCTGTGGGGAGTCAGAGCACTGGGTGTGTGGCAGTAATAGCAGGTCCTACAGGAACCACTGTGAGCTGCACAGAGATGCATGCATCACACACACCAAAATACATGTGGAGCACAATGGACATTGTGTTGGTCAGTACACGCACAAAAACACACATGCAGACACTCTTAAATAAACTAAATACAGGTATACTAAGAGTAAGAGCATTACGTGGAGTTTGACTTCAGTCTGTGTTCCTGTTTGCAGAGAAACCACCAAAGACAGATGTGAGCCCGAGTAAGTCTGCAGCTTATCACAGAATTAACAAAAATATGAAACCGAATCATCAAGGTTGAAGAAGTCTTAAAATATCTTACTGTTCATTTTATTTTTTTTACACGTGTAGTTGTGTGTTTCATGTCTGATCGTGATTGGCTGAGAGAGAGAGTGATCCAGTGGATTCAGGAGGTAGTACAGCCAGACAGCCCTGCCTCAAACATGTCCTCATCTGAGCTCCTTCAGACGTACTTTAAGGTTAGAAAGCCTGTCACCAGAACAGTTACTAATATACTCTCATTCTGAATATTTTCTCTGAAAACACTAATTAATTTCAATAAATTTCCTTTCCTCGTGTGCATCACAGATGTATGATGACGGGGACTCAGAGCTAGATTCCAAAGAGTTCTTGAGCTTCTTAAAACACAACGAGACTGCCCTCAACCTCACCTATTCTAATTCTGTGGAGACTAACATGCTACTCAGGTACACACACACACACACACACACACACACACACACACACACACACACACACACACACACACACACACACACACACACACACACAGCCTTTTTTTTTCTACACAGTAGAATATCTCAGTACCAATTTTTCACACAAAGCCTTAAGAACCAGAAAAGGCTGATTTCTGAATAAACACTGATAAATACCTAAATAAAAGTCAAAGTCTTTATAATTCATTGATTCAGCAGGATCTTAATAAAAGTTATTGTGTGCACAAGAGACTTCATGTACTTGAAACTCAGTTTACTTTTGTTTTAGGTCTCTGTGTGTTGATGCTTTGATTGAGCTGTCAGATGAAAATGCAGACTGGAAGCTGAGTTTAACTGAATTCATCAACTGTCTGACGCCAACCTACCATCCATATGAGAGAAGTAAGGACACACACACAGAAAAACAAAAAACAATTTAGTGTATCAGTAGTGCAGTAGTGTCTGTATGAATAATGGTAAATGCTTAAACCGGGTCCTGATCGGAGGACAGACGCTCCTTCCTGATTCTGACCCAGGACATGTTCGGGACACACTTTGTTAAGGTATTACATCAAAACAATACTCATGTGTGTTTTCTACCATGTGTGTACACAGAGTGTGCTCTGGAGGATGAAGTGTTCGAGGATGGAGCTGAAACTCGGATGGAGTGCAACAAATGTGTGTGCGCGTGTGGAAACTGGGTCTGCACTGCGCTGACCTGCACAGGTGAGGACATGCATGTGTAAAAGAAACAAAAGTCAAAATAGCTTTTCGGTCTATAAACCTACTTCAATATGGTGTTGTGTGCTTTTAGGAGAGCATCAGGTAGACGAGGATGAAGCAGAGGGAGCAGAAGAAGAAGAGATGACGGAGGAAGAGTGGAGCAGGAGAGTGGCTGAACTCAGTGCTTTACAGGTGGATTTTTTAACTGATTTACCAGAGGAAAAATATTGTTATTCACCATTGTTAACTGATAATTACTTACCTACAAACAGTGACTATGATACACAAATACAAAAAGACATACTGGAACAGAGGAAATCAAATACCCAACAGAAAAGCCATCATTAGGAGCTTTACTCCTTCTCCAGACATCAGATACAATGATCGGTGTTTGTCAATGTCAACATTGCTAAAAAAAAAAAGCCAAATTCCTTAATTGTGATCAAGTATATCCGAAGAATAAACTCATTTAACATCCTGTTTATCATTTTCAACAGCAGACGTTCAAGACTGAGACCTGAGGCCACATCCACTGCACCTCTACCAGGCAGTCAGGAGCTGCACACTCCAGATAACTCGATCATACCTCCAGATTTATGAAATCTCAAAGCATAAACTTTTGTTTTTTACAGTAAGCTTTTTCATTGTCAAAATTCATCTTTCTACCAAACTCTCAAATTCTTTATTTTTATACTTGTGCAAATTATTTTGGTGTATTCTTCAGAATTTTTTTACATTTACTATTTTAACCTATCTATGATATTTGGAAGTTTTTGGATGGTTCAACTCTATTTAAATATCTGAAAATGATGTGATCATAAATGATAACAGAGTATTTTAAATACCAATCACCAATTCATTTTTTTCAAGATAGTTTTAAGAGGCTAAACACTCAGATGGTATATTCAGGGTAAATTATTTCATTGTTGATGAGTAATATGTTTGTCATTCTGTTTATAAAGTGAATTCTGATATTTTATACACTGGTGTAGCAAAAAAAAAGTCAAATAAACTTCAACAGGATGGGGAAACACAAAATCTGTAAAATTCATTACCCTTACTTTTTTATTTAACTGCATACATGAAAAAGATTTATTACAACAATTACCAGGTAATATTTCAAGAGGATGAAAACATAAATAAGAGCAATAAAAAGACAACATTATAACTGCATGAAATTGAAGTTAAAATTACAATAAATAAAAGGATGAAGTTCATAGAAATATTTTTTAAGTGGTTGAGGGGCCTAAAACAAATCAAAGGAGATATTTAAAGCAACTCATGCCATCATTAATAAGGCCTCCACACAGGCTCCTCCCCTCTCATGGATAGACACGCCCCTTCAATATAATTAGACAGTGCTGTGACAATGCTGCGGTCCTCCCCTGTGGTTTGGTGCTGTTGGTTTGGTCCGTAGTAGAAGCTGCTGCCTGATTGGAATGGACCATTGTGGCCCAGTGGAGGCTGGGGAGGAGGAGGAGGATGATGGGAAGAGGACAGGTAGGAGCTGTATGGAGTGGGCTGGGTAGAATAGGGGAGGGGGGACAGGTGGTGCATTCTGGGATTTGGAGTGAATGAAGATGCCCGAGATGTGACCTGACCCAGGAAAGTCGGTTCACTGGTCCAGAGAGAGGTGGAAAAGGATCTACAGTCTTAGAGGAAACAACATTTAAAACTTTTTTTATAATCCAGCATGAATGTTCTTGGCAGCACTCATCAAACAATTTTTAACAATTAAACCCTCTGGTTTAGTTGGAAGAAGGCTATTTAACGAGTGGTGGTCAGGTTATTGGTTAGACAAGCCAATCAAATTAAGTGGTAGCTCTCGTATTACAAAGTGAAGTGTTACTTTTGAGGGATAAATGTAGTTTTGTTCTAGTATGTTATGAATCTGTGAAGAAATCACACCTCCGCAGTACGTCACAATAACTGAAACACACTCTTGCAGACACTTCACATACAAACCATACATTTGTCTCATTAATATCTCCAACTATTACCAACATACAACAAGGATTAGTACCTGATGATGGAGCGCTGCTGCTGCTGGATGACCTGTACACTACCGACTTCACCTCCTTCTGCCTCTGTCCTGAGAGACAGACAGAGTAAGAGAATTAAGACAAATGTAACTCTGACAAACAGCATGATTTACACTGCTGTGTACTGACGTCGTGGCAGCCGCTGTCCATCCACAGTCACCTTGATGGCTCGATGTAAGGTGGCGATCTGAGGAGGCGAGGTCAGCACATTGATGGAAATGGTGAAACTCTTTCCTGTAATGATATGCACACTTGTAATATAACACATTTCTCTGTACTCCAAACAGCAAAGCAGGGTTTAAAAATTCCAATTCAATGAAAAGAAATCAAAGTTATAGACTAAATATAAGATAAGAAGAACTTTATTAATCCCCAAAGGGAGATTCAATAATGACATGAATGACAATGAATGGCATATGACTGTATATTTTGTGGGAGCTGAATTTGGAGCAAACCAGATTTTTCAGGCCAAACAAGTAAATATATGGGGCATTTCTTTGAATAGGTGCCTTTTACTCTTTGTAACTTTTATATCAACCAATTTTTCCCTTTTTTATAAGTAAACTTTCTTTCACAAATTATTGTATTCAAAATCTGAACTTATCCATTTCAGATACCTTTATTTTTATTTATTTATTTTTATAAATTAGCATGAGGTTGATACATTTTTTCATCCTTGTTATCAAAAGGGACCTATTTCATTTAGTGGTCTACAACTATGTGCGAGGCTGTGATTTATGTGTATTTTATTGATCCAGGAAAAGAAGCCTTCCATTTACCTCTCCCACTGCGACCTATGAAGCGGAGGTCATTGAAGTGAGCGTAGCCTTGTTTCATGGTCGCTGTTGCATTGCGGAGCTCAGCACTGCTATTGTCTTCATTGCCTGCCATCACTGTCACAACAACACCATCTGGTACATCGTTTCCAAGGGCAACCACCTGCAAGATGGAGAGGATTCGCTTCAAACTAGTGGAAGTAAAGGGCATTTTAAATAAATGATTCCCCTGAAAGCTACACTGTGGGGTAAATAACATTTGATGGTTTGAAATTATATTAAAACAGACAGAAAAACAGTTAAAAGACAGAAAGGTGGATGGACGAATGGATGAACAAATGGACCATGCATGGTTTCTCACAGTAAAGGCTCTTGGCAGGGTTTTGTTACACCTCCAGTGTGGTGGCAGGCTGCTGCAGAGGAAGTTTGGGCTGTCTGTCTGCACCAGGCCTCTGGGTGGGGCTGTGCGGGGCTGTTGAAGGGACCTTGCCTCCTGTTCGTCTGCTTGGCGGATGGTGGTCGAAGTTGTGGGCCTTCGCTTTGCCACAGGTTCTAGGAGGAGCAATGGAGAGACAGACAGATAGTTTTAATACTTTTGCTCATTGTGTAGCCTACACTTTCAGCCTTCATACAAATGGCAGCCATATATTTAATTTCAAAACATAGAAAGTTCAAAATACAGTTAAAAAAATTGCACACTTTGGGATTATAGGTTAATATATGTATTCAAGCAATAAAAACTAAAATAAATTAACAAATAAAAACATAAATAATAAACAAAAAAAAAACCTTTACATTTTCAGGAAAGCAATGCACGTGTGCACAGGGCTCATTTGTTGGCATTAAGTCCTAACTCTCTTTAGCCAGTTGCAGACTCCGGATTCTCTGTGACTTGTTAACCCACCAGAAATTTTACAAAGATTAATCAATTCAGATATCAAACTTTTTTTGACTTGGGATATAATGGTGAAGAATTTTCTTCATCCTGCTTTGAAACAGAGCTCCAGTAATTGTAAACAGGAATAATAGTTTTAATTTGTTTAAGGTCAAACTAAATCTAAGGCTTTATTAAGCTAGACGTGGTTATTGCTAAAGAGTTTGCCACTTATACTGATGCATATGTCTTTGAGTTATTTCATTGCAACAAGAGTGAAAATTCCCTATTTCCAACCCCTGAAAAGTTAAAACTAAGTGAATACCTTTGGGTTGTACCTAAACAAAAATATACATGATGACATGTGTCACTGTATTTGAACATTTTATAGAAAAAAAAAGAAAAAGAAAAAGAAAAAAAAACATTTAGCCAATGGCAACAAGGAAAAAATAAATAAGCAATAACATGAACCATTAGTTTGAATTAGCAGCTGTTTGAGATTATTTAAAAAATGAAGTGAACTGAATAAAACACAGCTTATGCTGGTTTCATTTAGTTAATTCTGACTCATTTGGTATTTGCTACAGAAAAGTAAAGCCTAGTTCTCCCGTTTCTTCATTATTGTCCACTTTCAGCTGCTAAACGTAGCTCATAATTTTCATTATAGCTAGGTATTGTTCCCCTGGTGTCTTTACATTTAAAATAGACTGGAAACATGCCGTTAGAAAAACTCAGGGGGAATTATTGTTGTTGTTACTATAAAAACTACATATACCAAGCTAAAGTCCGTGCGCCCTCATGCTCTTTACGTCATCAAGCTGCGACGACTATTAACTTAACCAAAACAGTCAAACTGCATCGTTAGACTTGGACGACTTTTAGGTGCGTTGTGGTTTTCAATGATTTTCGGTGTCATTTAAATGTCCGTCTCTTTGTCTCTCCTTCTCCCCTCCTGTCTATCTCTGTCTTTGTACTCTTATCAGCTTTCTGTTGAGCTGACCGCAGTGTTTGAATAGGAGGGAACTGTATTATCATTCAGATTTTACTGCCGGAGGGGAAGTTACTGTGGTCACACCACCTGTGCCCCTGTCTTTATTTTTGTCCTTCTCAATTTGCCTTAAATCTGTTCTGCTACCTTGTTATTTTAGGCTCTTGGCTCAGTCTCTGTTCTGAACTGTTTAGCTGAATAGTTTTGTTTTGGTTAAATGATCCCAAACAGCAATATGTACATTGAAGACAGTATTAAAAACATCAAGTGTGTTTGTTGACCTCATTGTACACCTCGTCTATACACGGTTGATGTTGAGTAGTCTTTTAACAGTTCAGTACAACCACACCACCCAACTTAAAGTCTTGTCGACAGTTACATCATTGATTAAAAACGGTAAAAAAAGGAAAAAGAATATAATAATGATGATAATAATAATAATAATAATGATAATAATGAGAAGAAAAAAAGTGCAGTGCACAGTAAAAATGGTTTGCTCAACAGATCCTGTTGGGAACATGGTGTTTATTGCAGACGCCGGCGCATTTTACATTCACACTGACTTAAAACAATATGTTCAGGGGATAAAAATGTGATGCCAAAATGATCACTGCAACTTAATTACTTTTTTTCCCACTATTCCAACACTGAGATGTGTCTGGCATTGGTTTTATCTAAATGAAGTGTTTGGCTGTAGGACTTCAAGCATCATCCAATCACTGGAACATGCTAATTAGTGGCCATCAGACCAGATTAACGATGTTGTGTGGAGGCATATAGCCAATTGAGTTGAATAAAATGTGGATTTTATGTAAAACACTCAAAAAATGGGACAGATTTCACAGTTTCAATATGGATCATAGATGCAAATCTACCCCATTTTTGAGTGTTTTACATAAAATCCACATTTAATTTAATTCAACAGGCATATCAAAACCGTTTTTACAAAATACTCTTCATGTGTGTCACTGTTATTAATTGTGTCGTTGCTATTCCTTGTGTTTAGTCTGTAAGTGGGTATTTATTTATTTTTTGATGTGCAAAAAATCAGATAAGGAATAAGGATAAGGATAAGGAATTTTGGGGTCATTGGTAAGACTTGCCCAACTCCAACCTGAGTAATTTTTTTTCTGCATATATACAGTATATTATCATTTATTTGTGTAATGCTGAATCTCTTTTTTGTCTGCTCATGTCATCAGGTGTGTGAGGTTATGAGCAGTCCAATGGCTGGCTCTGCTGCCTCCAGTTCCAAAGACCGTCCTGTGTCCAGGACCAGTTTTATTCCTGAGCTACAGAGCATGATGTGAGACACACACACACACACACACACACACACACACACACACACACACACACACACACACACACACACACACACACACACAAACATAGACGCACAGGGTGACTCACCCCAGTACAACATGGGGCTGGAACTGCCAAACAGACTGTTTGAAGCCATTGAAACCTGTCAAACAAATGAACAATCAAACTGGGAAATATTTTGGTTAATGATTATTTTGCAAAAGCTTAACTGCCAGGATAGAAAACCTGAAAAACACGGTTGACTTGGAAATGGATTGAATGGATTGCAGCTGATAATGATTTATTGAATGCATTGTTGAGGCTGACTTTAAAAAAATGAATACTAAATGAGTTTTCCAACGACTTAATTACAAAAAAAAAATAATAGTAAAAAAAAACAAAAAAACACATGGCAGGCAGTAGGACAAAAAATGTATATAAAGTCTTCAAATAAAACTATTATCCTTTTTTATCCTTAACTGTACAGCAGCTTCCATGCAGCTCATCATTTGCTAAATGAGATAGATTTCATCATCAGTAGTTTTTAAGACAATCCTTCAATCAGTTACAAAGTTCTAAGGAAAACTAAGACTAATATGGATTTGTTATTTTTTCCAGTCAACATTAAACACACTGAACACAGCTGTTTTTTCTTTTTGTTGCTGTGTTTTTCATACAAAAAGATGTAGACGCCATTTTAAGCATTCATATTTTTCTTTTTTATGCATATCTGGCATTTTCATCAACATCATTAAGTCATATTTGCTGCCCTACCTTGTGGTAAATATTACTCTGAAAATAACATTTAGTCTATCAAAAATATAATTAACAATTTCTGGAAGAAGACTTCCAGACTCTTCAAAAAGAAAAAGAACATCAGATATAAATATTTGTAGTTCATAAAATGAGCAAAGGTAAGCTGATCATGTTTATTATTAAATAGAAAAAAGCTTTAGGTAATTTTTTTTTTTTCTGCCTTTGATCAGATCTTTCTGCAGGGCTGTTGAGAAGTTGCCTGGCCTGTCACTGGTATGATTGATAGAGTGTGTGTGTGTGTGTGTGTGTGTGTGTGTGTGTGTGTGTGTGTGTGTGTGTGTGTGTGTGTGTGTGTGTGTGTGTGTGTGTGTGTGTGTGTTTTGGGGGTACTCACCTTTTGTTGTGTGTGTGTGAGCTGCAGAGATGCTGTAGGTGGTCAGAGAGGCTAAAACCCAAATAAACCCCAAAACCGAAAACCAAGGCTCAGACTGAAGCCAACCTGCCCACAATCCCCAAAAACCAAAGCTGAACTCACCTGTGTGATTGACGGTTTCAAGCAGCCAATCAGAATTCATAATGGGGGACGGGGTTGTCTGAAAAAGGATCAGATGTAAAGACACAGGTAATGAGGAGAAATGAGAGAAGGAACATGTGTCAGGATGTGGGTTAGTCTGCCATCGTGGAAGTGGCTTCTCTGGATGCAAATTGAGGTTTGACCAAACTGTGGTCAAAGTGTGTATTAGTCTGTAGCCTGTGGACCTCAATGTGTGTGTGTTTATGTGTGAGGTGGACTTGTATGTAGGTGGTGAGTTTGTGTCCATGTGAAGAGCAGGAGAGTTGTTTCTTGTGTGTTTTATATTCTGAGCTATGTTTCTGCAACATTACCTGTTACCAATGATACAAAGATGGTGATTTCTTCCACAGCCCTCGCAAGCCAAAAGAATGAAGTTTCTTCCAAATCAAAGAGAGGACTTTGATTATTCACACTGAAAGTATTGATCAACTTGTAAAGGTGTACTTAGACCCTTGCAGTCTAACTTGATCCTTATACCTTCAGAGTGAACTCTACAGTGCTCTGAGTAATGTACCTTTTATGTGTTTTGTGTGCGTCAGGTTTGCTCTGGGAGACGCTCGCAGGCCTCTGCATGAGACAGCAGCTCTGGTGGAGGACATAGTGCACACACAGCTTATAACCATGGTAACAAAACCATTACACTCATCACAGTCACAACATGTGAGGTTGTGATTTAAATGCAGATGATGCTCATCTGGCACATTTCTTTAGTAATAAATTCCTGGTCTCATTCTTGTGGAGAAGAGTATAAGTGCTTTTTATACAATCAGATCTTCCATTAGGAACTTAAATAGGAATGAGTGTGCTGCTGCGGAACAGCAGAAGAAAGTAAAAGAACGCGACTCCAATTTTGTCTTTATTTACCTCCCTTTCATCTTCCACTTGCAGAACTGGATGTTTTAGCAGTGTAGTGATAGACTATTGTGAATTTGGAAGAAAATAAATACAAAATGAAAACAAACTTAATTTATTGCTGCACTAGTATATTTAATTTCATGACACATCAGAAACCACAAAGGCAGATAACTCTGCCCCTTGGGTGAGCAGGTCTCATAATGAGGTAACACTCACTAATCTTCTATAACAACCAGTTCACTTTACATTATCTTTCCTATCACAGCGCCACTTGCCTGTAAAAATCAATAACTTCACTATTAATATTGATTTTAAAAATTGTTTTGTTCATTTGAAAATGTTTATATTTCTTCCACTGATGGTTTGTTTCACTTAGTTTGAGCTGCGTCAATGGTAATGACTAACTTTATAGCCTCTTTATAGAAGGGGTCAAACTTATCACAGCTGTATGAACAGTAATTGTAAAATGTTCCTTTTAAATGAATACAGAACAAAACACAGCAGTATCTTATAACATGGTCGATTAACTTCTGGGTCATCTTTCATTTTAAATTTCTCTGATTCAGCCCACTGTGCTTTGTGTCTTTAACCTCTCCTGCCTTTTCTTCACCATTGTCAACAAACCAACATCATAATACCCAGACTCAATTCTGCACATTGATATGATTGGTCCACTGGAGTCTGAAATTAGAGCTTCTTCCCCAGCAGTAGTCTGTTCTACAAAGCAACAGTGTGCTATCAAGAAGTAACACACTGTTGCTATGGAGTGTTGCTAAGAAGTGAACAATGAGAATTTGAGTATTCTACATTCTCATGTAATAAATTTCTCTGTGCTATTTCAACAAAAACTGTTCATTTTCTATCAGCTACATCAGGCCTGTGAGGGTGCAGCTCTCCGGGGGTCGAGGGTCATTTCAGCCGAGGACATCCTGTTCCTGATGAGGAAGGACAAGGTGAAGAAAGCACTGATAAAAGCCTTCTGAAAATGTGACATTTTAGGACCCTTGTGTCTCTAAAAATGAAGATGTGAATTTACATACAAGTAACACTGTTTGTTGTTGTGTAAATAGAACTATAGGTACTGATTCTCTTCATCTGTCTTTTCTGTTCTTTCTTTCCTCCTTCCCTTTTCTGTCTTCATGTTCTATGACCAGAAAAAGGTGGCAAGGTTATTAAAATATCTTCAGTTCAGGGATTACAAATCTAAATTACTCAAATGTGTGGAAGATGAAGACCCTCAGCAGGACACTGGTACATACACACCCACACACAAACACATACTTAAGTTATCAGATTTTATTGTTTTTGCCTCACATGTGTGCATACCTGCAGCCGCAGGTGGTGTTGCTAGTGGTAACCAGCGGAGGCAGCGATTGGCTCAAGATTTTCTTGTGTGGATGGACCAGACTGGTGACCTCCTGTCATTAGCTGAGCGACAGGAAATAGACCCCGTCAAACAGGAACGGATGGAGGTCAGTTGTCATCATGTCTGTGCTGGCCCAGCTCTATATAAACAACACAAAAGAGGCACTGATTAGACAGACATTAAAGTTCCCTTAAAACTGATGGTGGTGATAATAACGATGGTTTTAAGCTTGAACCTCTTCCCTTGCTTCTTTAGCGTCTGGAGCGCCAGACTCGAACGATGGACCAGGCTCAGTACTATGAGTTCTGTGAGAGTCGACAGCTCAGCTTTGGTAAGACTTTAATCTGAGGGTAGTAAAAATTGATAAAACCCCAGAGCAACAAAGACCGTGTTAATTTCTTGTTTTCTTATGTCCACCTCAACGATTTTTCTGCTTGTGTGAACATTTTCAGCTAAAAAGGCGTCAAAGTTTCGGGACTGGTTGGACTGCAGCACTTTAGAGCTAAAACCAAACAGCATTGCTATGGAGATCCTGTCATATCTGGCCTATGAAACAGTTGCACAGGTAACATCTAATCATGATTTCTCATTTTTTGTGTGTCTGATTAAAAATGTTCCCATGTTAATTATAATAATAATAATAATAACTTTATTTGTATAGCACTTTTTAAAAACAGAGGTTTACAAAGTGAATGACAATAGTAGTAAAGCACAACAACGTCAGCACAAGTTCATAAAGTTCAGTTAAAACAAAGCCTCAGAAATGAAGGCCATTTTCATAAGTCATAAGTAACCTAGACAATACAAGAACCATGCAACATAAAATGAGACCATGTGGACTAAAATAAAAACATAAAATCGGTAGGAAAAAGAAAATGCAATAAAAAATGGTGTTGAAAGCAGAAAACAGGATAGCAAATATAGAAATACAAATATGGCTAATATGAAATCTCTCTTTTTCTGTCTTTCAGATTGTTGATCTGTCTCTGTTGGTGAAGCAGGAAATGACAGCAAAGACAAATCCCATCAGTCATGTGATCTCTGCTAGCTACATCCACTACAACACTCACACTGAGGTACACACACACGTACACACACACATTTGCCAGTGTCATTTTCTTAGAATACATATTGACATATGTTTGGTACCAGAGATGTGTTTCAGATAGCCTAACTGCACCTGTTGTCTATGTTTCTCTCCACTAGGTGAAGAAAGATCCGGACTCACCTGAGGCCACTCCCCCTTCTACACCAGGCTCCTCCCACTCATCTAAACCCCTCCTGCAGGGTAATGGCAGTCTAGATAGCAGGGCCAGACAGAGGAAACGCAAAAAGGTGAGTTTGAACGTTTTTAATTTCTTTTCCCTTTTATACCAGAGTTCATTATCAAAGTGACTCATAAAAGGAGTCATACGGGTCATTTCAAGGACAGTACCAGACTTTGAGATCGCAGAAGTTCTCCTCAGGGAGCTAAATGGCTCTTGTGGTCCAGTGTTGTGTCCGTTACAACTATGGCCTATTTTCAGCGTCTTCAGCTTTTGCTTGACTTGTTTGGGGTGGTATCGAATACGATCAGTGGGGTTTGTTTTTGTGGTTTGGAAATGCACAGTGAAAGCAGTTCATTAAAATCTAGCAATTAGAAACATTCAGCACTGCAAGCCCTGCCCGGACTGGTACTGGACCTTTAAAAAGTACTTCCCTCAGAGCAAGAACTTTACAAGGGTTAGATCAATAACCTCAGAAACTGACTTCATACCCTGATCCCCGTTACTGAAACACATAGAAGTTAAAAGGTCTCTAGTTCTCACGGAAAGCTCCTGCTGTTGAAGCAAAACCTACAGGGAGTCCCAGCACCATCCCATAATACTGATATGTTTTTAATCCTGTAAAGTGTACAGACATCTTTAAGATCATGTCTTCAACCTGTCCAAGGCCTTTATGAAACAGTCGCTGTATTGATTGTTTGAATTTTCAGATTTCATTATTTAGTCCAAAATTTTCCAGGATAAGAAAAACCTTTTCCATAATTTCCAAGAGTCCAAAGTGACTCCTAAAACTGAAAAACTAAGTAAAGAAAAGCAGCAGAACTCACACTGAATAAGCTGCATCCTGCAAATGTTTGATCATCTGATCCACTTTTCTGTCTTAAAATATTAACGGTTCTCAGGTTTTATTACACATTTGACATTACAACAAAAATACTTGAAATCAGATTTTTTCAATTTTTTCTTTTTTATTCAACTCCAACCATAAAAAATATACTTGAACCTTGTTGCTTATAAATCAAGTGTAAATGAGCAGTTTGTATGTAGTAAATGATAAATTGATCATGTGGTCAATATTTAATCCCCAATTTTCTGTCTTTTTATTGCTATCTCTTACAAATGTACCATGTGTTAAACATTTAACATGAGTTTGTTTTTTCTGTGTCATATTAATATTTTTAACATAATAATATATTAATATTGGTGTTCTTGTTTCAGAGCTGTCCAGCTACAGTGGAGCCTCCTAGTGGAGCCATCCAACCCTGTCACATCAGAGAGGCTATTAGAAGATACAACTACAGGCACACGGTACGCACACGCACACACACACTCAGGAAAAATGACAGTCATGAAAATGCGTCATTCAGAAATCGTTAGATGTATTTTTACTTTACTCAACTTAGATCATGTACAAAGATGATCTGTAAGAAGCTGAACAAAAGCTTTACTGGCTTCAAAGAGACTGTGAAGTTTTACCAGGAAACTGTTCAATTTCCCTTTGAGCCAAAATTGATGGAAAAAACTAATCCGTCATCTGAAAATTCTGGTTTTGTTTACTTGATTTCACAGAAGAGTTACTTTATCTCTCCAACATGAATGGACTTATTTAAAGACAAATGTTAAAACTATTACCTTGGAGAGGGCAAGGAAGTTGGCTCGTTTAAAAAAGCTTGAACATAAAATAGGAAAGAGAGTCATAATCAAAATTTTCAAGCTGTCTAAAGCTTTGTTTTTGATACTGTGTCTTGAGGAAGATTGTTGTTAAGTACAGCTAAAGGTCTGGCTGCTTCAGTGGCGTTTTGGGGGAAGTAGCATACACAACTGTGTTGACAAATTCCCAGTTTCATGTTGAGATTAAATGTTTCCTCTGGGAGAAAGTCAGCCTTTAACAAATCAAATTCTTCTTTTCTCTTAGAGTGCATACTGGAAAAATGGAATGACTTTCCTCACCTGCTGAAGATGACATCTATCCTCTCAAGAACCTTCCCTGCTTATAGTTTTTTTTTGGTCCTTTTTTGTAATAAAGACTTTCTCAAGTTTTTTTGTCAAAATTAAATTCATACCTTATTGAAAAATGACTGATCCAGGCAGCTTTTCATTGTTGAAAAGAAACTTTATTGGTCACTAATACAGAAACACAGGAACTTCTGAGCATGCTAAAACTTAGTGACATCATAGCATCACGAGCACATGGAGGCGAGCTCTTCTCTGGAAATGCCGCAAACATTGACGAATGACAGAATGGTTCAGGAATTACTCGCAGTACAGATGAGAGAGAACGCAGTTGTGTTTCTGTTTTGTCTGGTGGAGCAGCTGTTAGCCTGAAATGACGTGGCAGGTGTGTGTGTGTGTGTGTGTGTGTGTGTGTGTGTGTACAGTTGTGTGTGGATCAGTATTTCTGCGCGCTGTTGATGAGACCCTCTCTATCCATCAGCAGCTCTCCGTATCTCTGCTGAAGCTCTCTCTCTCTCTCCATCTGCCTCTCCACGTCCTCTCGCAGAGCCTGATGAAATAACACATTGTAAATTTGTCAGCAGAGACGCCTTCGGGGCCGATAATGAAAAGTTCGGATGGTTTTACAGGGCTTTGGTTGCTCAGTTGCCTGAATGTCTTCAGATATTTTTCAAATATCCTTGAATGCATTTTGGCAAAAGGAAAAAACAAACCTAAACAATAAACTTCAGTCAATAAAAAATATTTTTTCAAGAGTCGGGGGCTGCAGAGATGTGAAGTCTGGCTGATGAGTCCACAGACATTTGACTTAAAACGATCAAACTGAAAAAACAAAGTTCAGAATGTTGATTTCATTTTTGTACACAAAATCTACCCACCTCTTGTCTCCTAGGAATTGCAGTATCTTCCTGTTTCTTCAGCTGACTGAAGGTTTCAAGCTCTGTGGCTGACTGCTCCACCTAGTGGACACCAAAAGCAAAACTTCATTACAAAAGTATATTCACAGCAAACTTGTTCTATATATTTTTTAAAGTTACATTTTTGAAAAACCAAAAGACACTGACTGAAAAATAGTCAGATTTGTTATTTCAGATAAATTATTTACAATGCAGTAAAACAGGCTGATGATCTGATTAAATATGTCTATTTGATGCATCTGTTACTGAAACATAAACAAAGAAGGCATTTTATTGGATAGAAATCTCTTCAGTAGTGCAGAGGTTCATTCAGTACCTGTTCCCAGAGTTCATTGTGCTGCTTCAGGAGCCCCAGCGCTCTGGACTGAAACCCTCCAAGCAGAATTTTCATTTTCTTCTCCAGTTTCGCTGCTTTACGAGCCTCTGCGGTCATGTGACCTCGGTTTACCTGAAGGGAAACGCAGTGAGTGACTACAGGGTTTCAACCGATCTATCCACTGTTTTTCAGAGGTGAAGTGATTAACTCCTAATTGATTAGATATCTCTGTGCTCACTCACGTCTAATTTCTTCTCCAGGCTTTCAATGCGGTCTTTCTTTGATGCCAGGTTAGCTCGGGTGTACCTGTTCTGAGTGGGTAGATATAAAACCTGCAGACAAAGAGACAAAACATGATTCACAGTGGAAAAAAAAAAAAAAAACAGCCACTAAATTAAACTAGATGATTCCCTTTGCCCTTCTGCTTTCCTCTCAGAGGGTTGCTCACCTGCCCGTAGCATTCCTCCCACACCTGGCTATAAGCCTCCATGCTGAGATCACCGTGTCCCATACCTGCCTTCACCACCTCCATTTCTGCAGCGAGGATCGCCTTTGCCTGTTTATGAGCGACATCATTAATTATCACCTCCAGTTACACATTTTTAACAAACAGAGTAACCTTCTTATCTTTTCTCTGTGAATTTGAACTGACTCTGTATGTAAGATCTTGCATATTTAATCTTTTTGTCAGAGTGTATTGTGTAAATATATTCAGCATTCAAGTTACCTTGGAAGTCACAAGTCTGAGCGGAAAATGATGTCACACCTGAGCTACCAGCGTTCCAGTTACCAAGTCGGAAAAAAGAAAAATCGGAGGTGGAAACAAGATGGCTACATCTACGAAAGTTTTTTTAGCGCTTGCCTTAAGCGCTAAAATAACTTTCGTAGATGTAGCCATCTTGTTTCAATTTTGCTTTTTTCAGGCTTGGTAACTAAAATGCTGGTGATTCAGGTGTGACATCATTTTCCACTCCGACTTGTGACTTCCAAGGTGACTCGAACGCACCAATAATGTAAATATCTGCCTTAGGACAATGGATTAAAATGAGCATTTATGCTAACTCTGGCATATTTACATTGGCGCTTTTGCTGACATGTCAATTAATGTGTATTGTCCTGATCAAACGAATACATGATAATGATAATAAGGTGATTAAACAAACAGTATTCACAGAAACATTCAGTTGATAGTTTCAAGTTAAGTATAGTTTGCATGAAAACGTATGTTACCTGCTCCATCTCCTCTGTGCTCACGGTTTTATACGGGTGCGTTTCCAGGTACGCGATGTGTGACGCATTGTTAGACGTGGAGGCGGGGCCTCTGCCTTTGCTACGCTGTAGCTGACTGGCTGTGAGGGCTGAGGGGTGGTGCAGACAGTCGTAGTGCAGCATGGAAATCATCTCCTGTTTGATCAGCTCCTCGGCCAGCTGGAGGTCCGACATGGGCTCGCTGGAGGCGGGACGGAGGACGGACTCGTTTACCTGCAGAGATGCGTGTTAATGAACTGCCTTGACTGTGCAAAACACGAAAACAAACCCCACTGATCGTATTCGATACCGTACAAAATTATTCCAACATTAATTAGACTCATCAAATTACAAAAAGGCAAAAGAGCATGTCCCCAAATTTGTTACAATGAAATTCTGTTTAGTAAAAAGTAGATAAAGCTTGGTTTGATTTTGAGAAATTTGCTAAAGAAAAAAAAAAACCTCTTCAAGTTGTTTGAATACTTAGTGATCGTTTCATTCACTGTGTGTGTTTTAGAATTAAATCCTAAGCTACAATAGTATGGGGGGGTTAAAAAGGGCTGATGAGACACTGCATTGCAGCCTTTTCACCCAGCTGTGGTGTAAGGGTCAGGGAGAATTAAAACTGCCTTTAATTGATGCTTTGTGCAGTCAGTGGGTTTTACCTCAGTGGGTCTGGGGAGATTCCTCTGAACAGCAGTGTGTCGCAGCTTCAGCTCTTTCTCTTTCTCTGCCGCCCGTTGAGCCTGACACAGACACACAAACACACATAAATCGCAAACCTTTTTTATCTGAACTACAGGGAAACACATGGCTATATATACATTTATGATTTCATGTTTTTTGAATGGCATTGGCCCCTGCAAACAATAACTGTATTGTTACCCTTCAGCTGTGGTCAAATGTTCATTGATCCCGGAATGTGTTTATACCTGCTTTCGTGCCTCAATGTCTGCAGAGTCTTCGATGAACCCTGTCTCCATCTCTGTCTCTTCGAGCTCTTTCTCAGCATTTTCAGGGAGAACGATCTCAAAGTCGTTTTTGGGAACAGGAAGTGACAGCAGGCCCTGCCTCAGCTGTTGCAAACTTTCTCTTTGCTGTAAACGAAAACAGAGAAACATCAAATATGCTTTTTAGTAAAGTTATTTTTGACTCCATTCCTCTCGCTGCCATTTAGATTAGCCTGCTTCAGTTGGTAGCTACTACTTCTCAGATCCTACAGTACAGATCCAGGTAACCTTCACAGACTCTTAGGTGACGTGTGCATGAGTGAAAATGTGTACTCACCATGTGTTTAGCGTATGCAGGATCAGCAAGTTGCTCCTCACTGTTAATATTCAGTTTGTCTCTGAGCGGTGTGCGGCCGGGGGTCAAACCTGGTGTTGTTGCCCCACGTGGGGTCATCGCTCCCCCAGCCTGAGGAGTCATGCCCTCTTGCCCCTGACCCTGTCCAGGAGTTCTGTTGGAGATCAGCAGGACTGTGAACATTCACTGAACCAGCAGGTTGGTGTAATTATCAAAACAGAAGTGTCTGAACTGTTACCTGAAAGGTGTGCTGAGAACTGTGTTGGGGGTTTGAATCTGCTGACGCTGAGGGGTCACTCCGCTGAAGTCGCTCTCGTGCAGCGGGGTGTTGAGGCCGCCCTTTAGAGGGGTGTCAATGTTGGTCAGAGCCATAAGGTTCTGGGCCTCCTGCAAATGTAGACAGACACATGAATAAACATTTAGAGTTTCAAAGGACGCCAACTTCACTTACTGATATTAACACTTTACAAAATGGACTACAATGATGCAAAATAAACGTACAGACATATCAGAAACACTTTCAAATACACAAACCTGCTGAAGACACATTTATGGTAAAAATAACTCAGTGCTGCATGATATCAAAAGTAATCCAGTAAATAACGTATCTGCATCCATCATTTTTATTTACAGATCTTAAAAGAAAATTTCAACTTGCACAGACTTTCTTATAGCTGATTTTAAATTTTAAATAACTTCTTTGCAACTGGAGGACAAAAGCTCCTTAAAGACTATCTGTTGAAGTTGAATGACTTCCACACACTTGGTACTGTAATGCAGCAAAGAGGTACTGGTTTTTAAATTTTTCATCTGTATCAAACTGAAGTATAAGCCATACTTAGTAGTGCTGGTCACCGCATAGTCTACATCTCAGTTACCTGAAGAATCCTGTCTTGCACAGCTGGGGTCCGTGGGGTACGCAGGCCTGTTGACATGGTGTTGGTGACGCTGTACTCTGACAGGAGGGCTGAGGAGGCCGAGTTTCCACTTTCACTCTCCTCTGCTGCTTGACGAGCAACTTCACTTGCAACACCCAATTTGACGACTTCCTCCAGCTCAGCATCACTGATCTGGTGCAAACACGATATTAAATGTAATCAAACACATTTAAATACAAAAAAACACACTTACATTAGGGCTGGGTGATAACCGAAAATTTACCAAACCGAAATGTACGTCAATAACCAACGTCATTTTGCCCATATTGGTATATTTGATGTCTAAAAAATAAATAAACAAAGTTGGTTTTGGATGTGTGTGGGTAGGCTATGGTCTCATGACCCTTTAATATGCTGTCCTATGTCGGAGACGTGACTCCACCTCATCCAGTCCATAACAAAGAGGGAAAGACAGGTGAGGAGATGGAGGACGGTTCAAAAGTTGTCGGCTGGAGTGGGCGCCAAAGTAGACAAAGTTGATGTGGGAGGGGGTGAGCAGCTTGTGGAGTAGCTGTAATCCATTTATTGTTATCAAGGTGAACTACTCAATATATCTTGATATTGATTTGAGGCCATATCGCCAAGCCCTAACTTACACTGAATCATATTTGGTTTATGAATTTCTACAACTCCAACTGTTGAAAACATCTACATCTACAGTGTAACATGAGTACAGGTGTTTGTGTGTGGCAGTTACCTGTGGTGTAGGTAAAACCAGCTTGGAGCGTTTCTTGGTGAACTCGGCCACTCCACTGGTCTGCAGGATGGCAGATGGAAGATCACTCTCTTTTTTCTTCTTGATCTTCTGTTTGTCTTTCTTCCTCTCTCTCTCCTCTTGCTCACTTCACACAAACACACAAAAAGGTTTAAGCTTAAACACAAGACATGATCGATGCAACTGTCCTCATGATGTGCAGAATACATCAACCATTCAACATGCTTTAACTGTTGTGCTAATCACAGTTTATCAGAATGTTTTAGTTATGAAGAAAAGAACAAGAAAAGACAGCTGAAGTTCATAATTTTTAGTTAAATCCCTACATGACCAGAAGAGAAAATGACATGCTTACATTTTCTTCACAAGTAAACACAAAGAGAAGGGGCAAGCAAGTGAACAATCATTTGGACACAGGTATGTTTGCAGAAAACAAAGTGTAAGATGATACTGACTTGCGCAGTTCTCCATCGAGGTGCTGCTGTCTGAGGCGTTTAAAGTTGGGCTCCAGGGGGACGTACTGCTCCATGCTGGTGTCATAGAAACCCTACATTTAAATGGAGGTAAGAAATACCCAAATGGCCGTCACTTCACTCAAAATGCTGTGTTGATATTGTGGTCTCTAAATTAATTATCTATGGATGTTACCTGCGCAGGTTTCTTTTCAAAAGGGATTTCAGCATTGTAGTCCACTCCTCTCTTCTTCTTTCTCTTCTTCTGGACATCAATTCCTGCAGCTCGAAGCTCTCTGCGCTTCTGCAGAGCAGCCAAACGCCTGCAGCAGAAAGAGACTTCAATTGAAACTTTAAAACGTAAATCAAAAGGAACTTTAAACGCCTGCCTTGTATTGGCACATGTTGTCTTTGTGGTGTATATTAATGTTACCTGGCCTCCTCCAGCTGCTTCTCTCGAGCCTTTCTTTTGGCTTTCTTGCCCTGTGTGTTGGCCAGTCGAGCCCTGGCCTCTGACAGCATCTCCAACTCATCTACAATGTGTGAAAAATGAAATTAGTTACTGAAACTATAAGGACATTTCCAATGTGGGTCAACCTGTGCTCTAATCCAGCTACAAAACAATTAAGCCACTGTATTGAAACATCTTCTGTATCTTATATTTATAAACCATTACAACCCCCTTTTTTTGCATTCAGCTCTAAACTCAACCAAAAATCTAAACTTTTACAATATATTCAATTTTAAGTAAATATGTTAACATTAAAAGTACCACAATAACCAGGTTCACCTGATTACAGCTCATATGTGTAACTTGTGGAAAAAAAAGCCACCACTTTCACAGTATTTGGAGTAAAAAACAAACCTTCATCCATGTCCACAGGGTCTGGTCTGGCGGGTTTAGTTTCAGGATTCGGGTCAATCTCTCCTGGTTTAAGCTTCCTGGGATCATCTCCCACTTCTTCCTCATTGTCTCTTTGTGCTGCCTTGTCACTAAGAACCAAATACAACACAAACCGTGAATCATTATGGTGATTATTTGTATTGCTATTATGATAATGATTAATATTATTATATAATATCTATCTATCTATCTATCTATCTATCTATCTATCTATCAAAATCATAAGTGTAGGAGAACCTAATCTTAATGATTTTAAAAGCAAACTGCAAACGTACCTTTTTAGTCTCGCTTTTAACTAAATTCTATGTCATTAACTTAGTTTTAGTATTTTAGCATTTATCTAGTCTACTTTTCATCACAGGATCGTCTTTTATTGAGCTATTTTGGTGCTCTTAGTGTCTTTCGCTGTTGTTTTTCTTTCATTTTGTTTATTTTTTTCTTAAATTTCATTCTATGTTTCTTTGTTTTTAGATTTTAACATAAACTTCCAGTGTTTCCTTATCTTGAGTTTTAAAATGACATTTCTTCAGTCCACACACTCCTGTTTCCACAAAATCAGGCCCTTTTTAAGTTTATGCATTTTGATGCTGTGTCTGCTGCAATTAGATCGTGGGGTGGGAGTGAGGGGTTGGGTTGGGGTAAATTTGGGTATTCTTTGTTTCTTTTATTCCTTTTTCTGTGTAAAGCACTTTGTGCTTCATGTTATGTATGAAAAGTGATATATAAATAAAGACTGATTGATTGATTAAAGGGGCAGGACTGGATACGTTTCGACTTCTTCCCACTCCTTTTTGAACACGGATAACTTTTTGTCATTTGTTGTTGTATTCTTTACTTTTTTATTCTCATTATTTTTATATGTTCAAAATAAACTTCAATCAATTAATCAATCAACAGTGCCATTCATTAATGGGTTTGAGCTCTCAGGCTTGGAGTATATTTCATGAACTTACAGCAGGTATTCATAGTGCTCCAGACACTGGGCAGCAGTACGTCCTATGATGGGAGCAATAGTCCTCCACTGGGTGGGCATCAGCTTGGCCAAATGAAGCAGCTTTTCCTCCTCTTCTCTGGACCATTCTGTTTTCTTGATGCTGGGGTCCAACCACTCATACCTGCACACAGACACAAATGTTTATTACTATGCAAATAAGTCATAAATGTAGTCAGCAGGACGTCTAAATGAGGATTTGACCTCGTCTTTTGGAGTCACCAACTGTGTGGATTTTTGCAGATATTTCACACTACAGGTACTAAAATGACTAAGTGTATGGTTTTAATGAAGTCTTGCAAGGTAGAGTTCCCTCGTGACTTTCCACCAGGACCTACCATCTGGCTTTGCACTGTTTGGCAGACTTTCGATGTAGCAGAGAGGCGATACGGGACCACTGGTTTTTCCCATATTTCATTACCGCTGCCTTGAGGATCTCATCCTGCAGGAGTGGGCAGTGTGGATAAAAAAAGACACAGAATAAGGCACAAAGTTGTTATTTCATCACATTATTGAATCGATTAACTATAACTGCCAGTTACTCAGACTTAACGCTGAACCCATACCCATGTATTTACTATAGGGGGTTAGCATAAGGCTAACGCAGCTAGCCCTGTAAACACGTACCTCAGTGTTGCGCCAGACGCCTCCTTTTATCATAATCCTCGGCATGTTTGCGGTCTGTTGGTCTCTCCTCCCGCAGCAAAACTGTTATAAGTATTTCTTCACCAGCTGTTGCGATAACTTGCCCTCACTTTTCTTACAAGCTCAACCCAACATACAAACTGTGATGGAGAAACGAACATGCAGCACACCGGAAGCTCGTATGGCGACGACCCACCGCAGTGTATTATGGGTATTATGCTACAGGTGTATTGCCGAAATTCGCTCCCCCATCGATGTTTTTATCAACTACCGCAAACTCAATCGATAATTATCCGCTTTGCCCAACCAGTCATTTATACAATAATCAAATGGAGCACACTACGACTATGATTCTCGCAACTAATATCAAGAACACGCTAAGATAAGCTAGAATTTAATAAGTGGCGCTTGACTGTCGAGGGAAACGTTTCCGGTGGACACCATTTGAACGGGACACAAACTTTACCATTACACTAGCACACTCTAAAACTCTCTGTTGTTTTCACTTCAAATAGCCTTACATTCTATTAACCCGATAATAGACGGACGAAGGAGTGATTTCAACACGTTTTTCAAGCTATCACTAGTCATTAATATCAGTATTAAGTCGTAAAGTTACCTGTTGTGAAGGAGAGTTGTTAAAATCAGCACTGTGGAGCATTTAGATGAATTGTACTTTAGTATAGGTTTCACAAACATGGAGATACTTAATCCTTTGGTACATGAGCATTACACTGTCATGAGTATCAGAATTTACATTTGAGATATATGAGAAATGCTGCTTTTGTGGAGGGGAAAATGGCTGGAAATGGCTGTACAGAGGCTAAATCCGTCAATACAGCTGTTAATAGCAATAGCATAGGGCTTTAGTTTAGTTTAGTTTAGTTTAACTTTCATCTTTCGAAAACACAACTTAAGACATGGTTTAAAATAAAATGTCACAATTTATTTGCATGTGCAAAATATGGTGCAGCCTCCGTGTCAACATGGCTGCTCTCCTTCCAGAGTTTCTTCTGTCCTTTTCAGTCACCAGCTGGATAACTGCTGTGTTAGGAGGCCACTCTTCCACTTGTTAAACTATAATGAAAAGACAAAAATATTAAAATACAATATCCTTTAACAGATATCCACCAAAGTATGTAGAGACCAATGTTTAAGAAGTGATTACATTCTGAAAGAAAAGTGTTGTGTCTGGGCTGTCCTCGATGTTTAGATGCAGAAGAAGGCTTCGTGACACTGGCTTGCTTGTATAAGAGGAGTTTATTATAAAGACAAACCCAATATCAATACAGCACTGCAGTTGCTGGGAGAGGACTGCCAATGATGTCCGGCTCTCCCAAACCAGAGTTTGTGACCCTGTTATATACGGTTAGGGATGTAAGCCCTCCTACATTCGCAAAATATCTTTCCTTACCCTCTGGTGTTTGGTAAACCTATAGTGGTGTTTTATGACCTGTGGCCTGTGACCCGTGAAGTGCCCCTCCCAGGATATCTCACCCCAGGTATCATTAATGCTGAGCAAGGAAAACACAAGCCCACATCCCACAATTGGTTCTCAGGCTATTCCTGAGAAATACCTTAAGGCACTGCATATTGCTGTAGTACTCCAGATACCACATATTTCCCCCCTTCGAGACTCCATAGAGTCTCGAAAGAGGCAAAGAAATGTTACAATTTCTATTTATTGCTAAAATTTTGGAGTGTGAGGGCGAAAACCTGTCAGTCAGTTATCGTTCCATTAGTTTCCATCAGACAATCTAGACAGGAAAAAGTCACTCACGGTCCCTCTGCCCTAGGCGACCACCTATTGTACTCCAATCCAATTGAAAGGTAAGGGTTAGACTTTATGTGGAAATAATGTTTGGCTCAAATATTCTTGGGAATCTCAGAAACAAATTTAAATTATCCACAGTCAAGCTGGTCTTCCCATCGGACCTTCAGTGGACCTATCCCTGCCTAACACCACTGATCCTAAACACGAGAAAACAAAGAAAATACCTGAGATCCCAATTAACTTTACAACTTAGTCTATGAATCACTAACCCCCATTTCAAACTTTCCATTCTTCCTATGCTGTTTGGTATTGACATGTACATTAAAATACAACACAGAGAGATAAATTGACATTCAATCCCAGATTATACATTAACAAACTCTATGATTAAAATGAATAATAATTTTTGCTCCTTAACATCCTCAGTTGCTTGTGTAGTGTTCTTTTCCATGGGTTTCCTCTGTTTGTGTATCCAATGCAATGTCCTTGTTCACATCCTCTGTCAGGTTTCAGTGTTTACATTGTCCATGTTTGATTGTCTTGTTGGGAGGTGTGGGTCCATTAAGGCTGTTTAGATCTCTGGAGAACCACCTTTCTTTAGCTGGTCTCCCCACCTGCTGTCCTTGGGATGAAAAAAAAAAACAAGCAGTATCTTGCCAGAAAACATAAATTTTTGTTTTGACATGTTTATCCTATTTCCCCCCTAAGTAATACCTCCCCTTTACATTATCAAAATGTAAACCTGTGTGCTGGCCAATCTTACCCAGAGGGTTTTTCATCACCCCATTCATTTTTTTTTTTTTCACAGATACCTTGGCTTTGCGGATGGTACACAGCTCCCAAACATTGTTTAATTCCCAGTTGTTGTTTTTTTAAATCACTTGCACTGTTTTATCCACACACTCTTCTCCATTATCTTCGAATATTTAATCCGAAAGTTCCCATCTGCTTATGACTTCCCTACACAAGAACTTGGCAACATACTGAGCATCTTTTCGCTTGTTTAGACAAGCTTCAACTGTTACACCTTCGAACATTATTTTTTAGACACATTGTACATCTACTTATGACATAATCAAAAATTTGTGGTGTCCAAAAACCTATTCCTTTATGATGTTTCTTTTAACTTCCCCCCTTGCATCATTAGCTAACCTTGGCCTCCTGAATCGTTCTTTTCCAAGTAGGTCTGGAGGTGCCACCATCAGCCCTTCATGATTCCTCCACAATCCTGTGGTATCCTGTGTTGCACCTCGGTCACGCCATAACTGTTTGTCTATTTCCGAGGCCGCTTCTTGCATTGAGACTATGTCTTTGAGGGTGATTATATCTTCTAAGTCTAATTCATGAGTGATCAGAAGAACTTTGCCTTCTTTATCTGCCCCTGTAACAGCTTTTGCAGCCTCATCAGCTGCTCTGTTGCCCTGAGTTACTCTTGACATGTCCCCTTTATGTGCTGCACACTTAGCTATTGCTATTTCTTTCGGCTTCATCATTGCATGCAGCAATTTGGTTATCTGGGCATGATGCTGTATAGGAGACCCATCTGTTTTTTTTTTTTTTTAAATCCCCGATTTTCCCACAGTGCTCCAAACAAGTGACAAACATTATGTGCATATGCAGAGTCTGTGTAAATTGTCACTCGTTTGTCTTCTGCCAAAAGACATGCCTCAGTTAGTCCTACAAGTTCAGCCAGCTGTGCAGATGCTGGTTGTTGCACTGTTTTTGCCTTTTCGACAACAAATCCATCTCCTTCAGCTTTTACAACTGCATAGCCAGCGCTCAATTTGTCTCCAATCCGATAACACGACCCATAAGTCCAATACTCTACATCTGCTTTCTGAAGTGGAAGGGCTTGCAAGTCTGACCGTAGTTTTGAATATCTCTCTGATTCCTTCAGTCCAATACCAGTGCTATATCGAGACCACAGATGTTCTGGCACGTGTTGTAGCATGTCTTCTTTTATAGCGTCTGAGTCAAGTTTAGCACTGCAAATTGACTCATGTGTCATCTGTACAGCTTGTGGCTGACCCTGTACGTGAGCAGAGATAACAATCCATATGAACTGCTGATCCTCACTCACCCAAATAGCAGGATTTTCCTTAACTGGTGTGAAAATAGCTTTCTCTGCTTCTACCATCATTGAGCCTATATGCTTCTGTTCATAGGTCTCAGCCACCATCAAAGTCACGTGAGGAATGCTTTCCTCGATGTCATGTTCTTTTTCAAGATATTCATTACTCTCTATCTTCATAGCTGCTCCTTGTGGCCCCAAATTATTGAACTGGAGCTAAGCTGGACTTGTTTTGGTTGTTGATTCAACCAGTCTGCTGAGTTGGTCTGTGTAGCATCTTTAAAATACTTCAGTGTACAGTGGTCTGGATACTCAGGTAACTTCACCTCAGTCATATTGGCCACAATAAATTTCTCCCACAGCTTTGCTGGCTCTAGCAACTCCTGGCTAAGGTTCCCAATCCAAAACACTGCAGATGCTTCAGTCTCTGTTTTCATAAAAAGTTGTTGCCAACTATCACTTGGTACATCCACCAGACAGCCGTCTGGTGTGCATCGTATTGTGCACTTCAACCTACACAAAGCATCTCTGCCCAAAAGTGCAATAGGTGTTTGTTCTGACACTAGTATCGGTATTGTGGTCTTTTGATTTTTATAGCAGAGCTCAACGGGTTCTGTAAGAGGTATCAGCTGTTTCACACCCTCAAAACCTATTGTCCATACCAATTGGCCAGACATGGGGAGATGTATAGCATCTTTGGGCCTAACACAGGTGAAGGCAGCTCCGCAATCTGCCATAACTGTCAATGGTTTATCATTCACTTTCACCTCAATGGTTGGCTCTTGTTCTAGCCCTGACACTACCAGCTGACATCCCCCTTTTAGGTCTTCTGGGCACCCCTAAAATCCAGGTTCTGGCCCCCTATCAGGGTTTACATGTCCTCTGAGTGGGCGCGATTGTCCCTTAGTGCTTCTCATGAAGCCTCCCCTGAGACCTAAAACTTATCAACACCCAAAAAAGATCAATCTGTGTGATTTTACCAAGCAGCAATGACAAACCACATCCACACGTTTCAGCAAAATTTAGACCTTTTGGAAATGCTCTTTTAATTCAACAATACTACGGTACTTAATCAGCCCTTTCAACCGGTCAGTCTATTGCCAAGCCTTTCTTTTACCAACAAAACTACTGCTCTTATTGTCTCGCACTAACAAATATATACACCCAACTAAATGTGTTCCCACTATAAATGTGTATGTACAACTAAGTAGCAGCAGACACATAGGAGAAGAGTTTGTAGATAAAACTGTACTGGCCTGTCAAATGGGAGCAGGACCTGGTGAGCCTCTCATCCGCAAGCCCCCTCTTGTTGCAGCACAGCCAATTATCTTCTTATCTGTCTTATGGGCGCTCCAGCGTCAGGTGCCTTTCATTCTCCTCTCCCCTCTCATGCATCAGAGTTAGGGACAAAGAACAAATCAAATGTTTAATTCACTCAATACACTTGAAAACAACATTTCCTACCACTATTTAAAGACTACCTAAATTTATTATACACCATTCCCCTTATCACGGTATATCATTTAAAATTTTCACACAACTAGGATAGTTAAACTAGATGTTTTGGCTTTCTTTCTGTTCTCAGGCCTGTAAGAAGAGAAAGAAAGCGGGAGAAAAAGTTCCCTGGATTCTCCTCATCTTCAACTAGGACTTCCCTCTAAACATAATCATCAGCAAGTCACCATTCACTTTAAATATTCACACACACACAGAGGAAGCCATACCCATCAGTTAGCAAATCACTCTATTTTACCCCACTCTCTTACTCTGTTTTTTCCTGTATCTGTATGAAGACAAATGTGCTTGCTGGTTTTTACACTTCTTTAATTGCAATATTAGTCAAGGATGTTATCACCATCCAAAGTCCTCCTCATCTAATAAGGGGCTCATTTCTTACTATTAGGTGTACAAATGTCCTCTTTATCCTGAGAGGCTCATAGCAGTTATTTATTCTATTTACTTATTCTTATTCCAAAGTCCTCCTCATCTAATAAGGGGCTCATTTCTTAGTATTAGATGTACAAACGTCCTCTTTATCCTGAGAGGCTCATAGCAGTTACTTATTCTATTAACTTATTCTATTTACTTATTCTTATTCCAAAGTCCTCCTCATCTAATAAGGGGCTCATTTCTTACTAATAGGTGTACAAATGTCCTCTTTATCCTGAGAGGCTCATAGCAGTTACTTATTCTATTAACGTCCCTGTACAAAGAAAAACAGGGCTCATATGGTTTTAACATTACAAAGGCAACAGTATCTCTTCCCTTATATGTTCATTTCTTATATCATATCATTATATATTTAATAAGCAATCATTTATCACTTTATCATAAGTTAATCACTTATACTTATGCTAGACCATTCCCCAACTTTGTGCGCACACCACTCACTGCACACAGACTCTTTTGCACTCACACTCACAGCTCAGCACCCATACACACACTCCTCTCACACACACACCAGAAGCTTCTCTCACACACTCAAACTTCAGCACACCTCTTCTCACTGAGCTCAATGTTTCCTTACTATAGTATTTGTACATAGTGATGTAGTACTCCAGATACCACATCAGACAAATCCAAACTCATTCAAACCTTTCTGATACTTCAAACCTGTTTAACACTTTAGGACTTCTAATTATTTAAAATGTTTCCCACTTCAAAATCATTCCCATTATTTATGTATGTTTTAATTCTTCAAACAAAATCCCAGTTCTACCACTACAATTACTACTTATATCATTTTAACTTGTATCTTCACTTCTACCTCCACTGCTCTTGCTTATTTTTTTTTACTTCTACTCTTACTTCTACCATGAGCTCTACTGCTTTGACTTCTACTTCTTCTATTCTAAAACTACTTCTACTGCTTACATGACTACTAATACCACTAGTACAACTACCTATTATCATACTTCTTCTAGTACTTCAACTTAAACTTATGCCGCTTCTCACTTTTCTGTGTTTTAAGGTAATTTTCTTCCTTATACAATTTTTTTTGCAATTTCAGACAGTTTTTCTAGCCTTATTTAGCATGAATGCAATTTTAATTTATGAAGCACATTCATACTATTTGTACTTCAGCAATTTTCACTTTCATCTAACTTCTACTTTTCTTTCTCCAGCTCTTTAACCAAGTTTACATTTAAACATTCCTCCATTTTTTTTTAACAGTTTAGCATTGCTTTTTCAGCTTCCAGCACTGAGCATTTCCACGCATTTTCTGCAAGGAAATGCAATTTTTTCTAGTTTTGATAATGCCTGTCACATTAAAGTCATAAACACTGTAAATATCTATGCACACATTTAATCATTGTCGATGCATCGCTTAACTATCACGAAAGTCTCGACAGTAACACAAGTTTGTATGATAATAGTGTCATGAAATCTTACGGTCTCCATGTCGCAGATGTTGTCCTTTCCGTTCGGGTGTTGGTTAGAGGTGTTAGTCCGAGTCCTTCGTCGTCTGGTGAGGTTTTATCTACGATGAAGCCGTCAAAAGTTGTAAGTTCGTGAGCCGCTTAAGTTTTTCGTGCTGTTCTCTTCAGATTTGATCTTCAGAAATGACCGCTCTCTTTTGCTTGTAATGATTTAAAGTTTTTACATCGTTACAGGTTACCATGGAGATTTAAAATGCTGTTTACTTTAGAAAAACCCGTACACTGGTAGGTTATATCTAAAAGTTTAATATTATCTTTAATTTACTTTAATCTCAATAGAATATAAATATCTCTTCAAGTAAAGTGGCGGTTATTTTTCGTCAACTAGTTTAAGAGTTTAAAAGCATTTTAATTTAAAAACATTCCTTATTTCGGTACAAAACGACAACGTTTTGAAAACTATAGCTAAGTAGGCCTTTGTCTCATAGGTAACCCAACAAAAACTGGAAACTTTGTGTTTCATTATAAATTCCACTGAAGCCTTTACTTCAATTAAATTCAGTCGATTTTCTTTAGAAGGCTACTAAAAATAGTCTATATATACTCCTATCATATCAATATTTTAGAGCAGTAACTACATCTGTAAAGCACTTTGTCCCCGTGTTTAAAAAAAAAAAACAAAGTTGATCATTGTCATTGATCATTGTTTAATCGCAGGGCTCTCAAGTTTTGAACTAAGCTTAGAGTGAGATTAGATATTTATTAGTATAATTATCTCTTAAATACAACGGAGTATAAGGGGCACAATTAGAAAAAAAACCTTTTTAAATCTTAAAGAATAAAGTTATTATTTGGGAGAATAAAGTCATTAATATCAGTATTAAGTCGTAAAGTTACCTGTTGTGAAGGAGAGTTGTTAAAATCAGCACTGTGGAGCATTTGGATGAATTGTACTTTAGTACAGGTTTCACAAACATGGAGATACTTAATCCTTTGGTACATGAGCATTACACTGTCATGAGTATCAGAACTTATATTTGAGATATATGAGAAATGCTGCTTTTGTGGAGGGGGAAATGGCTGGAAATGGCTGTACAGAGGCTAAATCCGTCAATACAGCTGTTAATAGCAATAGCATAGGGCTTTAGTTTATTATATGAGTTTATATGCCATGAGGTGTTGAGGTCTCTGCATGTGTAGGTTACTGACTTACTGTAATCAAAGGGGCTATCTCGTCCTTATAAAAACCTGCTCTATTACGGCGAGTGTCTGTCTTCTTCTGTAGTCAAACTGTAAGATATCAAAATCTACCCGGATACAGCAATGCTGCTTTTTGATTGGCTGTTCAGTAGATATACTTTATTTGATTGGCTTGCGCGTGGCACGCAGCTTCTGAACTCTCGGAGGAACTCAGTTGATTCCTACCTGTTCCATAGTTAAAGAGGTACAACTTGGTGGACATCACCATGTTCATTTAAATGCGTGAGAAATACAATGTGTGGCGTGTGAGCGTGAGAATGGGTGGGAATGCGTGTGTCACACGCTGAATGCATGAGACTTGAGAGCCCTGAAAATAGAGAGGAGCCGCCCACCACCATTGGCCCTTTAGTCCATCAAGGTGTTTTGAAGTGGGTGATCCATGTTCTTTTGAACAGTCTCCACCTTCCTTCGTGTAGATCTCTCCACCACATCCTCCACTGAGTCCAGCTTGAGTCCAACCACAAAGCCAGCCTTTTTCACCAGTTTGTTCAGACATCTTGCGTCTTTGTGTTTGATGCTTCCTCCCCAGCAGACTGTGGTGTAGAACAGAACACTTGCCACCACAGACTGATAAAACATCTGCAGCGTCTTACTACAGATGTCTATTGATCGGAGTCTTATCAGGCAAAAGAGGCGGCTCTGCCCCTTTCTGTAGATGAAGTCTATATTCTTAGACCAGTCCGACTTATTATCCAGATGTACACCTAGGTATTTATATGACGTCACCACTTCGATGTCCACTCCACAGGTGCTAACTTGCTGAAGAGGGGGTTTGGATCTATGGAAGTCAATGACCATCTCCTTTGTCTTTGAGGTGTTAAGGAGGAGGCAGTATTATCTATTTTATCTAGTGTCTATTTTAGTACTTTGAATCTGGATGTGGTCCCATTCTGAAATGTTTTCATTGGACCCATGGTGTTTCTCCTGTCCATCTAAATGACCTTAACCCCCCTTTAATTGTACAAATAATGTGTAGAACATCATGTTAGCAGTATTTTAAGCGGGTTTCAACTCCTACATCTTTCCTTATAAAAACAAAAACACTCAAAAATCAGATATCTTGATTGTTGATGTTTTTATTTCAACTCGGTATCTGAGGTACATATTTACTGATTTCACACAAATGATACCAGGCTACATGTATTTTCTTCACAGATTAGCACAACACAGAGAACACTTATGTCAACATGACAACAGACATGCACAAACAAGGCAGAGACTGGAGTGAGCACTGCAGGCTGACTGCAACAACCAACCATTGGCCAGAACACAAAGAACTAACCAATCACGATGGGTGGTAGCACTGATTTGACAGGGGGATGCGAAGTGAGGAGAGGACAAGGGGGGAGAGAGGAGAAAGGGGAGGAAGAACTGCTGAGGGGAGGAGGTGAAGGAGAGTAAAATAGGAAGGAGGCTAATACCTAAAATATTAAGACAAATTGTTAACACTGAGCACCGGAAAACAATAAATTATATTGTCATTATTGACAATAAATATTAATTATCTCATAAATAACATTTTATCTTTTTACTCACATATATCCTTAAATCTGAGATGAGCTGCACACTTTCCCATCAAATAGTATAATTTACCTCACTGCAGTGGACACACACACACTCTCTTTTTCACACACACTTTTTTTCCTCCACTTCCTCCCTTTAAGTACATTTCAGTCCAATGTTACAGGAGCAATACTGTAGGAGCAGGGGGGTGTGGGGGGGTCTAAAGGTGGTTTAAAGGTGATGCTTAGCTAGTGGTTGGGGGGGGGGGGGCACATGCAGACTTGATATGTACAACTATAAACTCCCTCAGTCCCACCCTCCATACCCCATATGTCTCCCTCTTGTCTTCATGTCCACCATATCATATCTTTTGATTCCTCATTCCTTCTGCTATCACCAACCCCACTCCCCTGATCTTTGTACTCTCTTTAACCCCTTCTCCCCCCACGTCTCCCCCATCTCTCCCCCTTTTGTCTCTACACATGTCTACTTAAGGTCCCCTGCATCTCCTTGGATGGTCTTCTTGATGCGGAGCAGCATTGTGGTCAACCACTGATCCAGACGAGATACTGAGTCGAATTCCTTGACGGCCTCCGTGAATGCCTCGCTGTTCTGCTCCTCATGAGCTTCTAGAAGTTTCTATGAGGTATCAAAAACAACAAACACTTAAGAGAGGGAGTAGTGTTTAAAATCACTTTTTAAAAACCAATTAAATATGCATGCATCTAAAGTCACCCTTTCAATGCATTTATTCGCTCCTTCGCTTCTACAGCACTGTAATGGGAAGCAGTTTACCTTTAAAAGTTTTAGCTCTCTGGAGTCTGTAAAGGCTGGAAACATCTCCTCATACTTTTCAATGGCCAGCTGAAATGCAGGTCCACACACACACGGACACACACACACACACACACACACACACACACGCACATACACAAAGAGTCACTAGGGTTCACATGTGTGTGCTTGCATATTGTAGAGTATTGTATCATCTTGTGTAGTATAGGATAGTATGATGTGTAAGGTATTGTTCAGTAGAAATCCTGTGACCTTTTCAATCTAAAAGTTAAGCATATTTTTGTGATGTGCCATACCCAGAAAATGTCATAACAAAGATCTTTCTACATCTATGCAAGCTTTAATTACTCAACCAGAGCGAAAAAAACATACATAAACTCTATGCTTACAGGGCTTAAAAATCTGTGTTTTCAAATTCTCAAGAGAGAATCATAGAGAACCACAAATGAAGGACAAACTTGTTGTCTCCATTTGAGGAAACTTTTTTAAAGAGGATAATCCCATTAGACTCTTCAGAACTGATATTACTGTTATCAAAATAGTGACAAAAAGTTTCCAGTTCCCATATCTGGGTGACAGAGAAAGGAAATTCCTTTTCTCCCTTTGCTAATCATACATTAAGAGGCTGTTGGATTGTCTCTGTGTGCGTGTGTGAAACAGTGTGTATGTGAGTTCAGTGAGATACCTTGGCATTCAGTTCATCCACTATGAAGTGACAGAGAGAAGCCTTGAAGAAATACTCTTTAGCGTTGTACTTCAACAAAGGATTGTCCATTGTGCTCATAGCAACCTAAAACAAAACAAGCAGAATACCATTATCTCTTTAAATAGGTTATGGCTTTGACATCAATTCATCTCTTCAACTTATTTCTCTCTGTTTTCTGTGTCAAACTTCTGGAACCTGTAAAATGGCATATTTCTGTAGTTATTTCCTGAGAGGAACCCCAAAGATTAGCCAGACCAAAAGAATTAATCATTTGGTTTTAAATAGATGTGAATGAGATATTTTCAGTGGCATTAATCTGGAGAGTTGTTGTCTTTATTTTCTCTATGATTATTGTAAAAAGTGTGTGCACTCAGCTGTTACCTGTTCATAGATTTCAATAGCTTTCTGGTACTGCTCCAGCTGAGCGCTGTAGTGTCCCACCTTCAGGAGACATTTGTTGGCTGAGCTGAAACACAAACAAACAAACAAAACAAAGATACAACACCATGAGTTTACAGCTAACATGAGTATTTACTGCTGGTTTAAACACCCTGCCTGAGTGGACAAAGGGAACTGTTTATCAGACTAGACTCTCACTGCAGAGGCCAAACGGGTCTGCAAAAGTCATTTGAAGTTAGGGAGTCATTATTACTTAGTCACTGGATCAACAATTTCTGACACTAGACAAATTATTGCTTAAAAAAAGGTCAACTAAATCAAAGTTAGCTAGAAAATAAAATAAAAAATAAAAAAATCAAAGCCCTTGTTTTCGTAATATATCAGTGTTTTTTCTGTTTTCATTGAACTTTAACTGGTGCATGTACCTGTTAGATTCCTCTCCTTTGTAGTAATCTGCTGCCTGCTCATAGTGGGCGATTGCCTAGGATGCAAAAAAAAGATGCAAATCAGTGCAGATAACCATAATTATATATATCTTTACAATGAATTATATCTTATTTGTAATCTATTCTAAAGGAAACATCTACAGATCATAAGTAACCACACAGTGTTAATACACACCTTCTCAATATCGACCAGCTCAGACTCATAAATTTCTGCGATGGTAATGTGATGTTTGGCTGCGATAGTGAACCGACCCTGTGATCAACACAAAGACACATATTTTATATTTGAGTGATACTCACGTTTAAGCCTGAATGTAGCAGGGAGCAGTTCAGTGTTCAGTCAGATCTTACCATGTCGGTGTAGATATCAATAGCCTGATTGAGACAGTTGATGGCCTCTACAAGAAGACAAATGAGAGAGTTAGGATGGAAGTTACGAATATAAAAACATAAGAAGGAAAGAGAGTCTGCCGAAGCCTTTTGACTCTACTCCGCCAAATTAAAACTCTTCCACCTTCCTCCCACTGTGACCACTAACCTGCTAACCCACAGTGTTTTATTAAGCCCATTACAGGGAGGCTACAGGGCTGACGCAGCATAACCTAGATCCCATTTGTCTTAGAGTAACCCAGGGACTTGTTTAAAACCTCCAATAATAGTACCTCAGGGTCCTGACTCTGACTAAGGAGTAGTACAGTGGGTGTCCCTTTTAACACATGTGGCATGGCGGAGTCATAATTACGGAGAAAAAGAGGCCACTGAGCACCAGCAGTGGAAGAAGTTAACCGATCTTAATCTCAGTGAAAGAAACAGTGCTGTGGTGTGGAAATATCTTATTTCCAGTATAGAGCATGCTGTATTATATTGCTTTATTGTTGCAGCTATAAATGCAGCTTATTAAATTTCTGTACTACCAGGTAACTTGTGAAGAATCAAAAGGGTCAATACAGTCTCTGTAACTAATGTAACCCTTAAGATAAAGCTTTTACATCATGATTTTTTTATTTTAATCTGGATTTTGCATTCTCAATCTCAGTTTTAAAAGCTTCTTGTGACTTAAGCTGTCAAATAAGTGTTTTGTGGAACAAGTACAATATTTATCTCAAATTTGCAATATGAGTATAATGTACACAACTATTGAAATATTTAAGTTGTTCACAACTATTCTTAATATCAGAACTGTGATAAGTATACTTCACCTGGTTCCCAGGTTAAACTCTACCTGACAGGCATGATATGATAAGGAACACTCCAGAGAGAGCTGGGAGTACTGAAATTTAGATTTTGGTTAAACTCTCACCATGAAATTTCAAACTGTTCCAGCTTTATCCTGGATTAACGCAGCTGCACGAAACTGCCTGTGCTTATAAAGGGGTCCCAGTCTGAACACATCCATCCTTGAAAATTTCCCAAAAAGTTTAGCCCCACCTGATGGCAACAGGAAGATACTGCTTCCCAATCTGGTTAACTGAAATTTCCTCAACATTGTTCTGGTACATTCCTAGATCTTCCCCCACTGCCCCCAAGTTCACCTAATTCTACGCCAAACACGATCACCGTGGTGATGTTTTTTTTTTTTTACTATCAAACAGGAAGTGTTTTTCTAAAGGGGTTAACTTACTTACAGACTCACCAAATGTGGTACACAGGAGCCTGTTGGAGCCCTGAGACATTTGATAAAAGTGTGGTTGGTGGGTGTAGCTGTAAGACTGAATTTGTCACAACAACAAATTCTCAAGAATCCAGCCATTGCATCACAATTAATTTAGAAACTTGTGTTTTGATGGGCTTATGCATCATGTTTAGACATACAAAAAGGAAGTCCACCTTTTCACATTTTTGTTTTTATCCTGAAACAGGCAGTAGAAATTAGAAGGGATTACAATGTTTGCAGAGACACCAGATTTGATACACCGAAGCCTGGTAGAGAAATAACATGTTTAATTTGGGTTTGGTAAATGAGCATGGCTTCATGGCTTAATAAAACCACGCCTGGTGGTCCCCTAATTGTCAAATGAGAGAAAAAAGACTGACGGTAAAATGAGATACAAAGAAGTCTTTGTTACCAAAAGTTTGATATCTTCTGTAGAGTGCAGTGTTTATAGGAGCCACATAAGAGGAGTGCTGCTGCTTCTGTGTGTGTGTGTGTGTGTGTGTGTTTGTGTGTGTGGACAGCAGCGCTCACCCTGTGGGTCGGCCTTTTTGTAAGCATTTCCAGCATCAACAAAGCTCGTAGCTGAGTCCAGTTTGTTCTGCAGCTGCATGTGGAGCCGAGCAGCCTGACAAAATGCATTTCCCGCAGCTGCAAACATGAGCACAAAAACATAGAGTCACAGTTACCATGGGACATGATAAAATAAATGCATTCTAGTGCACATGACCCGTTTATGATCGTTCAGATAGGAAGACATGTTTCAATAGTCTGTGTGTCAGTGCTCGATTTAGTCTGAGGACTCATATCAAGCAGAAAAAAATATCAAAACACAGCTATGCAGCTATCTATTCTGCTCAGAATGAGCTATTATTGGCACATCTAGAGCAGCCAGTGTGCCACTTCTTTGTCTTAACAGTCCTGAATTTAATATCTGACTCCACTGCATGTTGATTTTTAGAGCCGTCATTGCAAACAAAATAACTCTGCACTAGTAAATCTTTTTTTTCCTGTAAATATGTCAATGCTACTCAAATAAACAAAAGCAGTCAAATGTGGGTGTTTGAGTGGGTGTTTGTTTATTTGTGCCTCTGTTTCCATGTATAGTATTTAATGCATATATATGAGTAATGTGTTTATCTATTTATTTAAATGTGTGTGCTCGTGTGCATGTGGGTGTGTGTGTGTGACACCTACCGCTCCAGTTCTTGGCCATCTTAAACATGTTGGCTGCTCTAGCATACATTTCACAGGCATCCTCCACCTTATGGTTTCCCCTGTTGAAAACACACAAATACATATCTTTTATTTTGCCATTTTTTTGGAATAAATAAAAAGACTTTAATGTATTGGCCTATTTTCATTGGCCAATTAAAAACCAACATTTTCAACAAATATGGTCATGTTTAAAAAAAAGGAAAGAAAGAAAGAAAAAACATTATCAGCGTCATGTTTTGGTGTGATATATTCTTGTCTGAAGCATTATTTTTCTATAAAAAGGTTAATGTAAAGCAACAACCCTGTGCTGATTGAGTCAAAGTTCATTTAAACCCACAAGACAGTGAGTGGAACAACCTTTTGAGTGTGTTAGGTTCTGAATTAGACCTTTTTCTTATTTCATTTTTACCCAGAGCAGGGATCATCGCCTCTGACTGGGTTAAACCTTGAACAGACCCCCCCACTCACCCACCCACAGAGGAAACCTATCTGGAAACCTGCTGTTTGCTGTTTCACACTATTTCAAGACACCACAAGAGAGAATATTTTAAAATCCCTGCCCTCGCTGTACATTTATGGAGTGCCTGGGTTGTCCTTTTTTGTCTGCCAAAAAAAAAATGCTTACGTTTCGTTCAAACACTGTACAGCGTCTCGCTCTGACTCAGAGCTTTTTGAGGGCTGGAGGATATCATCACAGTCAGTTGATGTAAACCTCCCCAAAATCAAAGTTTTCTCTCATGTGAGGCTCAAATCTGTTTTCAAAAGGAGTGTGTACAGAAATATAACATAAATTTAGACCATCTGTATCTAGCACACTGAATATCTAATGCATGATTGTGTGAGTGCAGCTTGAACTAGTTAATACAGTGCTGGTCACTCTGTGTGGGGAAGAGGGCTGCTTTAAAGTCCTGGGTCTGTCAAGATTATACTTCATTAAATGAATTTTTGAATGTAATCAAAAAGAAACTCAGTAAACACAGAAAAAAAGCAAAAAATCAAGAGTTCATGATGTAACTCTAAAATGTTTTTGTTAGTGAGACTACAACGACTGGTTACTGGTTAAAATGATCCTGTATAAGTCTGCTCTGTCTGTTATCTCAGTGCTAAGGTTCATTAAATTAATATCCAGGTGCCTATGTGAAGAAAACAGATGTGACCTATTACAGAGCTCAGATTCAAGGGTAAACTGCCTCATGATTAAAATTATCCTCCTTTCTCTGAAACATGAATTTTCAATGGCCATCAAAAACTCTGGTCACAGACTTGAAAAAGAGTAGGTGACCAACACCACCAACAGGAAAGAAGTATTTACTTCCTTTTGCTTAGTCAAAAATACTACCCCTTTTAGTACAAGTATGCATATTTGAGAGTAAAAAAAAAATATATATTTAAAGCAAATAATTGCTCGTTGTGTCTTGACAAGTATTATACCGTGTATAAGCTTTTCATGTTTTATAGGATTTTATTAATTTGGCTGATAAACTTAACTTTTTAACTTTTAATTTCTGTAAAACTTGACTGAGTTAATGACTCATTTCAGCATGAATCAATCTTTTAATTATTTTTCACCAGCACTTACTCAAATTATATCCCTGTAAAAAATTTGAAGACAACTATCACTTTTACTCTAGCTTTTTCTTTTTGGTTAATTTCACACTAGATTTTTCCAAATGATCACAGATAGTCTGTCAGGGTAAATAAATGTAGTATGGATGATTGTATAGAGGTAGAAATCAAGTCGAGGCAGCCACTGTTATTTTATCTCAATTGCTTGTTATTGCAGAAAATAATGACAAATTACCCAAGATAATGTCATTAGATGTCTTATTTTATGTTGCTGACTGTCATAAGCCTTCAGTGTTTGGCAAGCCTAATTATTGCAATGAGCAGCAAAGGCATTGTCATTCCAATAACCAGATATTCTTCCAGAAACTTCCAGCTCCCTGTCCCCTCCCTTCGGCCCACCCGGGATGTCAGAAATATGGCGTAATCTGGCCTGCATTAGTTAAATGAAGTAACTTGGTTAAATTATTTTTCAGTTTTTTTTTATGACCATTAAACAACTAAGTGATATAAAATCTTTATAAACACTTGAATATGTCAAAGAATAACTTCAATAATGGCCAAGGGTTCTTGGCAGGGTTTTGGAGTTTAGGATTTTACAGCAAATATATGTCTGTCTGAACTGCAAAGGAAAGTGGGTGAAAAACACAGACTGATTCAAGAAAGTTGTACTGTACTACATTGCAGTATTTTAGTGGAGTTAAGTGGAAATGCCACCTTTCTTGAATGGAGGAAAAGGGAAGTCACTGCTGGACTGATCAGTACAACCAATACCAAAACATTTATCTTGAAGGTTAAAAAATATATTAACCAATGTATAAAAACTGATCTTTAGTGGAGTATGAAACAATAATGCATAGAGTATGAGCACATTATCAGAAATATTTTGCTCTCTTGTGGTGCATCAATTGAAGTGGCCCTCTGTTAGGATGACAATACAGACAGTGGCCCGAAGCCAGTTTGAGTCTGAGACCACTGCAGTAGATGGATAACCTCATATTATAAACATTAGAGCAGTTCTTGGGTAATGATACTTCCTTTTAACATATTATATCTATGCTCCTCTTCATTTATCAACCATATTTTTTAAAACACATCAGACATAGGCTACTTAAAACACTAACAGATATAGGCTCTACCACACCTGATCTAGACACAGACTGAGGAGCCTGAGCACTCAATCTATCAATATCATAAGTCAGCCAGCCAATTGATCAGTGAGCCAATCAGCAAATCTATCTATCTATCTATCTATCTATCTATCTATCTATCTATCTATCTATCTATCTATCTATCTATCTAATTTACGTAAACATCCACTCCCACCGCACATCAAAGCCCCCCCCGTCCTTCCACGCACACAAACACGCGCGCGCACACAGCCACTAAAACCCAGCCCCCGCATCCCCACTCTCCATCACCGGCCCAGTCCTCCGCTCCGCACACCGTCCTGTCTGCGCTTCTTCATCCGCCTGTCCGCGCCCCCCCCTGTCCGGCCTCGCGCTCCATCAAAGCCCACTCACAAGCCGAGTGCAACATTTACATTTTTCTGCGTGGCAGGCCACGTCACGCAGGCCATTATCTGCGATGACAGCTCACATTTAGATTAAAGGTGTGCGGAGATAAATCCCCTCAGAAGGACACAGTGTCACGGCTTTGCACCAGCTCGTATGTGGAAAAAAATACAATAAAAATCTCTCGAGACATTAGGCACGGTGGGTTATGGTTTAATCCGGCCTCTCGAGCTAATCACTGAGTACAAGAATGATCAGAGGCATATTAGAGCAAGATCTGATCTCTCCGTCAAGGAAAACAGAAGCTGCAGGCTCTAATGGGCCCTGCACGCACGACTCCTACCCCCTCCGTACTAAAATGAGAGAGCGAGAGAGGTAAACAGAGACAGCAGCAGAGAATGAGAGCATCCTTTACCCGAACATCCCCCCGAGGAAGGATCCGGACGCTTTGACCTTCTTGTCGGCTTCAGCCATCAGCTGCATGGCCTCCTTCTCTTTGCCGGAGTTGTCCATGGCGAGCTGGGTCTGCCGCTGGAGGAGCGATGGGAGCAAAACAGGCCGATGTTCCGCAATGGACGGAGGGGAGAGCAGCAGAGCAGAGCAGAGGAGGGGAGGAGAGGAGAGAGAGAGAGAGAGATGGCTCTGCTGCTGCTGCTGGTGGTGGTGGTGGTGCTGATGCTGAGAGGCTGCGGCTCTTCCTCTACGGAGAGAGAGAAAGGTCATTTGAGGCTCGCTGCTACCACCTGCTGGTACAAATATAAACAGGCGTGTCCTCACTCACCGCGAGAAAAGCTGCTGCTGGAGACTTGTGCAGACTGCAGGTAGATTTCCAGGGTTAGGCCTCTATATAGATGGTACGCATGTAAGTTCAGTTCAGTTTGTGCTGCACCTGCAAGCATCAAAATTCAATCTATGAATAAAAAGGGAAGCCCTCATCGCACATTGTCTTGATTTACACAGGGGAGAGTGGGGTACGTTTAGCCACCCCCTGTTGCTTGGAAATGGTAAGAGAAATTGATAATGTGACCAAATATTTAGGAGATGTGCATCAATTCATGGAGTCTGTGAAAGTTAGAACCACATGGGTGAAGGGGTAAGACATTTATTAAAAAAAAAAGAAAAAAAAACATTTTTCACTCTTGAAAGTGAATTTAGTCTGTCGTAGGTTTTATTAGAATTGTGTTCAGACCAAAAAAGATTAGCCTGGCTGGGCCATCCAGTTCCGTGAATCACTTGCCGTTCCTAGAACGGCAAGTGATTCACGGAACTGGATGGCCCAGCCAGGCTAAAAAAAGATCATTTTAAATTTGTTTTACATCAATTGTGGTATCCATGAACTACAGCACGAGGTCAAAAACCTAGCATAAAAGTCCACCAGTTTAGCTTAGAGGACTAATAAAGTCATAACAGTAGTTCTGGGGTAAGTTGAGCCAGTGGCTCAACTGAGAAAGTAAAGGAGTCTGATGAGAGGATCAGAGTTTCAGTTCAGATTGTTGAAATGTGTTACTTTTTCTTTTCAAAAATACAGCTGTGAATGTTCAGAATCACTTAAAGGCATTCTCATGTTAAAATGGCTTTTTACAAAACAGCAACAACAATGATAATAAAAAGAATTATTGTACTAGTTGAATAGTGTATAATAGATAAAAATACACATGAATGTGAAGAAGTGACTGTTATTTAGGGACAGAGAATGTGAAGGAGGGCTGGGGTGGAGAGTGATGGGGTATTAGGGATACGGCTCAACTTACTCTACTTGATGGAGTGATCCGATATATGAAAAATGGCGCATCTTACCCCACTCTTCCCTATAAGGTAGCCTCACAACTTTTGTAGGAGTTAATTCTTGTGTTAAAAGTCCACAAAACTGTTTCAAGAACCACATGGAGTAGTTCACACCTAAGTTTTTAGTCACCTTGTTATTAAAATGGATTAAATGGCTCTGAAAAGGAGACTTCTTAATGTAAACCATGGCCTGTTGTCAGGAGTAAGCTGTAGCTTTTTGACTTGTTTTTTGAAATTATAGCACTATTATTTTAGGGTTGATATTGCCAACACTGATCAAATGTTCATTTACAGTGAGCCCTACCATGATTAAGGGCTGAAACTTTACAATACCACCTCAGGTTAACAATCTGCACCAAACCAAGGTATAACACACGTACAGTAGTATGATAGTTTCCTTTTTTCACATAAAGCATCTACAGTATATCATCATCAGTTGAACAAATAATAAAGTAAATAAATTCCCAGAGAAGAAAAGCCAGATTTAAAACAAAAAACAGATACTCAATTTCATTAGCAGCTATTCAAAAAGCTAGTTCAACTAAAACCAAAGTGAAAAAAAAGAATCAGGATGTGACACAAAAGCAAAGAAATCCTTGCTAATTGATTAAGTGAATGTTCGCTTGGAATTCGTAACAAGCCGTAGCTTGCTAACTTAGCTGTCCCATTGACTTGTTTTGATAGCTCACTAACTACTGACAGCTAAGTCACAACCTCTAAAGTTAGTTCCTTTTTTTGTTATGATTTTTTCTTTTTTTTTTTTAACATTAATGTTGGCCATCTGCTGATCGATGGCTGAAGTTCGTTAAATCTGCCATCAACAATTCGAGTGCTTAGCTTATGATTGTAAGTTTCTTTTTTTCCCTTTTTTTTGTCTACCCATAGCTTTAAGTGAAACCTAAGTCCACAAGGTGCTTATATGTCATCTCATTAAAGCAGCAATTCTGAGCAACATACTTGCTTTTTAACTCTCCTGTGTTTAAGACAGCATTGAGTTTCCTAAACTTTTAAAGCGTTGTAAGTAGATGGTTGCAATATACAATAAAAAATTGGGAAAGGTTAAGGTGATGAAGTACGACTACATTAAAAACTAGAAAAGCACTCAAAGAACGCAGACCTCCGCCAAGCAGCTCATGTCCCCCCGTATATTGTGATTCACACCAAAACTTTTAATGTTACATGTCTTTTATTAACTTTTATTTGTGTTTAAACTGGTATGTTCACTGTTCATAATGTTCCTAAAACAAGAAATGCCCTGACCCGGATTCGAACCCAGGACCTTCTTACTGTGAGGCAACAGTGCCATCCACACCACTGTGCCACCCATCTACACCACTGTGCCGCCCATTGGATATCTTTCAAATTCCAAAAAAACCCTTATTTTTGTGTGTTCTGGATCACAGTATCCGGAATTTTGTCTGGATCAGGATCAACCTTTGACACCTCATAAAACTCATTGAGATCCTTTTGTGTAATTTTTTACTAAAGACTCTGGCCATTTTTATAGAGTTAAATGCAAAAATTCCAAAATTTGCCCTATCTCACAATGATAAAGAATCCTTCAAAAAATTCCTGGATCCAGAAGGCGATCTGGATCACCACCAAAATGTAATGGGATCCTCCTGGGGCTGAGACGCACCTCTGGTGAAAATTTCAGGTCAATCCGTCTGTAACTTTCTCCATAAAGTTGTTCACAGACAAACAAACAAACAAAAAAACGCTACTGATAAACATAACCTCCTTGGCGGAGGTAAAAAAAAAAAACATATAGTACAAAAACAGTGCTACTATCAGCAAGGCCTAAGACTGTTACCTATTACTAACGATTTATTTCCACAGGTGCATCCAGATTAAACTGAAATTTTAGAGATTGTTATATCACCATTATATAAACTACATTAAGATCTGTTGGGGAAAATGTATATTATTTTGCAAAAACAGTGCAGTAAATGTAAAAAAAAAAATGTCAAGCTGAATGTAAGGGGAGGTAAATTAACAAACATAAAGGCTACCAGCAGGAAGCAAGACAGGAGGAAAAAACAGCGATCATTCTGTTATAATTAGTCATGAAGTTTTCAAACTGTAAATGACATCTAAAGACATAAACTTCATTGTTGCCCAAAAGAAATATGACAGACCATCTCTTGCTCCTCCACACTCCTCCCACATCACAGCCTCAGCACACTGTGTCCCTGTGAAAGCCCACATTATCCTGCTCACATACAGCATCAGTTAAGTTTCGTCTTAATGTGGTCAGCTTGTTTTGATGAGGCTGACAACAGCAATTACCTCCTTTTATTCATGTAGTGTATCTTTAGAGATAAAACAACCAGGATCTTAATACTGTTGAACAAGCAACAATAAGACGTGATTCTTTGATCAAATATTTTTAATAGTTTTGATTTAAAATAGCATTCAGAAAAACCAAGAAACAATTCACCTGGCAGAGAAAGACACTAAAGCATGCTCAGTTTGATCACTAAAGCAGGGGTGCGTTCAACAAGGCATTTTGTTGGAGAACCTGCAGCCACTTTGCAGACTTAAACATGATCTGAACAGATAATTTAATCTAAGTGAAGAGAGAATAGTGAGGTACTCTAGTGTTTGCAAACAGGGTTAGCAGCTGAGTCTAAAATATTGCCATGAAAATTGCAGTGCAGGCTACCTTTACGAGGTCAGGTACAGGCCGTGGCCAAGATTGTTTAATCTCAATGGGTTCCCTGCAAAAAGGTTGTTGAACACAGCTTAAGCCTTAGTTTAATAACTCCAGAGGAAAAGCAAAAAACATGGAAAATATTTGAACAGATATTTTCTGGAAGATCACTGTACAAAGAGTGATGAGTGCCATTCACTGTACACTTTGTACAAAAACTTAGCACTCATAGACAATTTTATAAATAGTTCTCATTCTCGATCCGTATTTACCATCATGAAAATAACAATAAACAAACAAATAGTTCAGTATGTCAAAACAACTCTAACATCAAAACAAAGAAATCATGCAGACTTTGAGGCTTCTCCACATCTAACAGGACATCCATCTGTCAGAGTGTTAGTGCAGCAGTGATGAGGGAACTGGATGGAAGTTGCTTTAACCTATCAGAAAACTCCCTTTTCTCGATTCACACAAATCTGGTATACTTGCAAAAATTTGCTCTCATCTCTTTAATACATCTGTATAAATCCTCAATCTTCATTTAAACATGAGTGAAGTAAAAGTCCATTAGTCCAAAAATATCTAACAGTCATGCTATATTGTGTTTTATCTTAATAACTTAACAAAAATTGAGGTCAGTTTACCCCAATAAGCATATAAATAAACAAATAGATATCATAGTGCATAATCAAACCATTAGGACGCAATAAATAATCAAGTGGCAGACTGCAGGATAAAACTTGTAAATTACAATTTACAGATAGTTCTGTACTGAGCCTGTTTATCCTCTGTAATCACACATGATCCATTATTTTGGCACTCAAAACTGTTCAGTGTTCTACTTGTTATATAGCTGAACAACCTGGCACAAAACAGCCCCAATAAATGCCCTTGAATGAAATAAAATAGAATTGTAAAAGCATTAAAGCAACGTTAAACTCTAAATAAAAATGTTTATTTCTTTAGGTCCTGTAACGTTAAATATATTCAACTCTGTGACTCTTTTTTTGGCACCTTCCTGTTTTATTATGTTATGCTGTGTTATCCCTAAATTTGCTTTGCTTTTCCCATGAGCCTGGTAAGATGAGGTGGTATAAAAAGCAAGACGGGGGCGGGTCTTCTCCTCCCATATTACAACAATGAAAACCTACTGACTGCAGGCAAAACAGAGCAGTGTGTAGGTGGTAACATGGACAACTACGTATATAAGTGTGAAAAGCTCCTTTCACACATGTACTTCACTTCCCAAAATTTCCCAACATAGTCCAGATGGGTTGTAAAACTTCCAACTTCACTTCCAACTCCAGAGTAAGTCATCCCAACTTCTGTGTGACGTCAGGATGAGCTTATGTTTAAACAAAGCACATCACAGTCTGCAACACTCACTGTAAATAAGTGTGTAGGGTGATAAATAATTATCTCTACACTGAGGGGAGTGATGCTGATTTTTACTCTTAAATGCCCACCCTCACCCCAACCTAATTTGGAATAGAAAAACTTTTGGCAGTGAGTGTCAGACACAGCTGATCTCCTACTGGGATACACACGTATGAATGAAAATATCCTGAAACTAACAGGGCTTTAGTGGTCTATGATGTTATCTAAAAAAAAGTCGGAAAGTTCATGTGCGAAAGTGACTGTGATGACAGAGTCCAGGAAGCAATCAGGACCTCTGGATATTCAACGGCCGAGCTCTCTCATAGAAAAAAAAAAGAAAAATAAAATAAGGAAAGTTTAACGGATATTTCTTTTGTTTATTCTCTCATGAATTTGTTTAAAATATGGATTTTGGGCAGAATGTTTGTACATTTAGTACTAAAAATAAAGTTGAGTGGCTGTTAAGTTGCTGTAGAAAAACATGTTTGTGTATCCAAAATGTGTATACAAGAGACTGATGTTGTATTCTGATATTAAACATGTGAATAGAAATAAATCATTGCAAAACTGTCAGATAGATAGATAGATAGATAGATAGATAGATAGATAGATAGATAGATAGATAGATAGATAGATAGATAGATAGATAGATAGATAGATAGATAGATAGATAGATAGATAGATAGATGTTTCATGCAGTACAAACTGTTGGGTAGTTGTCCTTGTAAATAACTGAAAATTGGACTAAATGAGTTCTGATTGAATGCTGACGTACAGCAGAGTGCATGCTTGAATGGGATTAAAAAGTAAATCAGTAAAGCATTCTTCCATTAAAAAGAAAAGTAACAGTCTTTAAAAATCTTTTTGCCTTTTCCCCTTCATTATGTTTTGATACATAGCACTTTTCTCTCTCTGCTACCTTTCATTCCTCCTCCTTGTCATCCTCCCTCACTCCTCAATCCTCCTCTGACAGAGTTTCATGCGGTGTGGATGAGCGGGACTTGCTGTGAACCCTAACTTCTGCCTTCCTGTCCTGCAGGAAGTCTTCAATTTCTCCCGGCAAACACTGGAACTTCTCCTGGAAATCGGCTTCCACGACTCCTTGCAACTACAGAAAGGTAAGAAAATTGAGAATTGGACAACTTTCACTTAGATTCAGATTATGTAAACACAGAGATGGCCTGAGGCTTTAAGGATGGATCAGTTAACACTCTGAAACGACACAAAAATTTGCTTTGTTTATTCTCCACTGTTTAGGCAGATGGGCTGTACATTTAGAGAAGCAACCAGCTGTTGTGAATCATACTGCCAACTGTTTTACAGCTCAAAAATGGCTGCCAAAGGGTACATTATATCACTTAACATCTTGCCTTGACGTCAGCACCCATCCTAAAATGTTTGAGGGTTAAGCAGTGAGCAGCTTGGAGCCACCAAACAAGAAATTTCCTACTGTTAAGAGCAATTATACATGGAGTACGCCATGTGGTAGGGGTTTCATTTCACTGAGGTAAGATGCAAAATCAAGGAGCTTCACAGTGAGCACACAGAGGAATCAAAGTGAGGTTTGAAATATGATTTATAGTTATAATGAACCTTTGGCTTCAGGTCTTGTATCTGCTGCAGGAGCTCATTCTGCTGCTCCACCAGCTGATCGTGCCGCTTAGCTTGAGTCTCCTCCAGCTTGAGACAGAAAAACAGTCAGACAGAGAGAAAGTTCAGGAATAGAAGAATTATATTTAAAACATAGTCTCTGCAGTTGTTAAAAGAAAAACCCTGCTGCTGCTTTAGCTGGAGGATTTCACTCTCTCCTCACCCGCTTAATGTTCTGGACGACTTCATTGACGTAGGACTTATTGATCTCGATCTTCTCCCTGAGAACACACAGTCAGATGGGAGGGTGAGCAAAATATTTTCTCCCTTGACACTTCATGATGGATGTATCAGTGCTTCAAGTAGATGAAGAAGCTATAGCAGGTGTCTACAGTGAGTTGCAGCATGAGTATATGTGTGTGTTTATGGATCGTACTCTTCAGCCAAATGTTTCTCTTTGGTCTTTGCTTGGTTGATCTTCTCTGTTCTCCTTCGATCCATCAGCCTCTTAAGCTCTTTTTTCTCCCTACGGCAGCAGGAAAAACATTAGAGCCGGTATGGTGGGAGGCTTGTATTGAGAAAAAAAAGCTGTTTTGAATGTTAAAAATGGTGGTATTTACAGCAGTTGGTAGTCTTTGGTGGTATGTATTTGTAACCTACTTGTCACAGATGTCTTTGAGCTTCTTCATCTGTGTGTTGTGACTTTCTTCAGCCAGACCGCTGAGTCGCTCGGTTAGCTGGAAGAAATAGAAACTTTGTTTCATGTTATGATAAAAGTGCAGCAAGCTACAGTCATGTAAGGCCTCTGAAACAGGAAACAAATGAAGTAGAACCATGGACTGTATATACAATGGACAACTTGGTTCTGTCTATTCCGCCAGTATGAGGATTTGAAGCCGAAAAGCTCTCAGTATTTCTGCAATTTTTCCCCACTTCCTGGAACCACCACTTGTGCAGTAGCATTGTACACATTCAGCAGGAGAGTCACCAAGAGTCGCTGTGATGACGCTCGACTCAAACAGTGTATACCCTGAGTGAGCTACGCAATCTTCGTACGAGACTTGATCAAGTATCAATGATAGAAAACATGAACCCCCTAATAACTTTAAAAAAAGGAGATGTACAGAAAAAAAGAGGACTTGAGCATAAACCAGTCTTACAATGACTACATGTCAACGTCGCAACCAGGGGGGAGAAAAATGTACATTCTGTGTTATTAATTTCGGAAGTTTGTCCACAGCTCCATCACGATTGCTGGAGGAGGCAGGATTTATGACCTATACTGCAGTCCGTCACCAGGGGTTGCTGTTCTCAGGATGGCTTCACCCAGCGAGGAGGCATACATGCGTCCATTCTATATACAGTCTATGGTTGGAACTAGGACTCTGATTTGAGTTATCTTGTGCATCACTCATACTCTGTTATTGTCTCAGAAATTACTGACATAAAAAGGAAGTTTTAAATGAGTTCTAAGTAACATTTTAGAGGCATGGACTCAGGCTAAGAGTCATGGTCAGTAACAGATGTTTTTTTTTTTTCTTTTTATTATTTTTACCATTTTAATGTGCTCTCTTTGTAGATACTTCTGACTGTAGTACTGCTCCTGCCTTAGAGCGAGAAGCTGCTGCTGCTGCTCGTCTCTCAGCTGCTGCAGGCGTTCGTCTTTCTCACTTTCCGAGCATGAATTCCTGACGATCAGACACACAGAAGGGCCTCAGATAAAAACACTGCAAAAAGCGAACTTAGGAAGAAAACAGCATGATATATTTTTAGATGACTGAGTTTTACAAAAACTCAAAGGGGGAGGAGAAGTTACATGCATGAAGTTTACATTCTGTATGTCTGTACCTGTTCTTGCTGCACTGTCTAGCCGTCTTCTTGTACTTGTTGTTGATTTCTCTGAGGAGTTCTGAGGTTTTCTTTTGGTGCCTCCTCACTAACTCCTTCAGCTCTTTGAACTGACGTCGCTGCTCCTTCTGGTAAACTTTTGACTGCTGCAGACCCTCCATGGTGCACGATGGGACATCTGTAAGCAGGGGTAACAATGCAGGGTATTACTTTCATTAAACCTATTTTCTGTTGATGAATTGAAGGATTTGTTCACGTTTAGTCAATCACAACAGAAAACTCAGGAATTCTGTTATTTAACTAAGAGGGTAACACCTGCACTAATCAAACCAACCCACCAAAACTCTAGCACATTCATAAGCACAGATCAGCCCAGCTAACCTCCTTAAGGTCTTCATTCAGCTGTTCTTACTTTTGTTATTTTAATGTTGACTGATTAGTTTTGTTGGGGTTGTAGCCTCCACTTAAATTAACTTGTGTAAGTAAAAAAGTTATTTAACAGTGCTCTAAAATTGATATTTCATATTTCTCTACCTCTACAAACAGCTGTAGTTATTTATATATTTATATTTAAATCACTTAAACTTCCTGTAAGAAACTTTTAACTAGATTTGAAAAAAAAAATCTCTTGTTTCTGCTGATGTCTCCCTGTCACCTGCAACAGTAAATGAGCCCATCTGTGTGAAGATAAGCTATTTCTTAATAGTGAAGGGGGAAAACAGGAGCCAATGCTCGGGTCGGGACCACGAAGAAACGATTTACAGCATTCAGACTAGTGACTACACGCACATTTTTCCTTTTTATACTGCACTGAAAACGTGCATATTACTGTCACTATACAAACGGTGACAACGTCTTGCAGCAGGAGCCTCCTGCAGACACCGTGTCATGCTACAGCTGCAGCCACAGAGTGAGAAACTCCTCCACACCAGAGACAGACAGGCAGACAGAGCAGCTCTGTGTCACTAACCTCAGTAGTCCTGCTGCTCCACGCCTGTCTCACACTCTGCAGCGGGCTGACCCAGACTCACTTCCCATTTTAAATACATTTACAAAGTAAGTTGCTTCATACTGCTCACAAAAAGTTAATTTCTGGAGCCTGTTGTCTTTATGACAAAACACGCTTAAACACTACCGCTTGTCCATAGTGGCCGCCAAAATCAACAGAAAATGAAAACTCCATTCAGACGCTTTAAAGAAATTAAGGCCACATCATGAATTTTTTAACACACGTAAAGAATAAAGTCTTGATACTGACCAATCAAAACACTCAACACCAGATCTTCAGTCTTTGCTGCTGGTTTTGCCGCTTCTAAAACACAAACAAGACAAGGAAACATGAATAAAGTTTGATTTTATCCTTAATATTAAAATCACTTTAAGAAGCGAGGCTTATTCACACAATAGTGTTTTAATCTTCCTTGTTTTTAAAAGTCCTTGAATGAGTGTGAATGTGTAACTGTCTGCAGATTATCGCTACCTGTTGTAGTTGCTTGCTGATTGGCTGCAGAGACTTTTGGGGTTGTAGCGATAGGGGTGTGGCCTGTAGGGGCAGGTGGAGGGCTGAGACCGTTCTCCAGTGGTACTGATTTCACGTCATTCTTACGCTCTGTGGTGGTTTCTGCTTCTTCCTAAAAACAGCACAGATCAGCGTTTGAGCCAAATATCTCAGTCTGAAACAGAAGTAATATATAGTGGTCAATAAATTGAGAAAAGCAAAGACCACCTATTTACAAAGTTAATCACACAGTTGGGAGGTAGCTCATCTCTATGGAGACATAATTACAGAAAGGTAAAGTAGGATCAGCTTTGAAATTGCATTGAATACCCAATTTGTAGGATCAGTGAAAGAACTGGTAGCAAACTCCCAACTAACAATTACATCAGACATCTCAGCAAATAATCTATGAAACTCATTTTTTTTACTGCAAATGCTGAAGTTCTGCCTGCAGTAGCTAAAGTTTTCGAACAATTAGTGGTGGAGCTACTGACCAATCTCAGAGAAACTGTTGAGAAATTATTAGATGACGGTTAAATTGCATGAGCAGTATTTTTGAACCTGAAAAAGACATTTGACACCAGTCCTTCAAAACACAATCCTGGCTCCATTTTGAGGCCACTGCTCTTCGCCTAGACATAAATTCACTACCAGACAGACGTGAATTTGTTTGCTGATAAGGAATTTACTCATGTTCTGTAAAAAAAACCTCACGCATGACTTCAGTCTTTGTATAAGCAACTAATCAGGGTCTCATAATAGCTACGAAATAACTTTATTATGAAAGGTGTAAAATTAGTTTCCATGTGCTTTTCTATGTGGCTAAAAAAAACAGTTATTATTTTGATGTAACTGTTCATTCAAGGAAAATACTCAGGAAAATATTCAGGTGTTGGATACTCAATTTAAATGTGACCCACAGAAAAGTGACAAAAACTAAAAAGCTGAATCTGAGTTGCTTACAACTCATGAGACTTGTTTACCAATTGTGGCTGCCCTGCTATACGCCTACTCAATGAATTTTATCACACTTGTATTGTGTAACTGTCTGGGGCCAGGCCAACTAATCAGCACTGAAACCTTTGTTGTAATTTTACAAATAAACCCTTGAAACATCAGATCAGAAGCCATCAAAGTGGCACTATTACAGAATTCAGGCAAGCTTTGACACATTTCGTGTTAATAACACTGATTCTGATGTGGTCAGTCAAATGATTAAAAAAAAAGAAAAAAAAAAAACTCCAGCAAATGAACCACTGTATGAGCAGCAGTTAGTGGAGACTGTTAACGGCATTTGGCTTGTCCTATTTTCTTTTAAAGGCCCACACATTTAGAATAACTATGTTAGAAATAAAACTGTACCTGAGCCAAAGCTCTCAAAACAAAACTGGCTTAAAGAGAAGCAAATCGTGGACACTAACTCACATACTATATGTATTTACTTAAAGGGATATTCCAGCGTAAAATTAAGTTATGGTTAAACACACAGAAACACTTAGTTAGACACCCCCTCTTGAGATGAATGTTGCCGACTGCTTGCTTCTTAAGTTATGCCAGCTTAAGTAACGACCACACGATAGCCCTGACAAGCCGATCACCGAGTGCAGCAGATCATTTCCATTAAAGTAATAATCATCATGATAATCATTTTGCACTGCAGATGTGGTAGTTCTTCTGCCTCAGCATCTCGGTCTGATTGCATTTCCATGAAGCAATAATCATAAATGTTCTTCCTTGAGCTGCGAAACTCCGCTGCACTCGGTGATCGACTCATCAAGGCTCCCCCACAAACAAGCGGCTGATGAAGGAGAGTGGGTGAGTTGTGTTTGGTCTCTTTGCTAAAGAAATCAGGCAAAGCTAAAAAGATGTTTCATGGCTAGTACCATGGCTGGGACCCTATATGTACTGTTGATGAAGTTAGGTGCTGTTCTGAGCATTATTTGTGGCTATAGAGTGGCGTTTTGGTTGAGGTTTGGAGATGTAGACCGCTGTGTATTGCTATTGTGCGGTTGTTACTTAAATTGGTATAACTAGAGAAGCCAGCAGTTGGCAACATTCATTTCATGAAGGGTTGTCTCACTCGGTGTTATGTGTGTTTGACCCTTACTTAATTTAATGCAGGAATATCCCTTTAACTGTTGCCTCTTATGCATGTATGTGGCAGCTCATCTATGTCAGCTCTACTGTTAGTTTGTATGCATCTACAGTATATGTTTAATTCATCTATCTGCTTAAATTGGCTGTTTTGTGTCTGTAATACAGAGTTGGGTTATGTGCCTTGCTTCAAAAAGCTCACCAGGGACAAGGACTGCAAATTAGTCATGGCGGGTATCCTTATATACACTGCATCTTAAATTAGATGTAAAAATGCCTAGATGTGTTTTCTCAGCCAAATAAACTGATAAGTAAATAAAAACATAGCTGACCTCTGCTGGAGTTTCTTCCTCCACGTCGTCTGTAAGAGCTGCCAGCTGTTTGGACCTTTGCTCCAGCAGGTTGACATATCGTATTGGGTTGGACAAAGCTTCTATCACATCTAGAAAGAAATTAAACAGAGAAATTAAAAAAAAAAAATAAAAAAACACATCATAGAGGCAATTTCTTTCTCAACAACACAACAGTGTGGCTTTGAATGTTTGAAGAGCAGTCACGTTTTAATTTAGAACTACCTGATTCACAAAAGAACTACCCAAAGAGTGCCTGTATGTGACTAGAGCAAAGACCAAGCATTGTCTGCACCCATGTTGACAGAGCTGGAAATACCTGAGCCTTATATATTGCTGCATCATTTCCAATACGGTAGGAAAATTGTTGTGTTTCAGAGAGGAAAAAACATTTGGGGCTAAAAATCAATTTGAGTCATTTATGTGCTTAAAAAACTTGTAAGTAAAAGTGTTCTGGTCCAAATAAACAAAAACTTAAAATACATTTGTAAATATTTTTGGAGATTATACACAAAGAATTCTTGATATTGCCTAAACTTAATGTAAAAGAGTCTTAAATTTATCTGGTCATTGTTCATTGTATTCGTAAAGACAGCTGAATTATTAGTAAAAGTATCTACTCCTCCAAAAGAAACATAACCAATAAAACACAATAAAGCTGTTTTACCTGTAGTTAATATTTTTGGTAAAAACCCTGCACAGTTTTAAGTTTTGCTTCTATGATCTAAGCTTGATAATGATAATCACAGAAATCATTTATTTCTTTGGCACAACTTTACTACCAGAACTCGTTGCTTGAGATGAGAGTCTGATGTGGCACAGATTTGTACCTGCAAAGGTGTCTGGGACATAGTCTTTGACCTCGATGTAAACGAACACAGCTGGCAGAACCAGAGATTGGTTTTTCTCATTCCTCAAGCCGATGTAGCGGTAACCTATAGGACACAAACCAGTGCAGACTCAGATGTCACTGTAATGCGTTTTTTTTTTTAAGGGTTTCAAGAAAATCCAAGACTCTGGCAGAAAAGTTTAAAGACAAGAAAGAAAAAGAGGAAAAACTTAACTTCAGTTTGCACAAAAATCACTCATGCACAAACACATTTTAGGTTAAACATGACAGGGATTTAATTTAAGGTGGTAAATGGCATGTTTTCAAGCTGCAGCATGTTTCTGCAAGCTGTCTTAAAGTCTAAGAAACAGCAGGACTCTGGATGCACCTCTAAGGAGATTACTCACCTAAAAAAGATTTTTAAAAAAAAACTGTGACCATCTGGATAATGTCACATTTACTTTGTGGAGTTTTGAGTCTGAACAGGATTTAAAGCAAAAAAGAAATTAAGTGTATTTGTACATTAAGCATCTAAATTTGGTGTTGGAAAAAATCAAGTTTGGCATTTTTACAGAGAGACAAGAGTGGTTCATCAAAATTCCTTCGAGGAAAGTTTTGGCAGTTTGAAACAATCACCGTCTGCCTGGTTCTCTGCAATAACTCAAACATATACTGAGGAAAAACTGGAGAAAAAAACAGTCTTGGTAGATATAACCCCTAAAGAGTCAAACTAAAAATCCAAAATTTCCACAGCTAATGATAAAAGACTGACAAATGTGACTAAAATAAGTACCTGGTCTTATGGCTGACACTGGAATAATCCGATGACCAATAAACTTCCCTCCTTCCTCAAAAGCAGCGATTCTCAGAGAGGCAAGAGTGGGAAGAATTACCTGAGAGAGAGGGGAGGTCATGGTTTTCAGGTTGAGGTAGCATTATTTCAGATCCAGAAATAAGTTTCTCCTGTGTGTCTCACCTTTTTGAAGATAATTGGCTCTTCATCCCACACAGGATTAACGGCATTGTTGTTCTGAGAAGTTTTAGTCTTCAGTGCTTTCCTCCTTGTGTCTGCGGGAAGCCCAAACATCTCTATCTCCACATACACGCCAACTCGCCTCTCAGTCAGAAACTGGCCTGAAATCACCTGCGACAAACACAGACAGAAACAATCAAAGCAATAAAAAGTGTGTGCCTTTCACTGGATATATTCACACATTTACTCCAGCAGAAAGATGATAAAATCTCAGAGGATTTCACTACATAAAACACTGCAGACATACCTTCACAGAGAGGGTGTTGGCCACAATGCCGTCCACTGTGTTTTCTGCGAAGGGGTCAAAGTGTTTGTCATGCCGTCTCATGAACTCAGGCTTCAGTCTGTAGCCGCTCCTCCCGTTGTACTCAAACATAAAGAGATTGAGCTGTGTGGAGAAGTCTGGAAAGAAATGATGACTAATCAAACTTTAAGATGTGGAGCTTTTAAGCATCAGTTATGGGCTCTATTGCATTTCTTCAGTACGGTGGCCCTGAGGTGCAAAACACCACAGCAAATAAGAAAACACAACACAAAAAGAGAAAGCACGACGGCACAAGAGAAAACACAACACACAAAAAAAGAAAACACAACGGCAAATCAGGAAGTACAACACAAAAAGAGAAAACACAATGGTTGATGTTGTTGTGTTTTCTGATTTGCTGTTGTGTGTTCTCTTTTTGTGTAGTTTTTTTTTGCTATTTGCCATTGTGTTTTGCACCTCAGGGCCACCGAAGGACATTAATAGCCAAATACTCAGAGGAAAATCATCATAGTGTGAGAGCAGAGCGAGAAAATTTGGAGGTGTTACAACAGAAACATGGTGTATGACTTTTGCCAAAACTACAAGTACTCCATCTTCCAGCCTTGCATTGGCACACCAAAGTTCAAAGTTAAAAACACCTTAAATCTTTATTCATGGATAAAGTTTAAAGTTTCAGTTTTTTTATATTTTGAGACTATTTTAAGCTTGTTTGCTTTTATTTTGGATAGGACTGTTAGAGAAAGACAGATAATATGGAGAGAGAGACAGGTAATATAACATGCTGGGACTGGGACTGGAACCTACAACCAGTTTGACAAGAACTGCAGCTCCTCTGCTCAACCAACTGAGCCAAGGTGGTGCTCCCTGAGAGCTTTTACCCACCAGGAGGAGAAGATTTTTGAGACAAATATCAGGCTGGAGCCAGTGGATCTATTTCAGAGTTAGAGCCTGAAGTTAGACTAAAGGTCAGAGGTCAAAGCCCGGGCTCTCACCCATGGTTTGGTAGTTGAGCGCCACCAGCTGACAGCCGGCATTCCAGAAGAGTTGAGGCATGAAGTTGGAAGAGTCGACTCTGGTCCCCTTTGGATAGATGCGGCTTAGCTGTGATTTATTATATCTGGTTGAAGAAACGTCAGGAATAATTACAGAGCTGGTAAAGATAAAGAATACATTTATAACGCTGCATGTTACATTAAAAACTGTAACTTGCAGGTAATGTTTTTCCATGTATGGCTGAAAAGATCACTGCCAGTGCCAGTGCACAGGCTTGATTACCATGGTAGACACTTTCCCTGGAGACTTGCAAGGATAATTCTGCTGTTCTTAAAATTGAAATTAAATTATTAAAAGTTCTTATGTTTAAGAAAAGCAAGAAAGAGGAGCACTGAGTCCAGAAGTGGTTGCCATGGTGAAGTAGAACTATGGTTACTGTTGTCAAGGATACTCCACAAACTCAACTGGTGACTTTGTGAGATGCTCCAAAGCTTTGGTCTCCACGAAAGACGACATGTGGTAACAGCGGGCTGCCTCTGCACATAAACAAAGACACACAGGGAACAGTCATTTTTCAGTAATTACTTTGATTTCAACTTGATTCTTTTGCATAAAACTGAAATGACTTTTACTTATGATCTCAAACTATGCCGGCCTTGATTTACAGCACAATTTAGTGCCTATTCTATGGTTTAACTATGCATACAAGACTAATTAGTATTATTCTATTAAAAGACCTTCAAGTGGAAGACTGAAAGTTTTATCAACTGAGAAAAATGCACATAAATGGGATTCAATGCAGAGAAAATTGCCTTTTCTACAATACTCAACAACAACAAATGTTATAGTTACAGTATGTGTTTACTGTCAAGTTTGGTCCAGCTCACTTAAACCACTTTGTATGGACTTTGACAACACATTATTTTTCAAGCCTATCACTAATACCCTGTTGGTGATTTTCTTTGTCCAAAAATTCTATTTAGTAAAGAAAAGTAAGCTGCCAAACAATGTAAGGGGATGAGAATCATTTTTGGCTCTCAATATGTAAGAGACATATGAAAGAAAACCATTTCTCTGTTTCTTTGAATTTCCTCAACACAGTAAATCTCACAGAGGGAGCTGAGGCATAAAGTGAAACTGAAAGATTTCCAGCTCTGTCAGAGGAACTGTCCCACAGAAACATCAATCTGTGAAGGATAGTGTATAGTGCTTCTGATCTGCTCCTCTTACTCTTAGAGGCTTCAAATGAGTTGAACTTGGTTGGCTGGATGTAGTTAACCAAAGTGGACATTTCCTCTGTGGCCACAGCCTCCCGCTCTGCTGAGCCCTGAGGTAAGAAAAAAGAAAAACAAAATCAGGAATAATGTTAAAAATGTTAAAATGAGGGTGATGGTTGGACTCGATTCATTTTTAGAAAGGGACTGTAGCTGTCATTTTAACGTAGCAGGTTGAACAAGGACCATCACAGACAAACTTTTAACAGTATAGTGGAGAGTTTGCAGCACTGAGCAAAAAAAACAGCCTCTCCGACCAATCAGACAGACCAGTAATTCAAACACAACAAGAGTAAAGAGCAAAGCAATCCCTGTGAACACTGTTCTTTTGAACGCCCACAAACTACTCGGCTCCAGGAAGGCTAATTTTCTGTTTATTTGGTGTCTTGTAGCATTTGAAAAAAAAACGTACTCCATGGTTTCATATTGTGAATGAAGCCTGGGCTGTTTGTCATCTGTTTAATGTCTTTTGTCTTTGATTTTTATATTTTTATTTGTTTATTTATTTATTTTTGTTGATTGCCCAATGAGTTTGTCGCACATTCGGCTAATCTGTTGATGAAAATTAAAAGGAAAGAAATTTTGCTGGTGATACACACCAGAGTTTATTATGTCAAAACAATGAAACAAAATAGATTAGAATAAATAAAATAAGATAAAACAAAAAAGTCGTATGAAACTGTATCCAATGTAAAGCGCTTTGAGGGTCTCTGATAAAGCGCTATATGAAATCTGATGCATTATTATTATTATTATTATCTCTCTGATAGGAGTTAAATTAACTGCTTCAGTTATTCAGATGAGACCTCTGTAGTCCACTCCCCATTTCTGCTTGAGGCTCCCCCAATAAGGATACATTGGCTTCGTAGGGCAAACCCACACTAGACAATGGGTACTGTACCTAAATTCACTACATCCTAAAGTCTAGATTATATGTTTACCCATAATGTAGTGATATGCCTTTTAAAATCACCAAACAAATGCCTGCCTATATTTGGGACTTACCAGGGGTTCATTCTCAGTTCTGCATTATTCTTTTAAATTTTTCTTTAAATGTTTGAAACTTCACAAACTGTATTTGTTTCCTGTACTGCACCAAAAGTGTACTGAACTGAGTCTTAAAATCTGAGAACCATACTGAATTAAGATTTCATTTGTTCTGTTAAACCCCTTAAATGTAGAGTATGAGTCAGAGGTCAAGACAATTATACTTGGAGTATACAGTTTTTATTCTGTATGCACACTAAATACTTTTTGATTTGATTTTGATTGATTGAGTTTTCCTGCTCACTGTGAAAATGAAAACAATCATGTCAAAAATAAAAGTGAAAAAAAATCCCAGCTCAATTTAACCAGTTAACGGTAAACTTAACCAAATGGCAAGGTGGACCGACAATAGACAACAACAACAACTACAGCTAAAACAACAACAGCAATACGAAAACAAGACAAACACGGTACACAAACCACCACAGCAGAAGCAGCGAGTTAAAACAACGGACGACAACAACATTAAAAGTACAAGGTTAACGATGACGATGGCACAAAGAATAAACATCAACGCAATGAAAATGAGCAACACTCGTGAACAGATTACAAATGGCGACAGCAGCAATGTCACCACTGACCTTTTTACCATCATCATCGTCATCATCATCATCTTCCTCACTTTCAGCCTCCATCTCTGTTAAAAAGTTAAACAAGTCTTCATGGTCATCATCTATTCATCACTTTTTCTTACTTTTTCCCAGATAAAAATAAAAAGCGCAAAACGATTTAAATAAATAAAACACAACGATCTAAGTTTGACTTCACAGATATATTAAATACGCATTTCAGTTTCAGGAGGCTATCCCTGATGCTTTAATAAACCCACATGAAAAACAATGAGAGGCATCTATAAGATACAAATCTGTGCTGTGATAACTATTTAAAAAATAGAAATAAAAAATGAATTTGAAATACATTAATACAATCCAAACAGATGGCTTTAGTATTGAGAACAAGTCACCACTTTGTAGGATATTATTCAGCCCACTCACTGGCTAGAGTCACAGTCAGAAGGAGAGTTTGTACTTGAGCACAGAAACCACTCTGCTGCTCTTTGTGTACTTTGTTTACAGTCGGGGCTCTTAGTCCCAGACCTGTTTTCAAGATTAGCACATCAAACATGTCCATGAGGCTCCTACACCTCACTTACACCTCTTGTTTAATTGCTGCTCTGAGCTTCAGACACTCTGGGATGTCCAGCTCATTACTGAGACATCTCTACTGACGCCCAGGAGAAAATCAAAGACAGCGAGGAGAGCGGGATTGATACTTGGCCATTTTTAGGCTAAAAAAAAAATGAGGATGATAAAAGAGAGATGCTCACTTTTGAGAGAATAAGAAAATAACCATGCAGTTATTAAACTCAGAAGAACAATTATCTAACTGTTCTAAGCATACATTTTGAACCCTGTATGAATAAAAATAAATAAAAGCATGAATATTCTGTGTTATCCATTTTGTCAGCCAAAAGAAACCACTCAGCTTTTGTGGTCTGTTTTTTTTTTCTTTCATACAGACACTGTTCCTGCGCCACAGCTGAACACTTTTTCATGAGTTTATAGGCTGAAAAAACTCCTCACATCTTTGTTTCTTACCTCCTGTGTTGTTGCTAGGAGACAGTGGTTCGTTGCTCTGATTGGCAGGTTGGTCAGTTAGCCTTTTAGTGTCGGTATTGTTGGCGGGTTTGTGTGATTTCTTGTTCTTGATGAGGATTTTGCCCATCAGCTCCTGAGGACTGGGCAGAGGGACGCCTGACTCGAGCTACGGATTCACACACCACCGAAATACAGGTCAAGTACAGTTAATTCTATATATTGGAGACAATATTCCCTAATATCAGTGCTTTCAAAAGGTTTTTTTTTAAGTTTATTTGTGTTACTTACAGGGTATTTCTCCAGAGGGTCAATCAAAAGTGCATCCCCAAAAATAGATCGACAATATTCAGCCATCTTTGCCTGCTGCTTCAAACTGATAGATAGATAGATAGATAGATAGATAGATAGATAGATAGATAGATAGATAGATAGATAGATAGATATGCATTGTGATACATTTGCTACATACAACTTGACAGACTCATGAATCAACGGATAAATTTAGGGATTCTCACGAGTCCACGTGGTTTTCAAAGGAGAGTATGACAGGAAAAGGCGATGTCTTGAAGGCGCACTCTGCAATAGCCTCTATTACTTCCTGGGAAAAAGATTGTAAATGAGATTAGCGCCATGTAAAATAATAAATCAGTGGGTGTGTCATATGTAGTTGTAGAACAGAAACATTAGGTGTTTCAGAGAAAGAGGCACTTTAGAAATGATACTAGCAAATTAATCCATGTCATTGTGTGGATTTCAGTTGGTCAACATTAAGAGGTCCTGTTTTCATGTTACTCATTTCATGGTGCGCTGAATGTTTTCAGTGAGTCGTGACTCTGATCTACAGGAAGGCCATGGCTCCATGTTGTTTGTAGTACATGCAGGATGCAGTTTGATATTGTCTTGCTGAAATATGCAAGGTCTTCCTTTAAAAGGATTTGTTTGTATGGCAGCAGATATTACTCCAAAACTTACTGTTCAGCACTAATGGTACTTTCTCATACAGGGTGACTCTTTGTGAAGTTAAAGGGATATTCCGGCATAAAATTAAATTAGGGTCAAACACACCGTAACACCGAGTTAGACACCCCCTCAAGAGGTGACTGTTGCCAACTGCTTGCTTCTCTAGTTATACCAACTTCAGCAATGACTGCATGATAGCAATACACAACGGTCTACGTCTACCCGTGTAAACCTCAACCAAAAAGCCACTCTATAGCCACAAATAATGTTCAGAACAGCACCTAACTTCATCAACAGTACATATAGGGTCCCAGCCATAGTACTAGCCACCAAACATCTTTTTAGCTTTGCCTGGTTTCTTTAACAAAGAGACCAAACACAACTCACCTACTCTCCTCCAGCAGCTGCTTGTTTGTGGGGGAGCCCTGATAAGTCTATCACAGAGTGCAGCGGAGTCTCGCAGCTCAAGGAAGAACATTTATGATTATCACTTCATGCATGTATTGTGCGGTGGTTACCAAAGTTGGTAAACTAGAGAAGCAAGCGGTTGGCAACATTTATCTCTCGAGGGGATGTCTAATTTTGTATTATGGTGTGTTTGACCATAACTTTTATTTATGGTCGAACACACTGTATCCCTTTAAGTCTTTTGTGTATGAACAAAGTTAAAGGTTGTTTAGATTGAAAAAGAGTTGATCTCTACAAGCCTGTCCACATGCCATCAACACTGCTGTCAAAAGTTATATGGAAAGTACAAGTAAAAGTAGAGTTCATCACAACTTTCATTCAAACATGCAGATGTATTTTAGAGATGCCTCCATAGTTATTATGACTTTTTTTTTTTACCTACAGTAGTTCATAAGAGTGGTCTAAATGCAGAGAGAATTTTTCAGAGGACTGAAAAAATACCCAGGACATAGGAATTTGATATGTAAGAAAACAGTCCACCACATCTAAAGGAAGAGGACATGTCGAGTCTTACCGTAAAAAATAGTGTAAGCTTAGATGAAAACTACGAGGACTACTCACCTTAAAAGAGATTTCTGAAGTCATGGTAAAGCCGTGTGTAATGACAGGCTCCTCCTCAGCTGTCCGACCTTTCCAAACATCTAACTCCACGCAGCGACAACCAGCAAGAAGAACCTGTCTGTACATTTCTACCGATGAGCTCCCTGCCAGCTGACCCGCTGAAACACAAGGACAGAAAATGAGATCATGACAAATGTAACTGCTTCTAATAAGGATATAATGACACAGTGATAAGACAATACAATGCCTCAGTTAGTCATTTTCCATTCATAGTGGTTATAACAGCAAACAGCACCTGCAATAAATATATACTGTGTATAAACAACAAATTCTACAAGTGGTTAATATGTTTGAGAGTAGTTATTTTAGTGTGTGCGTGTGTGTGTATGTATACCTGTCAGGTATGTATTATGGGATGAGTTGATAAAGTATTGAGACAGGGGGAAGCTCATGTCTTCAGACTGATCCAGTTTCTCAGGTGGAATGACTCCGTTCTCGTCACTGGACAGATAGCTGGAGAACGCCTGGACAGAGATGGTGCCTACACACCCACACACACACACACACACACACACACACACACACACACACACACACACACACACACTAAAGCTCCGGCATTTGTCAAAATATTTTTTTTTATCGCTCCTCAGTAAAATTCTAAAGATTTTTTTCCAGGTTAATAACCCTTCACATGTGAAAACAGCTCAGACATAGATTGGAACCTCCAACCATACACTTATTTTTTTATTTACTGATATTTTGCATATTAAACACATAAGTTTGGTTGAATGATAGAACATGAACCCTTTTCGTAAAGAGAAGAAAGAAATGACACAATATTTGCTGCTCGAATCTTAGTTCTTCTTCATCAACCACTCTTTAAGGCACAATCCTTATTGGATGTGCTATTCGAATTGCAGCTATTATTCTGTAAGCTGCTAGCTATTATAAGCTGTATGAGATGTGTGTTTTTTGTATTGACAAGGTCAACAAGCTTCATGTACACATATGATCCTCATATGATTGATTGTTTAACACTTGCACAAAGGTTTTATAACAATTGTGAATTTTTAGACACTATTCTCATGATCCAAATGGTCTAAATTTACTCCAGGAAGCATTTCCAGGAACAGAATCGTTGCAAAATCAATCCTACCTAAAATAAAACTTGAAGTTGATTCACACATTTATAGTTAGGATAAAAAAAAACATCTATTTTTTCATTGTGAGGGGTGGACGAAGTTGAAGAAAAGAAATCATGCTGGCGGCAATACTGGATTTTAAGTGGGTGCCAAGTGATTTTTTTTTGGCAGTATGTAATCCCAATGTGAGCACCTTAAGTGCTTATTTTAGCAGTGAAGGCTCTGGGGGGATGTAGGCAGAGTCAGAGGAGTATTTTAGTTTCAGCTCATGTCCACATTGAGAGAATACATTTCTAAATTGTGCTTGTGTGTTTGTGTATGTGTGTGTACCTTGCTTCAGCAGTGCCAGGTCATGTTGATACCTCTCCATCACAGCGTGTGTTTGTGCAGGACGGAGAGGTGGGTATAGGATTTCATTGAGCCTGGGGTCTCTCTGTTTGTTATTGATGAACTCTGTCATCTGTTCGACTGACAGCTTTCCTCCATTTCCTCCTCTGCAGAAGCACAGCAGAGTCAAGCCTGAGGTTAAAGGTCACCATGTCTAAAGGTACCAGAAGTATTAAATCCTTTATAAAGTACTGGAATATATTGTCTCAGCAGGTTTTGCAGTATTCTCAAAAAAGCTTGTATTGTAACTCTATTGTTTGTCAATAGTAATGATCAGCTTTGCATCCACGTTTCCTTTGTTTCCTTGAAAAATCCACTTATACCAAGATTAAATCATTTAATTTAGCTATTTCTTGAACTTTTGCAGCCATTGTACAAGACAGGTTACCAAAATCAAAATCTCTACAGGTGGTGCTCATGTTTTGAGGGAGACCTTAATTAGACCAATTTTATTCTGGAGGATTTTTTGTTAAAAGTTCCCATGAGGGGTGCACAGACGGCCAAGCCAGATAGTGCACCTCATGCATGGGGATATAGTGGTTGTGGGTTCAAGTCTGGCCCCAACCATGTGCTGCATGTCCTCCCCCACTCTCTCTATCTCCCCACAATTCACCCTATCCTATCAATTAAAGGCAAAAATCGCCCCAAAAAATACTTTAAAAAAGACTGAAATTCACATTGAGGCCTTTCTGTAATATTAAAAAAAAAAATCTCAGCAATAAAATTGACAAGTTATACATTGTCATTTTTCATGTCAGAACTTGATTGTCAAAAGTTAGCAGGATGGGATTATTTGTCAAAAAGAAACTATTGAAGCATATAGAGGACAAGACTGCTTTGTCCACCGGGAATACTTAAATGGACTTACACTGAAAGTTCCTCACAGGGGATTTAAGCTAAAATAATCAGCTGAATCACAGAATTTTCTTCATCTGAAATGAAAACCTTAATCCCTTTAATTTAAAGAGGTTATTCAGTCAAAGTGATTCTGTAAAAGATGAGCTTTTATTCATGTCTTGAAGAAACTAGCCTGAAGCAAAACAAAACTTGAATAAAACCATTTCAGTGGATTAGTTTGTTAAGCATCAATCAGTTTTTGAGTGAATGAGATAAATAAGTATGTCACGACTTACTGCTGTTTATAGATGTTGCCCATCTCAGTACGAGGACACAAACTGTCCAGAAAGTTCTTGTAGACATCAAGTGTTAAGTCCTCCAGTTTGATGCTGTCGCCCTGTGACAGACAAGGGATATGAAAATCAGCAGGACACCTTTTTAATTTCTTCTATTTACCTCTTCTTGTATGCTATTTTTTTCTAAATGATCAACCAAATCCCCTCATTTGATTCATTACCCCAACTTTTCTTCACTGGACACCTAGTCCAGAAAACTAATATATTCAAACTATGAGATTCAGTGTGAGCAGAGATGCTGTCGTTTGCTTTTCTTTCTTTTTCTTTTTTTTTTTTTTTAAACTTTAGAAATTTATAAATAAGGTGCTAATTCCACCCTGCATACACTGAGATCCAAAGAAATCAAATACAAACCCTCACTGCTATAAAAAAAGAAACTCAAGTTATCACAGAAAAAAAGTATTTTTTCATACATGCACTTTCTCCAATGAGACGGTTTTGCATGGCACATTGTGATAGGTCTACACAAAACTCTTATTTATCCACCAATTATCACCAGTAATGTTATACAAATTAGACAAAAGTGTTTACCCGTCCATAGGGCAGTTTGCAGCTCTCCAGGGCAGTTTCAACTCTCTTTCTGTCTGATGAAAACAGTCGAACAATACTGCAAAGGACAACATAATTACACTGTTACCAGCTCATGTCTAACGACACCATGTCACCACCCTGAGACCCTGATTTTAACTTATCTGCACCTCTTTAACAGCTTTCAGATTAATGTCCCTGAAATTAACCTGTCTGAGCACAACAGAATGTCCTCCTCTTACTTCCAAACGCAGCTTTCACCCCTCCTTCCCCATTTCCTGATGTTCAAAAACACCCCAAACAAATTTTACCTCAATGAAATAAATGTCCTTGACTTCCTCCAAACGCTAACCTCTTCAATCCCACCTTTCCGAAAACTTCACATCTCCTTCCTCAACTTCCAGGATTATAAACTGACCTTAATTCAGCTCCTGGTTTCTTTCTGAAATACAGCTTCCCTTCATATTATCCATCTCCTGCTCAAGCGGTGGTTGATTACCAGGTCAGTGCTGAATTAAGCACCTTCATGAATCCTGCCCCTGTTTTTGCTTTCCCAAGTGCACATGAAATTGAGTGTATTTTTGGAAGCAAGGGACAGGAAAGAGCAAAGTTTGAGTTTATTCATGTCCCGGTAGAATTCCTCGAGCCATTTTCTCACATGCTCAATCATCTACTGTAACATGTGCCTCAACGTTAATACAGACGGTACATTGATTACAGACAAGGGAGTTAGTAATAATTAGGAGCTCACTTCTTGACAGGGATTTTCCCCTCTGCATTTGGCTGGAGAGTTAACTTGACATACCTGAAACAAAGAGAGACAAAGGTTAAAGGTGACAACCCTAAAAAATGATCTGTAGAGCATTATCTGAAGTGCATGATAGGCTGTATCGATCTACTTTTAATCCCAACTGGTAATAATTGGCCTGACACTTTGCTGCAAAATGAGGCACAAGTTTTTGACCATTTTTACACTGTGTGTTTGGCCAATAAAAATAACCAGTGTTTTACATCCACTGTAAAATCTGGGTGAATCTGCAGTCTTTTTTTTACTTTAAATTACTATCATCTAAATTGAGCTTATCAAATTTAGTCTTTCTATAGAACTGTGATCACTGTGGTGTGGTGCCACACACTGTGATACGACATAATAAGAAGCAAAAATAATTAATACATTGTAATAGGATTGAATGTCAGTCAGGAAAAAGTGGAATCTGGATTCAGTCCTAAAATTTATGAACTTGAACTTGAACATGGCTACCATCCCTGTCAAGTTTTGGTATGGAACATAAGTGAAATTTTCGGACCCCCCCCTTGCCAACTCAGATCAGCGCAGTAAGCTACTGCTAATTGGTGGGTACTTAGCGTGCACTACTTAAAGAGTTCAGTTCGGAGAGGCAGAATACAGTTTTTTATGTACATGTATTATAACACAGGATATCACTGTAGAATACCAATATGGGAAGACAGCAGGAAAGAAGGGTAAATATGGTAGTTTCCCGGCCAAAATTGGGATACTTGACAGCTATGACGTGCGGAAACTTGAAGGAATGTTTTCAGATTCACATTTGGTTATCTCTAAGTATTATGGCAGCATTTGCATGTATGGAAAAACATGCAAAACACCCTACAAAGATCATTGTTTGTTGGTTTTTGAGTTTTCTTTGATAAAAATTCTTTGATAAAAACTCACTGAAATAATCTATCAATTCATGGTTTATAAAGTGTATTTTACAATGTGTATGCGCATGTGTGTGCCTGTTACTCACGCTTTTAAAAGACTCTGGTCTCTGTTGAGATTGTGGCTCAGCAGGTTGGAAGACAGAGAAAACAGTTCCTCACACCAAACCTGTTGAAATCAGAGTCTCAATCATCATCATCATCATCATCATCATCATCGTCCATCTTTACTGTAGTAACTTGAGAACCTTGGCTTCGTCCTCCTGTGAGGCAATGAAGTTTAGCTGTGTGACGTTTACGAGGTCTGATGCTGTAACCACGGTAACCATGCGGTTCTCAAGCCGACCAACCAGATTCCCAACATCCAGGAGCTCCCGTAGCTTTGCCTCCTATTAGATGAGAGAATTAAAGCTGTTATCTGTACCGGAGTCATGCTGGAAACATGCGCAGAAGATGGATGAGCTGTTTGGGGCGGTTTAGTGCCCCACTTTTGGGCTGACAAGGCTCACATTGTAAATTGCTGTGGCCATTTTTTAAAATTCATTTTTTCTATTTTTAAGTTTTACATCACCCAAACTAAACAAAAGCCTTTTGCCAGGGGAGAATCGAACAGCTTAAAAGAGCTTTTCTTCTGTAACAGAAAGCATTATTACCCAAACACACAGACATCAGTCTCTGGATGACAAATAATTAACGAGGTATTGAAGGAACAGAAGGAGGAGATTATTGGAGATTTGCATAGCAACAGCGGGAATCATGACTGAAAATCATTAGTTAACCTGCGCCAACTGAGCAATATGGAGTGTTTCAAATGCTTCAATTTTTTATTGCGGATTTCAGGACCAGGCAGAAAGTTTTCTCATGCAGTCTGATTAAATAAAACAATATGCACTTTATGATATGGAGATGGTAAAGCAGAAAAAGTTGAAAGAGAAGAAAATAAAACACCAAGAAGGCGATATAAAAGCCATGCTCACTTTTAAAGGATCGCACAAGCAGAAAAAAAAAAAAAGAAAAGAAAACAATGATCAAAAGATTTGTTTTTTTTCTGCATGAATGAAGCCACCCTTTAGTGTGAGGTTACTGTAAGGTCACAGAAAAGCAGCTGACAGGAATAAAGATGCTTCTGCAGGGAGAGGCAACGCAGGCATGAAAACGCAAAGACCAAAGGGCATGAAAGGTGAGAGGTGAAGAAGAGTACCTTGGCTGTTTTGGTGCTTCTCCCTGTTCTGACATCTTTCACCAGAGTGAGATCTAGTAACTCTCTCTCCTACAGAAAACACACAAATAAACACACAATTAGCTGTCATCAGGGAGGTAAATGCTTTATCCTGTTACCTGCTGAGGATTAAGCCCACCTGGAGAGAGGGAGAAAGTGTGTGCGTGTGTGTGTGTGTGTGTGTGTGTGTGTGTGTGTGTGTGTGTGTGTGTGTGTGTGTGTGTGTGTGTGCGTGTGTGTGTGTGTGTGTGCGTGTGTGACAGGCATGTTGTCTGGCATGTTGTCTCGCTCATTGCAATCCCTTCAGAATTTTCCTACAGTGGTTTGTGGGTTCTGTTTTTGTAAATCTATTTATAGCAAATTCAAACATTAAACAATCTGGTATTTATGCAAATATGTAGAATGGTTAAAGGTACAATGTGTAAAAATAAAAATATTAAGAGATGCATGATGATGCATATTCATTAATCAAGTTTTTTTTTTTTTCCTTTAAAATGTCTATCAGTACTATGGAAGCATATTGCATTCACCAAAAGAAAAAAAAAATCTCTATTTTTCAGAGTAATTTTTTTTCTGTTCTGTTTTTCTGACTAATTCTTTTTCTGTTTTTCATACTATTTTTTTTTGTTTTGTTTTGTTTTCCAGACTAATTGTTTTTCCTATTTTCTGGGATCATGATCATTTCACACTTTCATTAGACGCTTTCATCCCCCTCTCCTCAATCTGTCATAAGCAAACATGGCCCACTTGTTTAATCAAGTTTTACTTTCTTTTGGGTTTGAGACACTAGGAGATACTCCTTTCTTTAAGTCAGATAGATGGAATCGTCATAAGTTTGTCTACTTTGTGCAGACACCTCAGTATTTGCATACCCTATGTTTAACTAATAACATGCCTTACTCTCATTGATCCCGTGGGTGAAGTTATCTAGGAGTTGGAGAATCCAATGATTTGAAAGCAGCTGTGGTGGTTAACGTTATCTGACTGTATGAGATTTTCGCCGGATTTTGAAGTATCTTGCTTAGTTGGGGGGGGGGGGAGTATATTAGAACAAAAAACCGGAGGAAAAAAAAATGTCAGAAAACAGAAAGAAATTAGCCAAAAAAGCAAGAGAAATTATAAAAAAAAAAAACAGTTTCTTTTTTTTTTTTTTCTTGTTGTTATTGAATGCAATACGCTTCTGTAAGGCTTAAAATACAAACTTTCTTGTCTGCAACAACCATTCTACCTCATCCTGCAACCACTTTGCACTTTGCTTGGCAACTCACTAAATACAAAACTGCATAATAAAGACCACAGGCTGGAATAAAAACCAGACGGCCTACTTCAAGGACTATGGCCTCTGTACATAAGGTAATTGATCTGCAAAGTCAAACCGCCCAAAAAATAAATTTTAAAGCAGCTGTTTCTTTTATCACCACAAATTAAAGTGATGAAATTGAAAGAATAAAATGGATAAGTGAAGAACATTAGATACATGCTAGGTGTCATCAAGTGATGCTAATTTCTCAATGTACATTAGCCTTACCTCACAGATACAGAATGAGCTGTTGTGCCTTTGGAAATATAACCCATCCAAGAAAATGCCTCTCCTGGGGGCAGTTAAGGTTGAGCATTGAAAGAAATGATGATTTAGCCTCTAATGTATGTTTATAAAACGTATCTAAATACAAAGGAACAGAATAAAACCAGTCAGCCATTAAAACACCCAGATAAGCACAACAGTAATCAGCACCCAGAAGGCGACAAGTTCACCAAGCAAAAAACAAGAGGGTGAGGTAAGTGGTTATCTCAGTGTGCCTCTGAGAACTGTGTGTGACCCTAGTCCAAGTCTGATGACTTCACAACTCAGGTCTGAATATTGATGAGTCAAATTAGGACTAAATTAATGAGCTTTTCTTTAAGCATGAAGCTAAATTTGCTTCTCATCTCCAGGTTAATATAGGGCTATAGATGTGATTCAGGGCAATGTGTGTGTTAGAGAGAGAGAGAGAGAGAGAGAGAAAGTGAGTGTGGGGGTTTGCTCAACCTTGTTTTGATCAGTCCAGTAGAGGTAAAATCCATGTTGGTCCACATGTAGAGTGACTGGGGTGACGGTCGACAGATCCTGAAGAGAGAGAGAGAGAGGCACTTATCAAACAGAAAGATGTGAGGACGCTCACAAAGTGGGGTGACTTTAACACCCTCTAACACTTACATGGTACAAACTAAAGCTCTGCTCAGTTGTCATGGCATCCAACTATTGTCCTTGTTGTTATAGTAACCCACCATCATGGTTTGTGATTTGTTGCAGGTGATTGTGGACAGAACACCTGTCTTGATTTTTAACCCTTTTGCACTTTATATGTTTATCTGTCTGAGGGTCACTTCATGGTGTTATAAAAGAGGATAAACCAGAATTTGTAGGATGTGGTTTCTAAAAGCTTATGTTTGGACATAGATAACAACAAGAAAAGAGAAGGACAAATTAACAAATTTATGCTCACGTACATTGTCCTGCTTTTGGAAGTGCAGATTTGGTTTGTGTTCCTCCCTAAACATGGCCAAATTCAAGAGGTAGCTAGCAATGTTAGGCTGGCTCTGTGTTTGTGTTCTCACATGCAATGCCAACAGTTCTTCTTAAAGCCAAAATATTCATGCAGTCCCAACATATCCTCCATTTTAAGGAAACAGCCAATGCGTGACTTAAAAAGCTTTTTGTTAGCTGTGGAAAGAGCCTAAAATATATTTTGTACCGGTGCTTAGGATTTCTGCTGTGCTGGTGGAGGGTTTTCTTTTAATTAACTTCTTCAATAGTTAAAAATAGCTACATTTTTAAGAAGACAGAAAGTTTTTTCTGTGGTTGTTTTTATGGCCTAAAATATTCAATGTTAAAGTATTTTTGCAATTGCAGTTTAAGTCCAAAATGACAAATGGTGGATTGATCCCTCTGGATGAGGAGCGAGTCCTTCCCCAAGTGAAGAAGTTGGGGTATCTTGGGGTCTTGTCCCCGAATAGGGGTATTCTTGAGTGATGCATTGTGAGAAAAACAGATATTTTGATATAGATTTGGGTAAATATTGGTGTTTCATCCGAGTTTCATGATGAAAGCTTTCGATTCTCTGGTTGGTCTTGGTGCTAGCCTTCACTTATGTTCATGAACTGTGGATAGTGACCAAATTGTGGATAAAAATATGAATATAAATGGCAGGAATTATTTTTCTTTGAATGACTGAGCTCAACCTTGGAGATTGAGCTTGGAGCTTGGACATCTTGGAGGGAGCTCAGAGTGGAGCTGCTACTCCTTTGAATTAAAACGAACCAGTGAGGTGGTTCAGGCAGCTGATAAGGATACACCTAAGGTGCCTCCCTTTAGGGATATTCTGGGCATGTTCAACTGAGAATGAACTCCGGTCAGACCCAAATGCCCTGGAAGTGTCATATATCCTGTTTGGCGTGGAATCCACTTGGATTCCACCGGATGCGCTTATGAGAGAGAAGTTTGGGGTAACTGCCTCGCCTGTTTTCTCCAACAGTAGATGGAAGTTTAATCTATTTCAATCAAGATAATCAAGATCAAGGCATCAAGATGTGGCTGTGGCAGCATAATGTTTTCAGCTAAGAAAAAAAAATCTTGCTAAGTAGATCATGTATTAACATGCATCAAAAGTGTTAACAGCTGCTTTAACTACAAATAAACAGATGAAACAAAGAGAAAACAAAAACAAATGAAAACAAACAAAAAAAAAAAAACACTGCAAGGCTGCACAGCTCAATGGCTCCAAGCCTGTAGGGGCGCTCAGTCTATTTTAGACTGAAGATGACCAGACACTACGTTTGAATATTTTAAGTCTACACAACAATTAATGCCTGGGGAGCAGATCATGTATAACATGTATAACAATACTCAGATGTCTTTGACGCATAACACAACTTCACTAACATGTAAATGAAACCCACTCAGCTTTGACTGAGAAATATTTTCTGATGGACAGAAAGCTTTGCTGAAGAAACATCTTCTAAGCGTAGCTAACATTGGACTTTGATCTGCGCTGTGTAGCTAGCAGCACTATCAACTGACTCTACCTGGTGTTGGGCTATAAATACGAGACTTAAGTTATCAGACCCAGGGCATAAGACTGAGGTTTAAAAAGTGGTGCAGTTTCATCACAGTTGGTAACATTAAAATTATTAAATCAAAGAGATTTACAGCAAGTTGGTCTTTGATTCTTACACCAGGGGTGGTAGCAGAATGCTTGGGGCCAATCCCTGCAGGAATTCTGCTGTTATTGAGGGCAGTGCCCTCCAGTTTAGCCATGTGGCTAGCGTCAAAATTAACTGACTCCGCAGGGTGTCAAGCTCTAAGTACATGGGCGAATTGGCTAGGAAGCTCCTTTAGCAGTTCAGTTCGTGCTAGCTGAAGGCATCTCAGGGCAGCCACAAATAACCCCTCCTCAGGTCACCAGAGATGGAAGAAAATCTTGCTTGACATCCCCTTTCCCTCCAATCCCTACCATGTCATTTTCATTACTAGATTCAAAGTCTGGGTCAAACTCTCCTGGCAATAGTAATTTTAAACAAAAAATGGTGCGGCTTGACAGAGGACTGTAACATTAATCAATAAGTACAGTATTTGGCCCCTGTAGTTAGAAGCTGGAAGATGTATGATCTTGTTCAAGCTCCAGTATGGTCAACAAAGCTACAAGCCTAGAAACAAAAAAGAAGCCCCCTGAAATAATAATTGTACTGAAACACATTATTACACTTTTTGAGAATCAAAGATCTGTCGTCTTGGTGGTAGGCCTAGGAGTGAAAAGCTGTGTCTGGTCAAATCTGCAGTGATTGGCCAAATGTGTATGATGAGACTGTGATTGCTTGAATTGGCTTAATTACTGTGACTTAAAAAAACAGCAACTTCCCGTAAAGACTACTTTATCATGGAGTGTCACCAGGTATAGGATTCCAGTTGTTCCTTTATCCTACACTCCTGAAACTGCTGTGAGAAACAGAGCATAGTGTTTAAATATTTGCTCAGACATCAGTGCTTGTGTATATATTTTTTATTCTGAGTACCTAAATGAAGTCCGCTGTCTTAACTGGGCTCCTAATGAAAGAGCAGCCAGCATTGGAAAGATCTGAAACTTAACAAAAATGCTCAGAAGATGGTTAACTAGATCCCTGGTTGTCACTCGTTGGCATAGCAACTGCTTCTATTTTTCATAAAGCTCAGCTCTACATGCTGAAGAAATTCAAATATCAAAACAGACTCACACACACACACATACACAGACACAGACAAGGTCCAATCCTGGTGAATAAACAGTGTGTTGGATGAGTTCTCCTGTGTGTACAACTCATTAAATTATATTGTTCAGTAGATTGTATAATAATCATTCATATGCACACACCCAAACGCACACAGTCAAACACACAGAGCCAAACAAACATCCATTCCCTCAAACACACTCTATATCTGTTTAAGCAGTGGTAACCATGCCAGTTACCATGGCAACCGATCAGCACGTTTCTCATAGTCAGGGACAATACTTCAGCATACCAGCACTCACACGTACACACAACTTCAGAAACACCGACAATTATATGTTTGACTGAGATCAATACAGCATCAGAAGAGTTTGATGCACAATTAGATGCTTACACAAAAAACACACACACATGCAGCACAGTAAATAGATACTAATTGGTCTCGTGCCAACAGGTGGCCAAGGAGAAAGTACTCACTATTGTGTTCTTCTATTACACACAATGGGCTACCTTCTGTCATGCTGGCATCTCATCAACAGGTACTTACTGCCAAATCTCAATTGACAAATGAATTATAAACACATCTGACAACATGGCAGTCTTCCTCCTTTTGATTCTAGTCAAAAGGATTTTAAGTCAGCGTGGAACAATTATAATATTCCATCATTGTGGAAATACAGAATGTGCTCACATCAAAAACTTAAGAAAAGAACCACAACACTGCATGGGTTTAAAACCCACCCAAACGGTGAACCTTGATCTCCTTACCTCGTCCCATTTAATGAAGTTGCTTCCGTTCCTCAGTGTGTTGGACACAGAGGGAGGCTGGAGTTTCAATGCATGGACCCCTGGCTGAGCACCCGCCATGGCTTCACACACATAAACACTCTCTCGCACACACAGAAACCAGAGGTGCTCAGGCTGAGACACTTGGATGCTGCATCTCTATGATGTCCGAGCCCAAACTCCTCAGAAGTCAGGCAGCAGCATCCTCTCCTCCTTAGATTCTTGGCTGCACTTGTTGTCCTTTTTTCCTCTCAGTTCACTCTTTTTTAGTATCAGTCCTTCTTTTTCTCTCCTCTTCTCTTCTGCTCTGTCTCTTCTTCCTCCTTTCTCTCTTTTCTTATTCCTCCCTCCTCTCTTCTCCTTCCCTCCTCCTGTGTGTCTCCCCCTCTCTCCTCTGTTGATGCTGCATCTCACAGAGAGACAGACTGAAACAGATGCCTTCGTGGGAGACAGGATATGTGTGTGTGTGTTTCTGTGTGCATGGGTGTGTGTGTGTGTGTTGGTGCGTGCACTGCCTCCACAAATTGACTCATCGGCGACATGCGCACAACGGCAGCTTCCCACAGATGGGGGAGGGATAAGAGAGGGAGTGCGGCAGCGACAGGGAGAGATAGAGAGAAAGAAAGGAGAGAGTGGGAGAGATGGAGTGAAATGAAAAGAGAGGTAGAGGAAGGAGGGAAAAGAGGAGGACAGAGAATAAAGAGCTGGTGGGAGAAAAGGGAAAGAGAGTAGGTGTTTTAGTGCTGGGTGATTCAAACTGAACCAGGATTTCGGTCAAATGAGGCCACTTTCGAATACACATTACGTTGCCAAAAGTATGTGGACACCAGAAATTTTATCCATACACCATACCTGGTTTTTTTTTATGCATCATGTGTTTTAATGTACTGCTTTAAGAGCCTCCACAGCTCTACTTTTAGATTTTCCATCAGATTTTTGGGAGCTGGTGACAGGGATTTGCTCTTGGTCAGCATTAGTGAGATTTGGCACTAGTGTTGGGTGAAGAGGCCCGGACTGCTGTCAGCACTGGTGTTGAGGTCAGGGCTCTGTGCCAGTCACTGGATCTCTTTAGGGTTGGTGGACTGGGGGCTAAATCTTTAGGTTGTCATTGGCTGCATAATTTGGATCTGTGGAGAGAAAAATCACGCCACATTACTTCATGCTGTGATCGCCTGAAACTACAGCAAGCAGAGAAAAATACAACCTTCTACTGAACAGTGTAGGTCTCAGTCCTACCCTTTTTTAAAAACTTGGTCACTTGTGGCATCAGACAACCAACGTAAATCTAACAAAGATGCAAAACAACAGGGATTTTTTTAATATGCAGTCAATGAGACATCTCAGTGGGTACATCTTTTTACGTTCTCTGGTTACAATACAAGCAGGACTTTGAATTTTTGAAAAGATTTTCAAAGCCCCAGGTTTCAGATTTAATAATTTAAGTGAGTAAATTTTGGTCATTCCAAAGCTTTACTGTGTAAAATGCATCTCCCAGATGCACTGTGATGCATCATTAGAGATGTGATCCTGGGTCACAACGTGTTTTATGGTCTTTCTACATCATATACCTTCACCTAGGCAACCGAGCAGTTGTCCTCTTTGTTTTTGGATTGAATAGCCTTATTGTTGCAGCACCTAAGATGCCCAATCAGGTAAGGGTTTTGCTGATCAAGTGTTCAGCAAAGATGCAACCGTCATAGTGCACCTTCCAGCCTCTGCTCTTGCCCCCTACAACCAGTTCCTGATACTTTTCTCATTTCTTTTTCTTGGCCCAGTCAGTGAGTTTATCCAGTGGCACTGCAAGTCCAAAAATCCTGCTAATGCCAAGGTGATGATCGTATGTGCCCAAAGAAGTTTTACTGTTGAAACATTGGATTTCCAGCTGGTTGACTCAAATTGTTATCCAGCTGCTAGTAAGGGGCAATGAAGAAGATGTCTGCCATTGTTTGTATTTGGGGATGAGTTCGTGAGTTCAAGCAATAAGGTCAATGCTCTCTTTTGTGACTCTTTGTGACTTTCCTGAAGGCTGTGGTGTCTCGGAAAGAAGAGGCCTCACTCTAGTGAAGCTTGGTTGGTTGGAATATTTGCAGATAGCTTATGCTACGTTCCAGTTGTACTCCAAAGTCAGGATTTCAGAGCTCCGAGTTGGAAATTCATCTGAAATGCCCCCCTAAAGTCAGATTTCCGACCCAAAAAGTTGGATGATCCTCACCAACCCAGACTTGACGACAGCATCATAATACAAGATGGCAGCGCAGTGCATCAACAGTAGGGAGTAAGAATTAAAGCTTTTGTAGTGTATTATTTATTAGCACTTCTGTTTTGTTTTTGTGAAATTAAATAAGTGGTATATATGTTGTGCGGTGGACACTGTACTATGGTGTTTTGTAAGAGTAAAATACTGTGTTATGTGTTGTTTACAATTGGTATAGCTAACAACAACAAGTAACAACACCTGACAACCGCTAACAACAACTGACAATGCCTGAAAACAGCTGGCAATTGTTAACAACAGCTAACATCGGCTTACAGTAGGTGTCCATCTTGGCTTTCCGACTTGTCTACTGGAACATCGTCAACTCTGGTGTAACGTCATTCCCAGCTCCAACTTCCGGGGTAACTGGAATACAGCATTAAGAAACACCTGATCTAGAAACCTCGATTATTTGGCACCTTTTTTTGTGCCAATCTTTGCCAATATTTTCCTTACTGGTGTTTCAAATTAGGCCCACAAAACCTGGCCTGACAGTTAGCTCTGGTGTCCTGAAGCCACCTTCTACATGCCAGCAGCTCCTGTCATCAACTGGCAGAACCTCTTTATATATCAACACAATCCATATATAGAAAATGCTGTGATTATACTCCTCTTTGAGCACTGAGATGACAATGTAATGCTTAAATACAGTGGGACTAAGCATGGGCTTTTTACTGAATTTTGTTTTTATACAGTCTTTTGGTGTCTTCTTTTTAAATCAATCAAAAATAACATCTTTACACAAACAGCTCACTCTGCAAATCAACAGCTATTGGAGTATTTGTTACAGTTACACACAGTGTAAGTGTAATGAAAAATATAGAAAAGATTTAAAACAGTGCAAATTCAGGTACCATGAAAAAAACTTTTCTGTATGTGCTTTAGTTTCATTAATCAGAGAGTAGCCAGCCAAATTCTGAAGGGGCACAACTTGATGTTGGTTTGAAAGCAGATTTATCTGCAAAGCCCATGCCTATGAATATCAAAACGTGAAAGAAAAATGCCTTACTCTTTCACAGGTTTGGAAAGGTAAGGTTTTTTAAAAGGTGATTTTTGTCTTTTTTGTCCTCCACCAACTTCTAAGGCCACACACAAATTATGAAAGACCAAAAATATACACAGGAACATCCACTCACTGGCTGTGATATTGTGTCCCCAAAAAAGCATTGGTTGGAATTAGATTTACAAACAGGACTTAAAATAGCAGAGAAAGGAGGAAAGTGAGCAACACAAGCAGAGAAAGAATAAATTTTAAAAATCTTGTCAATGACAAACAAGCAGTAACATGCCCATGTCTATGAAAACACAGAATCTGATACTGGCTTTTGTGGAGCATGCAAAATCCAAGAGAAAAGAACATGAATAAGTATACTGTATGCCCGATAAAGATTTAAGACTGTTTAAAACATTACTGGGTTTTTTAATAATAGGACACTGATTCCTGGATTGTTTTCTCCTGTGTTTTGTGTTCAACAATACTTACATTTGTGAATATTCCTCTTATAACCATTCCCAGAAAAACACGTGAGAAGAAGGTGAAATAGATGCCCGAACACAATTAAATGTTGTTAAAAATAACAAGAACAAAACAAAACTCTCTATTGTTTCACCTCATGAGGTTGTCTGTGCCAAAAACAAACCCTGCTCACCGATGAATCATTCTCTGTTGCAGGGATGCAACTAATGATTACCTACAGACTCAACAAAACTCAAAGGAAAATATTAACTGTTGAAAGTGGTTCTGTTGAAACCTGTGCACTGTGCCATCTGTGGATAATCCAGTATAAGGTTTTAAGCAAGATGTTTCCATCTTCAAACTCAAGACTATGTCTGGAGAATCATCTGAATACAGCCAGGAGTTACTCTGCTTATGTAGCAAACATGCAGATGCTGTCTGTGTCACTAGAAATAACCCTGTTGTTCAGAGTTTAACCTGAGTAGATAATGACTTTGTTATGTTTCTCATTTCTATATGTTTAATAAGCATGTATGCTCACTGTCAAGAGTCAGAATTTAAAAAGTTTAAATCAAGTATCACACAAGTCAGGAAAGCACACAGTCAAACCAAAATGGAACATCAACAAGAACTTTACAGAGACTTGTCAGTCTGAAGGCTCTGTGTCAAAGGACCAGTTACATAGCTCAAAATCAAACTCAAACTCACAGCATAGATCCAGAGTAAATGCAAAGCAGGAGAGCACCTGAGTAAAACTCGTGCATCTAATAGCATCTGCAAAATAAACAGTACATATCCAGTGCAAGCTCTGCAGCACATCTGAATCACACAATGGTAGAGAGGGCAAGAAGATGGGTGCTGGAAGAAATGCTCCTAGTGTAAGATAGTGGTGTCATCAGCATATAGAGATACTGATCACAGAAACCAATACAGATTGGTCCCTGGTGTTTGAGAAAAAAAACCAAAAACTGATCTGATAACTTCCAACAACAGTGCGAACAGTTGTAAAAAGCGATGTGATCAGTATCAGTCTCACCTTCAGACTTACTGAAATTCTCTTCTTATTGGAATAATTAAAATTGATAGGTTATATTTATGGGTGACTAAGTTCAAGCTCCTGTGAAAAATTTTTTCAGGTTTGTGAAATAGCCCAAAACTTAAAGGCATGGTTGACGATTGGAGAAGCAGTTGATTGGAGAAGCAGAGCTGGCATTAAACGCTGCAGCTGCCTGGACAGCTACCCTGTTGATATTGCAGACACTAAAAAGAGTTATTTATGTAAAATATGCCACAATAAAAGGCAAAAATCACTGGTTCACCAAAAACTCTGCTGTCTGGGCATCTGTTTTTAGGCCCCAATCCAGGCAGAGCTTTCTCCACCGCTCGAAGGATGATCCGATGTTTATTCGAGTTAGATTCCTCGCTTAGTCACATTTCCTCTTCATCTCTGCCCTTTCTTCTATCAGCTGCATTTTCTTCCCACTTTTGGTGGTGGGGCAAGCAGAAGTGTTTTTTTCTATCCGTCTCCATTACGGCTTCTGTAGCTAAGCTGCTACGCTACTTTTAGCCGCCCAGAGCCCTGAGGAGGGCCAAGAGAGTGGGAGGGGACAAGTTGGAAACACAGGAGAGGGGTGTGTTGAATACAGCAAGGTGATTGGATGGAGAGGCGGAGCAGAAGATTGACCAATAGGAGCTGTCCTATTGGTCAATGTTTTTTTGCAGCCCTGCACCTGCTAGGGTTAACAGATTTTTTCCTTCTTTTTCTCTTCACTTTGTGGAGATGCACTATAGGAGCATGATCGCCCTATAAACAAGGTTCACAATATTTACCAATCGCTCCAATCATCGACAATGCCTTTAACATATACTTTTTATGCAATACAAATACAAAGAAGAGTCTTACGACCAAGACTGATGATTTGTAACTCATAGATTTAATGCCTGAAATTGTTGTGAGCAGTTGTTAGCCTAGAAGCTGAGGAAACATCCTTGCTTTTACAATTTAAACATAAAAAACTTACACTAAAGTACACGTTTGATTGTGAAAAGCAGGAAGAGATTTTTTTTTTTTTTGTCAGAAAACACTGTTTAAACATGTGAAGTTTGAAATATAAATAGCACTGAAATAAAAAGAACTAAAACAAAAAGTTCCTCGCAGAAGCTTTTAGTAGAAACCTCAGATGTTGGAAAACAAATCAGATGCCAGAACGCAAAAACCTACAGTTTCTAAAATGTCCACTTAGGGCCAAAATTAAAAGGCCAAAGAATCCTCATAGGTTCCTCAGTTTTGGGTATATAGCTTATTTGTTAATTTGCCCGCACCAAGGGGGGAGGGGGGCAAATGCTGAGATAGTATGAAGGGTAAGGGTTGGACATCAAACCTCATAACAAGGGGCATGGCTGAGTTGACCGACAGGTGTGTTTGTTATAGCCAATTACCTGGAGTCTACAAGCCCTCCACACCTCTGGTTCTCTACCCGTCTTTGGGTTGACTGAAAGTTAGGTTGTATCACTACTTCCAATATGATGCCTTCCACTCTTGGGCTTCATAGTGTCTATCCAGAAACCCACAAGAGTCGACACAAAGTCTGTGTCCATGTACAGTACATGTACATTTACAGTCTATAGAATAAAACTGCTTCATTAGTTTCTCACCCTGTGTGTTTACTGCAGACTGTTCAGTTGTCCTTTTGAATGTTCTTATTGATGATGATGACAGATCATCCCCAAGAAAACTTCTAAGAGCTTAATCAGATTTTCTACTTGCTTATTCTGTCTGAATGGGAGTCCAAATTTAAAGATATGCAACTTATGACTGAGCACAGGCAAAAAAATGACCTCAAATACCCCTATGTGAATAAATGGAAGCAGAGAAGTGTGGCACAGTGTATTATCCAGATGATTAGAAGACTGCTACGACTCCTGCCTGTTTAGTGATTGTTCATTTTGATCAATTCTGTAAAAGCTACTGCTCTTGTTTTTCTTCTCATCACCTTTTTGGATCAATAAGAGACCCTTCCATGCTATTTGCATTTAAATACACACAAAGATGCCAACCAACCGCAAAGCTGTTTGCCTCAATACACACGCCCACACACTATAGCAAGCAGAGATGATGCAGGAATGTATTGATTTCTGTATGTTCATTTAACAAGACACATAAACATGTGGCATTCTTCCAATGTCACAGATTGACCCCATGACCCTCACGTTATCTTACACACAAATATAATGCGTCACGTATTTGAGATCCAGTCTTCCAAGGCCCACTTTACCAGCCTGCAGCCTCCTACACACTCACACATTAATGCATAAAAAGACACGTGCAGAGACTCACGTTGCCATGACACTGTGAGTTTGTGCTTGATACTGTTAGTCAGAGCCAGAGCCAGTGATATTGGTGAAAATGCAAAATTAGTATGTTTAATACAAACTTGGCACTGCACCAGAGAGGTACATGTGGGTTGTCTTCGCCTCAGACATCACCATCATAATTAAAGACAAATATCAAACACATTTGCAGGTCAAAAACAAATTCTGTTCAGTCCAGATAACAAACAAGGACTGTTAGCACTAAAACAACACATATTTTCCTGAACTGCTGAAGCATGGAACAATTTTATGGCTGTGAGCACAAAAGAGCAGTTAAGGTGCTCTATGCTGCTCTTAGGTGAGATAAGACTCGGGTTTTGTGGAGCTCCCACAGTGGGGGTGGGAGGTTTTGTCTCAAATGAATAGAGTTCACAATCTGATTTTACGCTGAAATGTGCAAAGAACAGGTTTATCACTAAATACTGACGATTCAAGGAACATTTAGGGAAGAAATTATTCTCCTGAATTTTCTTACCTTATTATTTACTCAGATTTTATTGCCAAGGTACAAATTTAAGTGTTTTATTGATTAGAATTAGAAATAGACAGAGAGTCAGTTAGGCCAGGGTGTAATTAATCTATTCCTAATTTCTAACAGATAACTACAAATAGTTTTTGTATTTTAGCTGTCCAACTGTAATATAAAAATCTTTCTTGCTGTATTTGACACCTTTACAGTAAGAAAAGACCCCTCTGAGTAAAAGACAACTCAGAATATATCAACATAATAAGTCCAAGACAGAAATCTAACCTACTTTCTAACAGAACACTTCAGAACGCTTCATGAACACTTGCAAAGTGTTCAAGTTGAGGCACAGCACAGTGGTTTTTAAAAAACATGTTGTAGTTTTTCATTTGCTGCCAGGCATCAACCCAGTCACCTGTCTGTAGGCTGACTGTGACTGTGCCGTAAACAGATCGAACTGTACCTGTTTATTTGACATCATGGAGGCTGCAGATCATGAAATTTCCAGATTTTTTTTTTTTTTTTTTTTTGTCCTTTGGATTTCTAAAATTTAAGTTGTTCACTGGTGTATAAGCAATGCATTTAACACCTGCTGCTTATAGGAACTACTTTGAATCATTTTACAGCAAAAAGAGAAAAACAAACTATGCTGTGTAATGAAGGCCTTAAAATAGTTATGCAGAGTTAAATTTAATGTGCAGAACATGCTTAAGTCACACATTTTCTGAACAAAGTCACTCTGCTATAAACCCTCTTTTTCATTCAAAATTTGTTTATTATTATTATCTTTTGTTATGTCAATCCTTGGTATATGTGAAGGCAGTTTCAAATGAATAATTGGAGAAGATCTGAGGGTAGCCGTGAAAAGGAAGAGGACTACAACATGCGGTTCAAAAATCAAGAGATAAAAGGCAAGAATTCAAAATGATATACCTAAAATGTTACTAATGAAATAATAAAAACAGTAGGCTCAATAAAAATATTAAAAGCAAAAACAGCTACGATCAATAAAATCTGAAATTAAAACTTGGGATTGCATCAGCTGTATAAGTGAGGACTTCTTACATTTTTTGGGAGTAAATTCCAAGTTTTTGGAATATAGAAAATAAAAGCAGATCTCCCCAGCTCTGTGTGAATCGTGGGAACTTGTAGAGTGAATGGAATGGAAATGTGCATGTTGACAGCAAATCTGAGAGATAATGGGGAGTTTTTTCAACAATGCTTTGTTGATTAATTGGTACAAATGCTGATCTCCCCTCTTTACTTAAGAGGGCAGGAAACACTGCATCCAAAGGCTTAAGAGTTGTGTTTGTTGCCCTTCCATAAATGACATCTCTTTAATGCATGACAGAAAGAAAAACAGCCTCAATATTTTTTATTTCTATTGAATTAGTGGGGGGAGAGATTCATTTCTAACAAGGTTGCCCAGTTGGTGCTTCGGTTTCGCCAAAAGATTGTGGATGTACATTTTAAAAGAAAGGTTTTGATCAATCCAGATGCTGAGATATTCATAATGATGTACTCTCTCAATCACTGTGTTGTATACAGAACCAACATGCCATGCATTTGAAAATAACATTCACCCAGTCTTTACACAATTTACCACTAGTTCCCGGTTATGTAGGTGGTTTAGGAGTTTATGAAACGCATGCTGCAGATTGCTGCATGGGTGGAACTGGCATAAGTGTAAAGGACAGTGTCATCAGCATAAAGATGGAAATAACAGTTGCTCAGTGAA